GCTAGATAGCTAAACTAGTCATGGAGCTGTGATATAAAGTTATTTTAAAAGGGAATTTCAAGGTATGGTGTTTTAATATCTTCATCCATGTAGTATAGCTGATTAGTAGGTTGTTAGTTAATATATTCTATCTTAAGCTGAAAGTTTGGTGCTAATGTTTTGATTTTTGTTTTAATATTATTAGATATATTTAGATCATTACCTTTTAAGAATGAGACTATTAATGGATGCCATTCTGATTTAGAGAGGTTAAGTAGTATGTAAAGGTGCTCTGCACCTATCATCTACTATAATTATATTATAGATAGATTGAAAGTAGGCACTTATGCTCTATTTACTGGACCTTCTTTAACAAAGTTAGGTTGATAACTTATTATGTTAGGGATAACTGCTTTAGTTCCCTTGTGATATTAGATAATAAGATTATATGCTTGAAATTCTTTAATCTAATATATAAGATATTTTAAGTACATCTTTATATTAGTGAGGTACTGAAGACTTTTATAATCTGTTATAATTATAATAGGTTGGCTATTATTAATATAATAGTCCTATTATTAGAGTGCTTCCTTAATTGCAAGAAGTTCCTTCTCATACATGGGGTAGTTCTTTTTAGTATTATTAAGTTTATATCTATTAAATACTACTGGATGCCACTGTCCCTTTTTATCTTATTATAATAGTATTATACTGAGTGCCCATTTAGAGGCATTAGTTTTAATTTAATATGGCAGAGAGGGATTAGTAATCCTAAGAATAGGTGTGTGAACTATTATATTCTTTAGTGTTATGAATACTTGCTAATATTAAGTATTCTAGACTATAGGTTAAAACTTCTTTTTATAAAGTAAAGCATCTGATTCCTTTAGGAGTTCATGAAGAGGGGTAGTAATTCTTGCAAACTTATATATAAATTAGTAATAGTATGTTGCTAGTCCTAAGAACTGTTAAACTTTATGAATGTTTATTAGTTTTGGCTATATCTTTATAACTTCCACTTTTGCGGGTATTGGTTGAATAAATCTATTACTAATGATATGACTGCAAAACTCTAGCTCTCTCTTAGTAAATATATACTTAGAGAGCTTTGCATATAGTTGATGTTCTTGGAGTTAGTTGAGCACCTATTGAATATGCTTCTTATATTCCTCATCTGAGTCTGAGAAGATTAAGATATTATTAAGGTACACTACTATAAAGTTGAGATCTTGTATAATGCTATTTATCATTGTTTAGAATATTGCAGGTGTATTATAAAGTCTAAAAGGCATTACTAAGAATTTGAACTTGCTGAATGATGTGTTAAAAGCTATCTTTAGAATTAATGATTCACCTATTCACAGCTGCCAGTATCTAGAGAGGAGATCAAGCTTTAAAAGACACTTAGCTTAACCTGCTTAATCTAGAAGTTCTTAAATTTATGGCAGTGGATAGGTATTCTTAATAGTTACCTTATTAAGTAAGTAGTAGTTAATACACATTTACTATTTCCTATTAGCTTTGGGGATAATTACTACTAGAAAGCCCTATATACTAGCTGAAGGGTGAATAATAGCTTTCTTTAATAGCTCTTTAACTTGCTTCTTTATCTCATGAAACTTTTCAGGTGACTAAGGGTAAGAGTTTATATTTATTAGTAAGGAATCTCTAGTATTAATATAATACTATATTAACTAAGCTAGAGGCATTCCTGGGTGTAACTCTTCCCTAAATATATCTTTATACTAGGTGAGAAGAGGCCTTAACTAAGATGGTTCTACTAATACTTCCTCTTCCTTTTCCTTTTTAAGCTCTTAAATAATAAATAACTAGGCTTCTTATTAATCCTTTTAAAGGGTATGCTGAAGTTATTTTATAGAGATAAGACTTATAAGTGCTTCTAGGCCTAATTTAATTTAGTGTTAAAGATTAATAGGGTTAATAGTTATATACTTTATTCCTCACCCCTTAATTGTCATTCAACCTGTAATCTAATTAATATCAGGATTAATATATCTTAGCTAATCTTAACCTAGAATAATATTATACTCTGTTATTTCAAGAACCTAAGGAGTGATGATACAAGGCTAACTACTAATTCTAAGAGGGATCTAAACTTGACATAATATATATATAACTTTATTATTTAGCAAGCAAACTTATAAAGGGTTAAGCATATGCTGAAAGCAGAACTATAATAAGGGTAGTAAATCAGCTAAGTATTTTAATATAAATATATGGCTAGAGCCATAGTCTAGCAGTGCTTAGATATAGGCTACCATCCTAGAAGCTTCAAGTTTGGCAGGGAAGTAGATAAGATTAGATCTAAGAGTATTTAGATAGGCATTAATGTAATTATAATCTTCTAGTTCTAAATCTACCTATATAGTATTAAGCATTCCCTTAATGGGTGGTTAATCCTCCTTATTATTATTCCCATTTGAATTATCATGATATTTAGGTGGTTTAAGGTTATTAGATACCTTATACTCCTTAACTTTAGAAGCTTTTAGTAGTTAACCAACTAGTGCTTCCTTATCTAGCAGTTATTTGCTTTTCCTGATTATTTCTTATGATAGGTCTTTAATTAATTTAGTACTATATAAGCTTGCATATTATAGCCTTTCTATCCATAATTAAAGTAAGCTTAGTTTGTTTAATACTAAGCCTTCTATTCGCGCGTTCCCTTCTTTAGATAATTAGGAGATATAAGGATAGCATTCAAATTAATATCCATCAGGTCTATTTAACTATTATTAGTCTTACTAAAGGATTAGAACTATACCTAAGTACATAAAGTAACTCTCTACTTATACTTAGTAAAGTAATAAACTACATTATTAAAAGTAGTTTAGTTTACTATAATCTTCTGCCTAGCAAGCATGCAGAATTAGTTTTAAGTTAGTAATAAACTTCTAGACTAACACATTATTAGGAATTCCAGATTTAATATATTTAGCAGCTTCCACTAGGGAAGTAGTATAAGATTATACTATCTAGTTACCCTAAGTGTACCTCTTATACTCTTCCTAATACTTAATTTCTTCTCTAATCTCTCTAAAGTTTTCTCAAATCCACTGCTTGAAATTATCTAGAGTGGTAATAGCAGCTATTAGATTATATTTAATCTTTTACTTATGAGCGTCCCATCACTCCTTAGCTTAGCTGATAAGGCAATACTTAACTACTGTGACCTTTTCAAGATTAGTAGCATCCTTTTGAGCAAGAGTTTGCTCATTATAAAAGTAATTATTAACCTGCTTAAGCCACTTCACTATAGCATCCTTACTGTACTTGCTGTTATATATAGGGATAGGCTTAAGGTTAGAGACCTTTTAATAAGGCTTGTGTTCTTCAGAGTGAAGAGAAGAAAGAAAGTAGGGGTTAGGAGCTATAGTTAAAGCTCTAGCAACCCCTTCTAGCTAAGGATGATTATACTTAGCTCAGAGAAGTCTGACCAGGTGTTCATATAGTTTGATTAGTTTATTTCAAGCATTCTAGTTAGTTATACTATAAGCTGCCTGAGTGAACCACTGTTAAAGACAGTCCTAGTCAGTCTTAAAGCTATTACTATTATAGGTAGACTAGGTTTGAGGAGTCTCCACACCAGAAGATATAGATTTAATGTTATCTATTTTAACAAGAGAAGAATGATAATTAAGTTAGGAATAGAAATCTGAATTAAGCTTATTAATAGTAATTTAAATCTATTAAAATAATTTTGATTATCCCTATTTATCTTATCCTTTATAATTAGACAACTTGATCCTGTCATTAGTCACTTTTTAGAAAGCTTAGATAGTTAATGACATCTACTCTGTGATGTGGCTGTGGGGAAGAGCTAACTAGATATCCTAGGTAAATCATTGCCATCACAGGTATCTAGATTAGCCTGAGGAGGTCAAAGTAGTTAATCTAAGGCATTTTCTACTGAGTTAAGGACAGTTGATATAAGGTATTTATTAAAATTAACCTGTTAGTGGCATCCTCAAAGTCCTAAGACTATGGTCTTTCAGTGCTGCTAGGGTTTAGATTGAATCCTTTATAGGGATTTTGAACCTTCTCAGGAATTAAGCATCATATAATTGCCTGATCCAGACATGCTACTAGATGGGATAATTGTTCATTGCAGGGGGTGTAGAGCCTTTGAATCATGCGAGGGTAGGGGGTAGGCCAAAGGCCGCCCTGTACATGTCCTGCTGATATTGAGGGATTCTGGCCCCTTTTATAATCCTACCTAAGCTATGAAGGAATGTAAGAATCTACATGGTTATGTACATGCTGATGACATCTACTAATATCCTCTGCGCACCCTCGTAGACTTAATCGAAATCACACATATTGATCGGTATCACACTCTTATAACTAGTTTATAGCTGGTTACTAACTAGTTATCCCATTACTTAGGTAACTGCAGTAAACTGCTACTACTAATTTATAAGCCTAGAATATACAGATATAATAGGCTTATTGTGATGTGGAAGAATGTAAGCTTTAATAGCTTAAAAGGTATATTCTGCTTAAGGAGAGATTACTATAGGTTTAGATCTAGCATAAAGAGCTTAGGCTAGTACCACCCCTACTAAATACTAGTCTATAACTAGTTACTAACTAGTTAGCCTAAGTATCTTAAAGCATATCTTAATTCTTTATCTAGTTCTTATAATGTGTAAGGATATTATAGCCTATTATATGCACCTATTTATGTGTATTACTTCTATATATATAAACTTATAGGTAACTAGCTCAGAACTAGTTAGGAACTAGTTATTAAGGTACTTTATAAGTCTAGGATAAATATATAATTAGCTTAAAGGATTACTTTAGATTTAGATCTAGTAAAAGAATATTTCCATTCCAGGCTAGTAATAGGCTAGACTAGTTAATATCTAGTTATTAACTAGTCCACTTTAAAAAGAAAAAAGGCCACACTAGAATACTAGTAACTAGGCTTACCTAGTTATAACACCTTAAAAAAAACCAAAGAAGTCGCTACTAACTAGTTCTAAACTAGTTAAGAACTAATTACTATTAGTATATTCTTCCTCCTCCTTACTCTCTTCTTTACTCTCCTTATCTACTTCTTTAGCCTTATTATCATCATCCTCCTTAGTAAAGTAGTTAAAGTTCTTACACCACTCCTTACTCTTTGAGGAACAGCACTCTAAAGAACTAGTTAGTAACTAGTCAGGAACTAGGTAGATTAGAACTTTAAGCTTACCTTTACTCTTTAACTTGGCCTTGCAGGCTGCATATGGAACTACTACACCCATTTCCTTAGTTATCTTATGCATGTTGGTCATGTGGATCTAATTTATTAGTAACTAGTTATGAACTAGTTAGGGATTATTAATAGGAGGTACTTTACTTACAGTGCTATCTTTCTTTAGGGGGAGAGCAGGCAGCTCTAGCTTATTAAGAAGCTTCTTATACTATTCTAAAACTAGTTAGACAGGGACTTACTAATAGCTTTCTATTACTCCTAAATAGTTAGAGCCCCTCCTTTAGTTATGTACACAGTGTATTTATTAGCATGTGATTTCTAAATATATTTCTTAAGGTTGTTAAGGCTTAAGTATGGTTTCTAATAGGACTAGTTAGTAACTAGTCCATAACTAGTTCATGAGGAATATTAAAGAAATACATACCTTGGCCTTTAGGCAACTAGGGGCACAGTAGTAGACTTTACTAGGGTAGATAATTAAGTATCCTATTACCTATTCACTAGTTAGTAACTAGTTGATAATTAGTTAGAATATATCTTAGGATGACTTATATTTTCAGTAAAGGGAGGGAGGGCCAGCTTCTCTATACTAAGCTTAAGATACTGCGCATATGCTTCCTATAGTCTGGTTAGCATTCTAACTAGTTCAGAACTAGTTATGGACTAGTTAAATAGTTAGAGTAGTACTTACTAACATCTTAATAAATACCATCTTGAATGCAAACTAGTCATAAACTAGTTATAAACTAGTTAGTGAAAGGAGATCTAGTAGCAGATATGTGAACTAGTTCCTAACTAGATAGGGACTATTCATGTGGTCGGAATTATAAGATAAAGGTGAGATGAAGGTGAGATGAAGGTAAGATGAAGGTGAGATAACAGTAAGATAAAGTTAATAGTATTCTGAAGTAGAAAACCTACCTTTAAGGTAATAAGAGGGAGAGAGAGAAAGAGGTAGCCAGGATAATTATAATTCAGAACTAATTAGTAACTAGTTATTCAAAAAAATGTAAAAAAAAGGGGGGGGGGGAAATAGAAGAGATATATAAGAAGGTAAGTTACTATAAGGAGCTCAGTCAACCTTTATGGTAGAGACATGTCATGTGATTAGGGGTTGTCTCATTCACTGTTTCACCTCAGCCACATTCACCTGAACTCTTGCAAAAGGTGGTGTCACCTGTAGTCACGTCGGATATGGATTTGCGGATTGAGGCAGCCAGTCTAGGCTGGTCCTCCATCCACTCCAACATTCTCGGGGCAAAATGGCCACCCGGGATAAGGGGGTAAGCTCGACGAGGACATCTTAGGGCCGTCGCGAAATATCCCGCCATAATATGTAGGTTGCCGACTATGTGAGGTTTATAGGGTACTTAATTATGCTCTATTAATGGACGATAGGAAAGATGGAAACAGTGAGGCTTTCCTTCTTGAAAGTCAACAAGGGTATATATATTCCTATACACGATATTTATTGATCTGAACTGCATGCTTGTGCCAAATATCATGTTACGAATGATATCAGCATAGAAACACAAAGAGGTTCCTATTGTATATTTTAGATAAACCACTTCCATATAGGTTTAGATTGATTCTGTGGGGCAACTAAGAACTATACTCATAAGACATCTCTTAAGAATGCATGGACCTTGAACCAAGGGTTTTGTGATGATTCACATGCCATGTGTAGTGTTTGATGCCTGGCGCTGAAGCCTGATATTGATGCCAGCTGCCGCAGGCATCCTACATGTATTTAGATCGCCCTTTGCATCTCTTCTTCTTTCCTTCTCCATATGCTTAGTTGCTTCGTTGAATGCCCTACATTAGTTGATCTTTGTCTCTTCATACCTGAGCGTAACAGGTCTTTGAGTAGATGTGGGCAGGTGTCTGTCGCCTTTGGAGCCACCCGCCTCAGCGCCTCGAATGGTTAGCACGACTTGGCAATTCTGCCAAACCAGTGGCTCTAAATTTAACGTAGTCCACTGGCGAGCCGTGGACACAAGTGAACCATAACTCCAAAACACATATCAAATGCGAAAATAACAACATCATGTCTTGATAACCATCCTTATTCTAGGTAAAATATAAGAATAACAAGGTCCATTTTAATAAGACCTGTAACACATATGTTCACTTTTAGAGAGTTATTATCAAGAGCTAATAAGAAATTGATCAGAAACGCCGCGTATTTTACAGTAATATGACTAGATAACTTCCTCAAATCAATTAAATTTGAGTGTGTTGTTTTTTACAATTATGGAAACGCATATACTCATATTTAAGTAGTAAATAGACAGGAGTGTTAAGATATGACAGGTTTGGTTGCGAGTTCCTTCTCGTCATTGGTGCCATCAGTATGGGCGCGTGCATGTTCATGGTTGCCATGGTTGGTCTTGAGACGCTAAAAACTCCCCAAGGAGCCGAAGACGCAGCCTGTTGGTATTACCATCGTGTTCCTCATGTTCCTCTTCATCTTTTTCTATAAGCCAAGTTGGGGAGCGACGGTTTGGATTTATACTGCAGAAGTGTTCCCGATGAATGTTCGAGCTCAAGCTGTCGTCATGTGTTCCCAGATGCAGGGTGTTGCGAATACCATCTTCCAGCAGTTCTTTCTGATCTTCTACAAAAATGAGGGGCCGTAAATGTATTGCAACTCTAGGGGTGCAATTGGAATATGGACTAACTATGGCAGGAAATTGTTCTTCTTTTTCATGACCTGCAACTTTCTACTTGCTGTTCTGTTTTTATTGGTTTATGATTCCAGAAATGAAAAAGATTCTGCTAGAAGAGATGGACTCCCTCCTGGAGTGAATGTGGACTCTACATTCACTAGACCTTATGGTTACCCCTAATTAGTATGGCAACCATGGACTCCGTGCACGACACCCTAGGTGAACAGGGTTTAGGGTTAAACAACCTAAACTTCCATACACCAATATGAATCAAGCTATATGCCAGAATCATCCTGGAAACGACCTTTGGGGTGCCAGAATTTGTCTGGGTTAGAACGCCATTCGTTCCAACGTCGGCATGTCCTGTCGAGTTGTCTTCTGTTGTGAGGCTGTTTGTCCATCAGGTGCTTGAAGTCATTTTTGCTTTCCAAAATCTGGAACGCTAGGCCAGCTGAAGCATGCCAGGCGATATGGCAATGGAATGCCCAAGCACCGGGGTTGTCAGCTTTAAATGCGATGACTACAAAACCACCCTTCGGCAGAAGCACCACGTCGCGGCGAGGGGGATTGTTGTATGTCAAATTTAGTGAACTTGGACCTTTGTAAATATAATTTGACTGCTGCAGTAGTGCGAAGTCATGGCCGTGGAGGTGAATCTTTGCAAAAATGGTCAGCATGGACTGGTGTCCTTACTGGTCTTCGGCCCACCTACCGGATGCGCAGCAGGGATCAATCGACCTCCCTTTGGAGGACCCAAGTTTGGTTCCTTACCTCCAATGATAACCATGTAGTTCCATTCATTGTGAAGGGGATTTTTATCAACTGGATATACGACGGCGTTATCGCCAAATGGACCATCAAGATTGTTCACTGTCGGCTCTGAATAGTTCACCCAAAGGGTGTGATTCATCATGTGCCAGTTGTTCACCACAGGGCCTGACGGTATGTCAGGTGGCTCAGCAGGGAGAGACCAGTTTGCAAGCATGATCGTCGAGATGGGTAGATCAATGTCATCCTTTTCGCCCTTCCTAAGAGAAGGCACTATCCATGGAATGATGGGCCGCAGTTTTTCCGGTGGCTCATCACGACAGGTGTAGTTGTATTCACCCTCACTTGTTGTCGGCCATCCGCACTTATAGCCCTTATAGCACAGGATGCCCTGCCGTACGTCAAGTCGATCAGCAAAGTTGTTGCAGTGGTCAGCTGGCACAGTCCGTATCCAAAATTCATTGGTCCCATTTCGCTGTTCCTCAGGCCATGTGTTTAGCACAACATGGTATCGTTGCCCTGGGTACATGTCAGTGCGTACCTCCACCGAGTGTTCAGAAGCCAATTACCGACCAATTCCAATTGCCAAGTGGTCTGTTTCATAAGGCTCAATAGGCACCAAGTCCGACTCAATAACAGTAAAGTTGTGGCTGTCAATGGCGAACACATAGGTTGTATCAGTGGACGTGTTGATCAGTCTTAATAAGTAACGTTTATGCTAGAAATATGTTTAGGGTAACACTCAAAGCAGGCAGAACTAAGACTTACACCTTCAACTTCCATTTCATATCTTCTAAGCAACATACCAGCATAGCTCCCTAGAATGTATTACGCACATCAGTCATGATCGCTACCAAGGCTTGCATAGATAGGCGAGCGTACCATTTCCGTTGATTAGGATGCTGGTCATCTTGGGAGGCGCTCTAGATTTTCCGGAAAATTGCTCCTGATAGTAGTCTTGGAAGGCACTTCTGTGATTATGGTCGCCCAGGAGAATTGGGTCGATGGACTCATCCCAGTTGGCCGATGTGGGTCCATGAATGGTCAGGGGCCCATACATGCCATCACTATATTGAAGTGAGTAGTGGCTGTGGTACCAGGTGGTGCCATATTGTGTGGCTCTGAATTTGTATGTAAAACTCCCCCCTGGTGCAATTGGGCACTGAGTAACCCCAGGTACGCCATCCATCAGATTATTTTCAAGCATGCGCAGCCCATGCATATGAATGGCCGTTCCATTGTAGGTGAGGTTATTCGTGACAGTGACGTCTGTTACCCATTAAAGTCAAGTAACAACTTAATGCCCCATCCATGTACTTACAAACTGAATCTCCCCAGCATGCCTCTACACATTATCAGCATCTGTCTCAACGTAGTGCTAAGATGACTTACGAATCCAGGGCCCAGGAAAGGTTCCATTGATCATCTTTGCCCCAGGAAAGGGGATTCCATCCCAATTCGCAGTGGTGTCATTACTAACGACGATATGGTACTTTATAAGGGCGTACATCAGTAGTCTGCCGCTCCACACGGTACACTAGATACTTACATCGCGTCGTACTCCCTGTGGCCAGGACGTCTCATAGTCAGTTGTGATGTTGTACTCATGCCCAGTTTTATTATTCCGGAGCCAGACACCTCTTAGATCTGGTGAATCCGGATGCCACCAGCCGGGCAATCCCGTGTAATTGCACTTTATGCGATTATCTTTACCGGTACCCGGTGGAACAAAAATGGGTGGTGTGGAGCTGGTTTCCTCGGCAGTGGTGTTACCTCCTTTTAGTAAAGGCGCCTGGTCCACCGAGTCCAGTCCAATCAAGGATGTGAAACCGAAGTACCTGATCAAGCTGATCACGTAAAGCTTAAGCTGCATTATGTAGGAAAAGGGCCTCAAGTAGCGTTGACACAGCGACTGATTCAACCGGAGATCCTGCTTCCATTGAATGAGGATTGAGGGAAAAATGTTAGATCTCTGCGCGAGGACTCCTCTCTCAGACCTTAAATGTCCATTATATGGTGGCAATCTGGTTATGCAACCCACCACCATTCTGCTTGTAGCAGCATAGGTCAAGGACGTCACTCTTTCCATGACGACTTCTACATACATCATCGACTCATGATGCGAAGAAACCGCTACCGCTCCCTATAGTGTCTGACAAGGTTGACGAATATGGTAAAAGCGCAATCGACGGAAGCTTGCATAGTTCCAAACCTTGTACTGTGACTTAACTTTACAAAGGCTAAGCATTGGCACGCATTGGCATGCATTGGCACAGCCTTCTTACAATTAACTTTGGTAGTACGTCAACAATTTGAAATTCGGAGACCTCGACCACTCCCTAGAAGCCTTAAGCTTAATCTAACACATAATCAAGACGAACAATTGCGTTCCTTGGAAAGTTACAGATATAAATGGAGCACGCCTCCCCGCTCTTACCACAGGGTCATTATGTCACTTGCGCTATTTCAATGCTTCTAATGGGATGTCCCATGGAATACAGTGAAGAATTGTAGTAATAATCATGAGTAGTGGAACCATGCATAGGGTCCATGTTGCCCCATACTAACTATGGTTGCCTACGGTCGCCGCTGCCTGTACTTCTGACCTGTACTTCTGACCTGTATCTGGGAGTCTATATCTAACTTGATCCGCCCCGAAGCCACACCCCTCCCAAAATCCAGCAAACTCAGTATTTTGAAACTATCCAAAAAAACCAAACAACGCGGCTTTTCGTTAGAACTAGCTAGAGTAGCCTGTAGGACACCTAACATAATTAGTAATAAAATGTTCTAGAGGACATTAGTTGAGCGCTTTTTATTGTCTGAGTCACGTAGTAGATAGAGGGATCAGGTTAGCAGGGGTAGCTAGAGTTGGAAATTGGTCTGAGTTGGTGCAAGTTCTGTATTAAGGAAATACAATGTCATTGATGACCACTAAACTCCGACTCCATATAATGTCCTACATCCTGGCTCTCACGGACGCCCTCGGCATTTCTGCTAGCGGGGTCAGCACCTCCATTCTGACCATTGTGTAACAGAGTGGATGTGGATCGGGTTACTCATTTCCTTGCATTATTCTAGTATGTGATATTACTTATTAGGTTCTCCTCATCATCAACATAGCTTACCAAAGAGACTACGATATGGGGCCTGCAGTCCTTGTGAGTCGTCGGGTATGCCCCCCTTCACCCCAATGCCCGCATCCGGCCCTCCTGTCACCTCCTGGGTAGAGTTGCATAACCGAACCATTAAACTCGAATCCAATCCTCACTTGTACTCATGCCATATTTCCAACTAAGGATCATGCTGTACCGACACAGTCCACCTGATGGTCCATCACGCTAGAGAATCCTGAAGAATTGGACTTAAGCGGCCTGATGGGCGCTTATTTGCATTGGACAGGAAGTGCTCGATTCCCGAAGCCGAAGCAAAGTCCCGCGAGCTGAGGCTATTTGAACATGTGCCTTGAAAGAAATTGTTCATTTTCTTGAATTTATAATACTTAAATGCATGTAACCAGTTCCATAACTTATTGTTTCTTGCACTTTCTAGAAAATCATGCTGTTTATACCATACTACTGTAAGTTGCCTGCATGCTTTTACCTAACTCACAAATTCCCATATCTTTATTCTTTAAATACCAATTACTTGTTTCTATGGCCAGCCGCCTCTTCATTCCTACACAGCATTACTTCAGGCAAATAGAATTCACTGCCATAGGTTCTTGCTCCTGCGCTATCGCGTAGCATACATCCGAATTTGATCATATCCTGACATGAAACATCTAAGCAATAGACCTGCTCCGTCAGCAAAGAGTCTGAGTCACTGACTTCTGAAGCAAACAAGCATTCTCAGCACAACAGGACCAGAAGCAGTGGACCAGCGCGGCCCAGCGCGGCCCAAACCATCAACTATACATAAGTGTTGACGTGATTGACTGCAACTTAAGCAATTATTTCCACACTGTTTTAAGACGTAGCGTTTGCTTAGTTACCAGCAACCTCGACTACTCTTGCATTGTCGCCCTGATCCTTCCCTTCGGGTTGCGAGTTGCAACTGGGCGAAATTTGGTCTTGTTTCACAGCTTTGTGAGAGAAGAAGGCACTAATGGCCTGATTCCACTGATTCCATCTTGGAGACTTCCTTTGGGCCAAGTCTATAATAAAGTGCAACTGTCAGCTCGACCAAATCGCAGCAAATAGTAAGAAGAGCTACTCGCCATTTAGGATATACAGCAGTTCAACTGATATTGGGGCCCAGACAGTCAAGGCAGCAACTTGTCCGAACCCCCAAGCATCATCCTCAAACTTGTCCCTAGCCAAGGTTCGCAGATGCCTTCTTTGCCGCCACATCATAGTAAGACCAACTACCATGCCTGCAGTCAACAGCCCTATTAGCAAGACCCAAAACAGCATCAATACTCTAAACAGTGTCTTATGTAACTTGTCTGCCTGGAATCTATCCTTCAGAGACTGAAGCCAGAACGCGATCGCTCCCGCGACGGCAAAGATAGCGGCAGTCCATGATGGATACGGTACCGGATTGATGACACTATAATCTGTTGAGCTGTGGGCGCACCCATCAGAGGCGAGTCTCCAATTCGCTCTGCTGTTGCTGTTCAGGTGGCTCTTGCCTAGGACAACAATCACAAGAACAAAAACTACAACGTAAAGCAGCACACGCGCTGCCCAGCGTGACATTGGCTGGACAACAACCAGGCAGAAGAAAGTCACAAGGATGCTGTTGATTTGCAGGAATGCCATTGCCTGCATCTCTGCAACCTCAAAGGTAGATGGGTTCTGCGACAAGTGTGCAAGGGAGGCAAGGGCGGACGAGGCGATGAAAAAACCGTTCGAGGAGAAAAAATTAGTTTGAATGACTTTCAACTCTCTGATAAAGCTGCTGGCTGGCGACAGGGCAAGATACAGCAGACGATACACGGGACCAACGAGGATGGTAAGCGCGGTCTGTATGCTATATGCATACATCATCTGCAGCGAAATGGAATGCCAATCGATTAGCTACAGCCTCATGTCTGCATGAGAGAACAAACTGGCGTAAAGTAAATGCAGTGGTTTAACTTACGCCGATCCCCGATAGATCAGGGTTTCCTACCCCGTATGTGAGCAGGCACAGATTTTGGCAGTTCTGAACCTCTGCAGTGATGTTTAAACCTTTCTTGTTGGCATAATTGAAGAAGTCCTCGATCTTGTTGAAGTCACACTTTCTGCCATCCTCTACCATAGACATTTCGGGTGTAGATATAGCCGGGATTACACTCGAAACTTCGGGCCTTGAAGTTTCCTGGGGAAGTGCCACAGCACATTGCAGATGTAACAGGGCGTAAGCCACCAGGTAGTGCCAAAGGGGTAGCATGGTTTGCTTCTGAAAACCTCAATAACTTCCAGGGACGAGAGAGTTCCAAACCTGAATCTATCGGGACGACAGGCCTTCGTCATATCCCAGACGCAAGGCACGGCTATCGATGAAATACTCAACAACCTGGCCAAGGCCGCCGTAGCAATATGCAAAATTTGCCAGCAGGCTACTGGCACAGCTTTTAAAGACCAAAATAAGCAAGGCTGAGATCACTCACAATGGATGTGGGCGGGGTTTCTGCCTGACATTTCAGGGCATGTCCGATCACAATTTAGATATCCTCCCTACATGTAACCCCAACAAGAATGGCTTCAATCATGAAGACTGGATGGGGAGTTTCAGTGTAGCGACAGCCAATAATAAAATTAAAGCCGGCCGTATGCATTTGTGAGGCCCGACGAGCATTCGTGGACCCTGTCGCCTGCTACCTGCGGCCATGCAGGGACGTATGGGAGAATACCCCAGTCTACGCCATATCTCGGGGTTATACAGAGTCGTAGCGCCCTCGTACTAATGTGTGTCTGGCTCAATTCAGCTCGCCAGATATTTTTGTTCCGCTGTTCCTGTTGGGCAAACGTTCTGTTCTGCGTTCCTTAAGAGGCGTAGCACGTTACACATATACCAGTGATTTGGCCAGGCGGGGCTAGTTTACCTGGCAATTCCCATTCTTTTTGATGGAGTGCAGGTAATCAAATTACTCAGTAAGTACTCCGTAGTATCCGCATTCAGAACCATATCAATGGCCCCTGTTTGTTATTTGGCGCCCCACTTCAGAATTCGGCCCCCACTGAAGATATAGTCTTGTGTTTGGGGTCGGGCGCATTCAGTCCAAAATTGGGGTTTCCGACGTCGTAAGGATTACAAATCACCAATTCCTTTCTGGTGGGGGTTGGCCACAATTAACAGAAAGGAGGGGACCATTCATATCGTTTTGTCAGACAGCGCAGCAAGTGTATTGAATAGCACTAAACCCCACGAATATGGCGGTCCGAGTCATCCAACCTAAATAGCAACGGTATCTGACTCAATACACGAGTAACAAGGCTTGACCGACTAGCAGGATGTTCCCATAGACAACAGGTCTCATATGTCCGATCACTCGCAAAGGTGGATCGAGGACGACGACATCCAATGTACCATCGCTGATAGGTGGAACAAGGGCTGCCCAGCAAAAGACAAGTCCAGGAAACACTGCGCTACAGCCTCTGGCGTGGGGAATATCCAAATATGGCCGAAAATGAGAAGGCTGACCGTAGGTTATTTTCTGGCCTTGTCTTTCGCCGGAAACATTACAGCAACTGCTGAAGAGTTCGCAACACGAAGGCTGCCGCATCGTTGGTAATGACAGGCTGGACAACACCCTCGTCAACGCGGTCGACCAACTAAATTGGGCGACTTGTATCGGGTCTGGGTTTGCCTTTCTGATCTGTTGTTGCGATTGCAGTAGTGCAAAAATATGGGCAACTCTCCACCAGAAGAAAGAAGAATGTGGGGGATTTGTGGGATTGATGGCATGTTTGCCATCCTTTGCCAGCCTAATTGCTTCCTCTATTCATGACCTCTGAATCTGCCGAAACCTTCACTTGACGCTGTAATAATTTTTACTGGCTGGCGTCTGCATGTTCCCAGCTGCGGACTTCAATAGGCTACGGTTCTCGCTACCGATATTGGTCGAGATTGACCTGTATCAATACGGTGGCACCAATCACACGTCTCCTACGTCTACCCTTGTAGGGATCCGAGTACAGCTCATTCCTTGGCGGGCCAGGCCCTGAGGCCCCTGACCACTAGACCCTGGCACTTCAAAGGAATTATGTTGGCCGTCTCACCCTTCCTAAATTCTTACCAGGGCAGACCCAAAGAAAACGGACAGCCCCAGTTCGGCTGGCGGCTGAATTCAACCAGCCTTGAAATGGAAACAGGGGTGTCAGCAGCCAAACATTGGGCATAAATCGAACCAGAACACCCTTCGGGAAAAGCTCTGCAAGTTATCTGGGTGGTTTGTCCTTAGGTGGACTATCTCGCTCAAAGATTCAAACGCTGTCCGGATCAACTCGTATCCGTGCAGCCACAGGTTCTCATCATGTCTGGAGACCACAGTAACCTCAAATCTCGCCCGTATGAGCCCGCACATGTCTCTGAAGTCGGTTCCGAGCCATTGAGTTTCGCCTCCGCTGAGTATAAGCGCCATCCGATGTACTCGCCCAGGGAATGGCTCTTAGAAACCATCACCTCAATTTTGAGCCTAGGCCTCCTCATTGGCATCGCCTGCATCTTCTGGTATATGGACAACAAGCCTCTCTCTGCCTGGAGCGCCCGTGTTTCTCTCAGCGCGACTATTTCTATCCTGACTACCGGCTACACCGCGGCGCTGATGCACGGCGTGAGCCAGTTCATCGGCCAACTCAAGTGGCTTCACTTCAAGACCGGATCTCGGAAGCTTTCTCACTTTGAAACATTTGATGAAGCTAGCCGCGGCGGCACATGGGGATCTATCATGTTACTTACCACAGTCAAGTGGAACCTGGCCACAATTGGCGCGTTTATCACTATCATGCGACTCACCTTGGCGCCATTTGCCCAGCAAGTGATCCTGTTCCAGCAGCGACAAATCTACTCCCCCGATGACCGCGTCACCTTTGGATATACACACAAATACTCCCTTGAGTGGATGGGAGAAATGGTGAACCCTCGTATTGGTAGCATCTTCCGCGCCCCGAGTTTAACAAGAAGTGCCGCTCACATATTTTGACTAGAGAGCATTCCGCAAGATCCCAATATGCAGTCCGCTGTGGTCCAAGGACTCTACGGCATCAACACCCCGGCAATGTTCAGCTGCCCCGGGGAGTGTCGTTGGACTGGGTCCTATATATCACTGGGTTTCAAGAGCCAGTGCAAGAACGTCACCCAGGAAACCTTGCGGTCAGCCAAATGTGATGGTAATGAGTATTCCACGCAATGCAACATGACGACACCAGGCGGATTAGGCATCTCGACTCGCTATTACTTCACCCAATGGGCTACTAACTACTTCTTGAATGCATCTTCAATGTTGGGAAACCCAACAGTCACAGCTCTGCCAGACACCTTTCCGGAAATTACAAGATTCGCAGTATACAGATCGACCCCGAACTTTGATCTCCAACCTGAGAACATTAACATTACGGAATGCTCTCTCTCACTCACGGCGTACGAATACATAGACGCAAAGGCGAACGGCAGTGATTTTTCCTTTGGGAAGATCCGGGAGGTTGATTTCGGCATCACGAATCCCTGGAAACGTTCATGTTGTCAGTATGAATGGGGCTGGCTGTACACGAACGAGTCCAAGACCGATAATATTCCTGCGCTCGAAATACTCTATTCCAATCTCGCAGCCCTGCGAAATTTCTTGGTGTCCCCGACGATCGTTACTGAGTGGGTTGAAGGAAACTTTGACAACAAAAACCTAGGTCTGGCTGCTGCTCTATCTGGTGACGTGAACATCGAGCAGCGTTTTGAGAAAATGGCGGCCAGTATGACGGACTATCTGCGTCACGGGCCAAACGCCGAGGCTGCACATGGAGAGAGAATCGAGAGCCAGCCGTTTGTTTTGATTCGCTGGCCGTATTTTATTCCGCTTATAGCAACTGAGCTGATAGCGATTATGTTCGCTGTCTTGACCATATTCAGCAATCGTAAGGACCGCCAAGTTCCTCTGTGGAAGACTTCGACGCTTGCGGTGCTGGCTTGTCAGCATGAGAAGCGGCTTGGCTTGCTACAGAGCACGGTCACGGATGTCAAGGACCTCCAGGAGTCGGCGGGGAAGACTGAAGTACGGCTGCAGTAGGAATCGGCTATTTTCAGGCTCGGGGTAGTGTCCTCGCAGCTAGGACCGCGACCGAGAGGCTTTGGAATACAACTTGTCAACCACTGAAGCGCTCCCACCAGTAACAGCAGTACTTCAACTTCCGTGGCCATGGTGTCCTTTCCCACACTGTAGGATTTTACATTACATCAAGACGATCTGAGGCTGGCAAGAACCCTCTTCACCTCTTACGCCACTCGGTCTATTCTCGACTCAAGACTGGAAACGCCCAGAGAACTTGATAAGCTTTGCTTCAGGATTTGTTTCCTCACGCTGCCAGACAGAGTGACCATTAACGCTGACGGTCGACACAAACCAGCTGAAAATGGCGAGTATCTGGGAAGCTCTGGCGAGGGTGGGCAGGCATACACAGCGTCGAGTATCAATGATATGCAAGCCATCTCTCATCGCAATACTTAGACCGCAAAACGCGCCGCTGAAGGGGTGTCTTTCAGCCTTCAATACGTACAGAATCAGTGTATAAATCAAGGTTACATTGATCGCTCACCACGTCAATCTCCCGCCATACAAGCCAAGAAAAACATGAAAAGAGCGCCAGCCTGCTCTCAAGACGGCGGAGGAGTAATTAGCAAACGTAAAGGGCTAATTGAACAAACAGCCGCTTCTGACGGCTGCGGGTTGGCGGGAATGGTGGCAGTGCTCTTGCCTGCGGGGTATAGGACTGAAACAGATTTTAGCTCCCCGGTCCCCAGGTTCTCAAAGTTGCTGTCGGTGCTCTGTCCTTCCTCGAAGGTCTTTTTATCCTTTCTATTCATTTCTTGGAATTCCCGGACTGACTGAGCCCTATATATTTGTGACTGGGCCAGCCGATGTCCGTAAACCCAACGCAATCAAACTTCAATTTCCGGCTGACTGAGAGGGACCCGTCGCAAGTTAGCTTGGGCTGGTGGCCATGGACCAGTGGCTCTTGGAACGTATGGGAGAAAAGCCTTCCAGCACAAGTTCGCTACAGCGGAAACCTATAACAGCGTGCGAGATATGTCGGCAGAAAAAGAGACGTTGTGACACTGAGACTCCCTGTGCAACTTGTCGGCGCCTCTCCCGTGCTTGTATTCGCCCCCAAAGGAAGGGCGAGATACACGAAATATTAGAACCTAGGGTTCAACGATTGGAATCTCTGATTTCGGAACTCAGCGGCAACTTCTTCGCTGGTCCTGGTCAGAATGTTGCTGCGACAGAGCAACAAGTCTCTTCTCCGCTATACTTGTTGACTGATTCTGAAATTATCCAGCACTCCGCTGAAATGTATCAGCCATCTCGTTCAGTCGCGGATAGCATCTCTGCCACATCAGTATCCTTATCTGCTATACCGTCTCCGCATTATATCGCCTCCGAGGCTCCCGATACATTCTCTACAAGCTTCCAACAAGTACCAGAGAGGCTTTCACCAGGATATCCTACGTCGCCTACAACAGCTTCCTCACGTCTGGCCGATGTGCCACCCCAGTATCTTCCTCTTTCAGCATCATCCTTAGCCATGGGCACAAACTGTGCCTCACCCGCAGTTCTTGATTCTCTGCATTCTGCTACCAGCAAGGCCTCGAACATAACTACCTCGCCCACCCGATTCGAGGCAGAGACACTTCTGGACATATTTTTTAACAAGGTCGGAGCGGCTAAGTATACTGTCAGTCGGGAAATGTTCCAATTATTCCTGGATGTTATATACTGTTCCTTGCCTGTTTCCTACGATTGGAAAATCCCCTACATCGATATCATATCCAAATTCCATGTCTACATGGCAATGGCAATCGGTTTACGGATGAAAACCGAGCGTCACCCAACAGAACGCCAACTTTTGGAGATATGCTATCGGCTTGCACTTGAAGCCGCTAAAGCACCAGATTTCTGGTCACTGCCTCTCTCGGCAGAGGCGGCAATGCTCTTCATGTTATTTGCTCAAGTCAGTTAATGATAGGTTAACGATTATCACTGTATGTGATTATAGTCCCTTTTCTGCTTCCCCTTTCGGGGTTTACAATTGAATTTGACAGTGGCCTTGGCAAAAAAATATATAACTTCCACCTCAAGGCCAAGCGCTTACCAGAATCCAAAAACGCACACATGTCCCGAAATGCACTGCAACACGAGCCGCCATTTGACTACGGATTGGGGAATGACTCAATAACTGTCAGCTTACGGTTATTCCTTGCCTTTGACGACATCAAGCCGGTTGCTGTCCGACATGTCCCGACCCATTTTTGTTGCGATCATCCCGCTGCTGCTTCTCATTGGGCGACGACTCCTCAATCGCTCCTTATGGTTTCATACTCCGTTTAGCACCCCGCTCATGTGGAGGCTGTGCAAGGGCAACGTGTGGTTGAATTTCCAGTCAATCCCATATTGATATGATACCTCTTCTGATCGCCTGTTTATGACTGCTCGCGATTCCGCACCTGTGGGGGTAGTGAGGTCGTTGCCCACGCTTGTACCGTAAGTGATCAAGTCTGTGAATGGAAAAGAGAGGCTTATTTGGATAAAGTGCTGGACTCCTGGGGATGATAGATATATATCAGAAGTATCAACCGAAGGAGTATTAGACGTATCATAGCCGAACGGCGGGAAGATGCAAAGTCGGTTTCTTGAAAGTAGACTCGCTTGATTTCCCCAGATAAAGCAAAATAAATATGGCCGTTTCTACCGGTGATGACCTTTCCTAAATGACTGATGTCCATAATATTCTTAATAAGCTTAAATCATATCCACGATATGCCGTACCATAGCCGAGCGACGTTCAATCATATCAAACAAACCATGCGCGGTGCAGTCTTTAGTCTTCCCGTTGCTCTCTTGCTAGTGCGCAGGCAGCGGAGTCGTCAACTGTTGTTGTCTTCCTTCTATGTCGCGTTCTCGATGTGCACAATTTCCTTCTTCTTCTCATCTGACTGAACCCCGCCAATTTCATAGTCAAAGGCAGTGGCGGCCCCGAATAACGCCTCCATCTCCTCCAAGGTCTTTCCTTTCGTCTCGGGGACAAAAAACCACGCCCAGAAGCCCATGCAGATCATCAGTGACGCGAAAAAGAAATACGTACCATAGCCAAGCGAGGTAATCATGTACGGTGTGGTGCGACTGACGATGAATGACCAGAGCCACTGGTCGGCTGTGGTGATTGCTACACACAGCATACGAATATCAATTGGGAAGATTTCCGCACACACTACCCAGGTAATGCCCTGGAAGAACATGTCAGCTCAGCTCATGGCAAAAGGACATGGCGGGAAAAGAGGGGCACTACTTACCTGCCAAGTAGCGCAGTAAATGAGCCCATAGAGGTAGACACAAACCATGGCAATATACCCCCAGGCAGTACGCACCGTGTCCCCTCGGGCTGAGGCGCCTGTTGGGTCCTGTTTGAAGACATAGCCCCCTATGTACCACATTGGAAGGCTGCCTATAAAGGCACCCCATACCAGGCCACTGCGCCGCCCCACCCTCTCAACCAGCCACACACTGAAGATGATCATCCCGACTGTTTTTGCGATCCCGTAGAACCCAGTTGCAAATAACTTTGTGTCAGTGCTGCCGATACCAAGTGTTTCAAAGATCCGTGGGGAGTAGCTTCAAGTCATACTATTAGCGGGAGTGCTCCTTCCAGAGGCGACATTGCGATCCTTACTATGTGATAATGTTCACGCCCGTCAAATTCTGAAAAGCCATCAACAAAAGACCAATGCCGATACGATTCCGAGTCCCTTTTTGAGTCAAGCGCCTCACATAGTACCACGGGCTATGCTTGGTTGTCGGGGGAGCAAGGCCGATTAGGATTTGCTCACGGATCTGCTGAAGTTCGTCTTGGATGAAGGGATGGTCTGCCGGCAGAGTGCGTACCCATGTCAAACTGCGTTCGGCTTCCTCCCATCGATCTTTTCTAGCGTACCATCGCGGAGATTCAGGACAGCAAAAGACTCCTGCTAGGAGCAGACCACCTGGAAGGAGCTGTAAGCCCAAGGGCACTTGCCACTGAGACCTCAGAGAGGAGGATATCGTGCGGTTAATGGCATAGTTGATCCAGAATCCTAACATGCCGCCGCCTTGCGAGCAGATTTCGAAAATACCAACCAGCCGACCTCGAATTGACGATGGTGACTGGACTCCATTAGCTCCGAAGATAGATTGATTACTGAGAAGCGTGTTCGTTTGACTCACCATTTCCGCTATATATACCGGTACTTGGAGAGACACAGATCCAATTCCGAATCCTGCAATGGCACGACCAGCATAAATCAAACCCAGGTGACCGGATGCAGCAGTCTTGAAGAACGAGATAGTTAGTTTCCCAGTCTGGCTTCTCTTGGAAATATTGATAATCTTCTCACCATTAAACTGCCCCCTACACAGAAGACGCTCACTGCCATAACAATCGCCAATTTCCGCCCGAACCTTTCTGCAAGCGGGAAGGTGAGAAGTGACCCGAAGAAGCATCCGACCTGAAATGTGGATACAATGTTGCCTTCCAGCGTATCCGTCTCTGACTTGGATGCTTTGTCCAGGCCGAAGTCTCGACGAAATGAATCCAGGGCCATAGTTCCGCCAATGACGCTGGTGTCATAACCCACTGTAATGATGGTTAGTATGGCATGACGTAGGCTGCGACTACAACTTACTAGCAATGGCTCCCATGCTCATCACCACAGCGATAAGGTGTATTCGCCAATTACGGACCTCAGGTGGATCATTGCTGTTTTTGGCATGGAGGGTGATACCCATATTGACGAGCGTTTAGGATCAATGAACAATGCTAATCTCCGGAAGGTTAGTTCAGTCGAAACAGTCGGAACGCTTGGAAAAGCAAGAGACCCTTGTGGGGGAGGCTGTACATCTTTATGTGGGTTCTGAACAGGGGGACCCTTCTCCGCATCCTCGTCTCCTGTCATATTCTTGGCAGCGGGTTACTGCTGGACCACGCGTGTATTTAAATTTATACAACTTAATTTCAGGTAACATACATGATTCTTACTATTAGTTGACCAACTACCGGTATCGCGGCTGGTTAAAGTTCAAAGAATCGATGCATGTGTGTTGCTCTGGTCCGTGCCCTTACCTCCCGGAGACTTGGCATCCCGCTCTCAATACTTTGCGACTAGTAACAGGCTCGTTCTGAATCCGCCAAGAGCGGAAATTTCCGTTGACTCTGTTCAAGGTTACATGGTGATTCAGGATCTCTCCTCTCCATAGGTTAGGTGAGCGGTCAAGATCTAGAGCCCAGGCTTGGCGAGGCCAGTCCGGCTATCGTGACGAGGCTGTGCAACAGAAGCCATGCATTATCCGGGGTAGACCTCGATACATTGCGGGGTGGGTGACGTCCCCCAGACCCAAAGCCCCACCCCCGGCTCCCCCAACTCTGGCCTGAACTGGAATGGCTTTGGAGATTGGCGTTCAGGATGCCGGCTAGACCATGTGCTAATTGTCTCGGCGTCGGCTCTGCGGCCTCTGCCCATACCTTGGTCGGTCCTGGCCGTTTCGCCCACATATCCCTCAGGCCCGTCTTCCTTGGTATATAGCAATCTGCATAATTTCCGGAGGTTAGGGCACTCTTGGGTCACGCTGATTGCCGAGATTTTTCAAGGCGCGGTGGCCTTCCGCAAGCACTGCCTCACTCTATCGAAGGCCGAGAGCCTTGGCAACCTCCTCTTGCGAAGTTCTTCTCCCCTCTGATACCCGACCCAAAGAAATTTCTTAAGACTTACTATCTTGCGGGCAGTTCCCCAGGGCAGCCAAGCATGGTGGGTCTCTCTGCGGAGTGATCTACTGCATGCTACCTCTCTTCATGCGGTGAGCCCCTTCGTACAGACCATTGGATCGTCGGGGAGCGAATACCAGGAATTACTGACCATCTTCAAAGTCTCAGTGGGGTTATCTTGCGGAGCCGTCGCCGCTTTTCGGGTCTTCAAGTCCCCTGGGTCCCCTGGGAACTGGCTTGGCACGAAAATATGGAATCTCGGAGATGTCCCCAGCCATTTTTTGAGACGGCTTGGGGTTTGCACAGCCTTCTGTGATCTGGACGAGTCCTAGCAGCCCTTGGAGTGGAGCTGTTGAGTAACATCATGATTAGGGTTCAAGGGTGATGAAAATGATAAATGCTCGTTCGGTCCTCCTTGATGTCCCTTCTGACTCAGGCCTGCAATCATTTGTCTAGAGGCTCTGGACGCTACCTTTTTCCTTCCTTCAAAATCATATCCAAGCGACATGATGGCATCATCTGAAAAGGAAGCGGACGCTTCACCCCAAGCGCCTGTTCCCACTATTACAGTCCAAGTTCCGGTACCTACGTGACCAGTCATCCACAAGCTTCCCACTATATATTCAACATCTAACATTGACTCAGGATCCCATTTCCGATACTTTCGCAGCCAATGAAATAAATAGAGACCTCCTGCCAGAGGACCCCACGCGGAATAGATCGCTTAGTGATCTAACAGCAACAAGCTGCGTCTACACCGGTCGCGATCGAGCGATGAGTGAAACTACAATGGCACCGAGTAGTCCGCGGTTGAGTCTGCCGAAAGGGGAAATGGACCAGTCGTCTAGCCTTGCATCCAGCATTTTCTCAGCAAATGAGCAAGAGGAAGCTCTGCGGCCAGACCCGGGCACTGAGGCAGACTTTAAGGTCGACAATAACCCGTTTCAGTTTTCTCCCGGCCAACTGAACAAGCTTCTGAACCCGAAGTCTTTACCTGCACTCATGGCTCTAGGCGGGCTCCCGGGGCTGGTAAACGGTCTTCGTACGGATCCCAATGCGGGCCTCAGTGCAAATGAAACTTCAGTATCGGACGGGTCCCATTCGAAGGAACCCTTTGCGGACCGCATCCGTGTCTTCAAACGAAATGTCCTCCCAGAGAAGAAAGCAACACCCCTCTGGAAGCTCATGTGGATGGCCTACAATGACAAGGTGCTCATTCTGCTTACTGCGGCTGCCGTTATTTCCTTGGCCCTAGGCCTGTACGAGACTTTTGGTGTGGAACATCCCCCAGGTTCAGGAATGCCCCTTGATTGGGTTGAAGGTTGTGCAATTTGTGTTGCTATCATCATCGTCGTCATGGTGGGATCGTTGAACGACTACCAGAAGGAACGAGCGTTTGTCAGGTTAAACGCGAAAAAGGAAGATCGTGAAGTGACTGTGATTCGATCTGGAAAAGCTCTTAGAATTTCCGTTCATGACGTTCTCGTCGGTGATATTCTTCATCTGGAGCCTGGGGACCTTGTTCCCGTTGATGGCATCTTTATCGGAGGTCACAACGTGAAATGCGACGAGTCGTCCGCCACCGGAGAATCTGACCAGCTTAGAAAAACAGGAGCTGAACAAGTTATGCGATTGCTCGAGCAAGGACACACCAAGCAACAGGATCTGGATCCCTTCATCATCTCTGGAAGCAAGGTTCTTGAAGGCGTTGGTACATGCGTGGTCACATCAGTGGGCGTTAATTCCAGCTACGGCAAGATTCTCATGGCCATGCGTCAGGATATGGATCCCACACCCCTTCAAAAGAAGCTGGATGGTCTAGCTGGCGCTATTGCTAAACTGGGAGGAAGTGCTGCGGTGCTTCTATTCTTTGTCTTATTGTTTCGCTTCCTGGGCAGCCTTCCGGGTAACCACCAAACCAGCACAGAGAAGGCGTCTCAATTTACTGATATTCTCATTGTTGCAATTACTGTCATTGTGGTGGCTGTTCCAGAGGGCCTTCCTCTTGCTGTTACTTTGGCACTCGCTTTTGCAACGACACGCATGGTGAAGTTGAACAATTTGGTCCGAGTGCTGAAATCCTGCGAGACGATGGGTAACGCTACCACGGTCTGCTCAGACAAAACAGGAACACTAACTCAGAACCGCATGACCGTTGTTACTGGCACCTTTGGTTCTGATGCATTCGACGACAAGAACCAGAGCAGCAATGGCCGACGCTCTGCAGCTTTTGCAAACGACATGCTCCCGGATCATAAAAGATTGATTATCGAGTCTATAGCGATCAACTCTACTGCGTTTGAGGGCGAGGAAAACGGCATCCCTGGATTTATCGGCTCAAAAACAGAGACTGCTCTTCTTGGATTCGCTCGTGATGTCCTTGGAATGGGCTCCTTGGCCGAGGAACGTGCCAATGCCACCGTCATACAGTTGATGCCTTTTGATTCAGGCCGTAAATGTATGGGTGCTGTGGTCCGATTATCCGATGGTACGCATCGATTCCTTGTCAAGGGTGCGTCTGAAATCCTCCTCGGGTACAGCTCTTCGCTCTGGATGCCATCAGGGCAGGTTGCCCTTGGCTCCGCGGAACGCCAGCGACTGGAGGGAGTTATCCTGAATTACGCAAAACAGTCACTCCGCACTATCGCACTGGTTTTTCGTGATTTTGCAGAGTGGCCTCCTAGCCATGCTGTCAACCCAGAAGATCCTTCGGAGGCCGATCTCAGTCTGCTGCTGAGCAACATGAGACTTCTTGGTATTGTTGGTATCCAAGATCCTATCCGGCCTGGTGTTCCTGAGGCTGTCGCTAAATGCCACCATGCCGGTGTGACTGTTCGCATGGTCACTGGGGATAACATGGTTACAGCCAAGGCTATTGCAACCGATTGTGGAATCTACACAGGAGGAATCGTGATGGAAGGGCCTCGATTCAGGACTTTGAGCGACGAGGAATTCGAGGATGTCCTTCCTCACCTGCAGGTTCTTGCGCGTTCGTCACCCGAAGACAAGCGAATACTCGTCACGAAGCTACGAGATATGGGTGAGATTGTTGCAGTAACAGGGGACGGCACTAATGATGGACCGGCGCTCAAGGCCGCCAATATTGGCTTCTCTATGGGGATTGCTGGTACTGAGGTGGCCAAGGAGGCGTCTGCAATTGTGCTTATGGACGATAACTTTTCGTCTATTCTAACTGCGTTGATGTGGGGAAGGGCAGTCAACGATGCCGTGCGCAAGTTCCTCCAGTTCCAGATTACAGTCAACATCACAGCCGTCCTTCTCACCTTCATTTCATCAGTTTCTGACCCCGAGATGCGATCTGTCCTGACCGCCGTACAACTCCTATGGATTAACCTCATCATGTAAGGGTAAATGCTCTCCGATCCAACTGGTTCTTGGCTGACCGAACTTTCCTTTATAGGGATTCCCTGGCTGCACTTGCGCTTGCTACCGATCCCCCGACTGAGGAAATCTTGGACCGCAAACCCGTCAAGGGTGGCGCACCTCTGATCTCGATAACAATGTGGAAGATGATTATTGGCCAATCGATATTTCAGTTAACAGTCACTCTGATTCTCCACTTCGGTCCTCGCCAGAACTTCCTGGACTACCCTGACGAGTACAGACGGTCCATCGTGTTCAACACTTTTGTGTGGATGCAAATCTTCAATGAATTCAACAATCGACGTTTGGACAATCGGTTCAATATCTTCACTGGCTTACATCGCAATTGGTTTTTCATTGGTATCAACTGCATCATGGTTGGCTGCCAGATTGTCATTGCCTTTTACGGTGGCGCTGCATTCAGCATTGTCGCAATCGAAGGGGAACAATGGGCGATCTGTATTCTTATTGCAGCAATCTCGCTCCCTTGGGCCATCTGTATCCGCCTGTTCCCGGATGTGTGGTTTGAAAGGATTGCGAAATTCGTCGGCAAACCTGTGGTACTTGTCTACCGACCATTGAGTCGAGGAGCACACCGACTAGGTCAGAAGATTCGTGGCTGGAAGCATAAATCCGACTCAGCTGAGGAAGAAAAATCGGACCAGTTTACTCCCGGCCAACCGACCCAGGATCCAGAGAAAGGCCTATAAGGAGCTGTTCATGATGCTATGGAACAATATGCTTCTGTAAACCCATTTCCTGCTTGTTTCTGTTCTCTTCCTGGCAAATCGCACCCCTCACTATGTGTTCGGCATCTACTTACTTGTACCGACCACTCACACATATGCAATGTTTACATTCTTGCCTTATATACATAATGACTAGCACTTAACTCAGTGCCTTCCTTTGTCCTGCGTCTGCCACTTTGCATCCCCTGCCGCCATTACGGAGGTTCAGCCTGCCTGTCAACAGATACCATGTCAGCGTGTCCCTTTCTAGATCATGTATGTTCAAGGCTATAACAAAATAATGAAAAGATGGCCACTTCATTACCATGCAGGGATGAATCCAACCCAAGCCGAACAAGACTTTTCGCTGCCTCTCTGGATGTCAGCCGTGTTGGTGAGTAGCAAGCGACTGTCTGTTCCCACTATCAGCCGCCTTAACATCCCAACCATCGTCAAGGAGTAACTTGATAGTCGTCTGGTTCTTTCGACTGGCTGCATTGGCTCCCGCGAAGTATAAATGAAGTGGAGGTTTCCCCAGGTTGTTTGGAGAGGCTAATATTTGTTTGTCGCGCTCTGTGGCCACATCGACGATATGGCGGACCATCGCATCATGTCTATAGCCCCAGTTGGCTGCGGCTGCACGGAGAGCAGTATTACCATCCTTATCTCGAATTATCCAGTTGGCACACGACTCAGGAAGCACTCTACTAATCATATCTGCGCTTTGCTATGCTCTGAGTCACCAGGCGTGCAGAGTAAATGGCAAGTTGTTTTACCATCCTCACCTTGTGCGTTAACGTCCGCACCTACTAAGAGACAACTGGTGATTGAATTATTGACGTCCCCATCATGACATGGCTGCCGTAGTGCGTACAAGCAGAGAGCATCCGCGGCATCCCCTAATAATATCAAGGTCGACTATTCCCTGCTTGTAGAGGTCCACGAGCGTACAAACTGTCACTTCCCTGCCAGCTTCAGGTGCTCCACTGCCTTTGCTTGAGAAGCTGTTGCCTATGAGTTACTGCAGCTTCTAGCGCCCAGCCCGTCAAAATAGATTTCGAAGCTAAAGCGCTATGCATATCACTAGGCAACAGTGTTTCAGTCAGTCATAAGTTTAGAATTTCTCAACCCCTATTGAACGTCGATTCATTTATAAGCATTGACATGGCTTGTTTATTATCCTTGTAGAAGTATTCTCTCATCTTCATTACCTTGATTGATCTCGCAACTTTCAATCAACAACGGATGAGCTTTATGGGACTTGTGACCCTGCCTTACACTCTGTGCGTGATCTTCTCCAACAGAGAATCGCCTCAAAGGATGAACTAGGTGCATCCCTCTGTGTGAATGTCGATGGGAAAAATATACTCGACCTGTGGGGAGGCCACGCAGATGTGGCCCGGACTCGGCCTTGGCAGAAAGACACGATTACAGTGGTCTGGTCGTGCTCCAAAGTTGTCACCAACTTAGCAGCTCTCATCCTTGTTGATCGTGGTCTGCTTGATGTGAATGAGAAGGTGGCCACGTACTGGCCGGAATTTCGAGCCAACGGCAAAGAGGATGTCACAGTGCCCCATGTTCTCAGTCACTCTTCTGGGGTCCCCGCATGGGAGCTTCCTATAACTCTAGAAGAGATATACGACACGAAAAAGGCCACCGAGAAGCTTGCTGCTCAGGCCCCCTGGTGGATTCCGGGTGAGAAGAGCGGATACCATCTCACAAATCAAGGTCACCTTGTCGGCGAAATCATTCGACGTATAACTGGCAGACCGCTTGAACAGTTTGTGGCCGACGAAATCACAGGCCCCTTGGAAGCTGACTTTCAGTACGGCGTACCAGAAGAACATTGGCCACGCACAGCAGATATCATCCCACCTCCAACGCTCCCGTTTGGCGAGCTGGATCCGCAAAGTATAACGGCAAAGGCGATCGCCGGCTCACCTTTTCCCGCTGAGGCTTCTATGACAGCAGGTTTCAGAAAAACCGTGTCCAGTGCGAACAATGGATTTTCCAATGCGCGTGCATTGGCCAGAATCGGATCTATAGTCTCTCTTGACGGCATTGTCGACAAGAACAAGCGCACCATCTCAGCCAGTACCATTGAGAAAATGCTCAGGGAGCAGATAAAGGGAACGGACATTGTCACCTTTGATTTCCTGCGATTTGGTCTTGGCGTGGCTCTGCCAGCACCGCAAACTTGTGCCTGGATTCCTGGGGGAAGAATCGGCTTCTGGGGAGGCTGGGGAGGATCTATGATCACCATGGACCGTGACCGACGCATGACTATCTCCTACGTGATGAACAACATGTCTGGTAGAGGCACTCTGGGTAACGACAACACCGAAGCATATGTCAGAGAAATTTATCGGGTCATCGATGGACTGTGCTCGTCGTCTGCATAGATTCATAGATTTGTCCACCGTTTCCTTAAACGCCTCGACGGCGTAGGGCAGGGTATGAATGACTAATCTAGCAGGCCACGTATCTTAGGCGGATCCCAGGGTTTGGCACACCCCTCACCGCATAGCTGCACCTGTTCTTGAGAGGGCACAGAACAGTAACAAAAATCAATGTCTTTGGCTTGTAAGCCGCGTATACTTTACGAGGGTTGGGACTCAGTAGTAGCACGATTTACATTTTATTATTTCCTACGACTGGTCCTTGATATCAGCTCAGCTGAAACCTATTGTGGGTGCGGGTTGGATTGCCGGATTACTTAAATCAACACCATCATGGCGCTTCATGTGATCCGTAGTGCTGTACTTCAGCTGATGTCCGAGCATCGGTGTGGCTGGCTGATAATATTAGTTCTCTCCATGCCCCGTAAAGTGAGGTATCAACCTTTACACATAATCAGTTGTGCCACCGTAGTATGGTCCCTCGGATTCGTGGATATTGTACTAGACATTGGACGGATGCATTACCTTCATAGATCTCTGCTGCTGCCTGGAATACTAGCCATGCAACGGTACTTCTGCGACTCCATCTCTCTTTGGGATGGATCGACAAGTCTTTCCCCTGTGTGCCGACTGCATCTTCGAAAAATTTTAGTCCATCCGAGAAGTCGATCCGCTACATGGCATTACTGCATATATACTCCATACCCCAATTTCAACCCGAGCTGCAAGAGGCCCGAGCTCACTGAGACCGTCGACGCCCTGATATCTTCAGGGTTGAGGAACTGGTTAGAAGAGGCAACCAACCTCGGATTATCAATATTGTGGGCAGACGAGATATAGATATTCCTGGAATCTCCGGCGAAAAGGTTTTCATAGGGGACAATATCGGAATTTCGGATCCGGGCGCTAGGAGTCATGAGATCATATTGAAAGTCATGACAGGCTCCGAGGTTATCGACTCTTTCCCAGCAAGCGCAAGCATTTCTGGGACATACCCTGCCTTGTCAGTTACTTCAGGCGCTGAGTATAGTTGCCAGAGCGCAGTGAAGCGTGACAATATCTATGCTTTCATCTTGAACAATACAGAGCGATACACGGTGTACCTCGACTGGCCTCGAGGGATCTTTGACAATCTGAACAATGACTTCCTGCAAGCTGCCAGCTCCTTACCGAAGTGGTCTGACGCAAGCGCCCAATCACGCCCTACAAAGATTTCTTTCAATATTGGGGTACACATGTTATCCGCAAAGCTATTGTCGGGTCACGATATTAGCTGAAAGTCCAAGCCAGTAACGTTGCTTCTGCCGACAAAGAAAGCTTCGGTGCAAGCGATAAAGTGCAATACGCCGGAATCCTCGGATCTAGGCTGGCATGAAAGGCGAGAAGATGGAGAACCGCTACAAAAATTCAGTTCAAGGGGAAGCCGTGCTCATCGGAGGGAGCGAGGAAAAAGGCAAGATCTTGGCTCATAGCAATGACGATGAGAATGCTTTCAAGGAAGGGGCCGAGAGTCGGGGAACCGGAGAAAACGAAACAATTACAAACATTGAAGTGGACGCTATTGGCGAGCTACTCTGTCAGAGTGACAACCTAGAGCACCAAAGAGCTGGCAGGGATCTGGAAACGGCTCCGCAGGTCCTATTACACGGACCGAAATCCGTTCCTATTCGAGTTCAGGGCTACATCACAGCACATCCTCAGCGCCAAGTAGGATATGTGTCGATGGAAGCGTGGGGCGCCTCTGTGAGCATCCATGTCGAGGGCCAGGGGCGCACGATGGTTACACAGAAGAGGCCCCAAAAACTCACACTGTGGAACCCCTTCGACTTCAGCTCTCTCGGCGGCAACGTACCGATGATAATCGCCGACATTACTGTGCAAGGAGTCGCTCAAGAGCCAGTCCCAATTGCCAATTGGACTGGCGCGGAAGTGTACATGAGGCTTTTTCCCCAAGGAGTTGAGGGGGCTATTACCCTACAATTTGAGAAAGGTACAAAGGTGGTCCTCCCTAGCCTTGCCGCAGTTGGAACTTACAAGGCAAGCTGAGCTAAGTTACTGTCTGTACTGCGATTTCTTTGTCGGTTGCAGCAACGCGATTGATTGTTGTTATTCTTGTGACGGGAAGACCACGGGAGATTGTTCTTTTCCTTTTTCAGCTTAGGTTAGTTGTCATTTGGCCTCCAGACAGTTAGCCATATCTCCGAGAGGGCCGGCCATTGGAATAAATTAACGCACTGCTCACAACTCTCAACAAAGCCTCCCTACCTCTTAGTTCTCAGGGCTAAGAGAATGTCAGGTCGTAAAGCAGTAGTGTAGAGCCAACCTCATGTTCACGGTGACATCCTGACTGACCCCTCTTTCCGAACTGCCCTATCATCTGGGCTCCTGAATCTACCCTCGTTCTCTATGTCTGCCTGGCTTTATGTTTCCTGCGTTCCCGGGTCTCAACGCACGTGTGAATGCCAACCCGGGATGTATTCTATTCTATGCCAAGGGTCCGCCGGCCATACAGATCTGGAATACCCAAACCGCTGACACCTCTACGATATCACCCCGGAATGGGGCGGTCCGGAATAGCGAAGAGGAAGCAGGCTTAAATTGAATGACTTTTATCGCTAGGCTTAGACGAATTCAAAGCCTTGGGACAATACAGCAATAAGCGGCATTCCACTCAAGATCACCGACAGTAGCAGACTGACAGATATGAATGGTTTATACTCGACCAGTGTTGCATACCAGGGTTGTTCTACTAAATTGAAGCCCGGATTTACAGTATACAGCGTGCGGAGTAACTGAACTTATCCGAAACGTTAGGTTCCCCTCATAAGCGACGCAGGGAGGTGGACACGACGACGGGGATATCGCGCGATAATCTGACCAACACCCGGCAGATGTCACCGGTCACGAAGAGCTTTATGCAGGACGATCAGCGCTCGGGTGATTACTAGAAGTTGCAAGTCGTTCATCAACAACAGCAAGCCACCTCCGATATAGGCAGTAACATGGAGAGGGACCATGGCCAGCTCTCCGCGCAGGCGGCCCTTTTCCAGGAACGGTACACCCGTTACGAGAACTTCATTGATGCCATCTTAGCGTCTCGGCTACACCTTGCAACCGTAGTGTCGGGTCAAGACGGACCGAAAAATCTCGTCAACCCATCCACCGGAGCCATTTCCCAAGACGAAGGTAGGGTCATCGATTTTAGTTGATGATTAGCTGACCAGTTACTGAATACTCCAGCTGCTCCCACCCAGAATACCCCACATATACAACGAAGAATCAATAAGCGGTCCTTGCTTCTGGACGTGAGTACCTATATCCTCTCATCTGGAAGTTGCCCTAGACAATCCATCAAAGCTCAGTCTGTTGAGGGCCCTCTGGCAACATCCCTCGACTGGAAGGAGACCGTGCAGCCGTTGCAGTCTCAACAAGCTCTGCAACGAGTCATGTCTACAAGAAGCGCAAAACGCGATTGCGACTAGCTCTGCCGAGTTTTCGAATTTGTTCTCTTCCATAAAAATACCTGGCGGTAACGTTCCACCTGCATCGAAACAGTGCAATGCACTGACATCCTTCAGCTCATGGGTTTGCAAATTGCACCCCAACAACACCAATCTGCCGCTGACTCTGAATAGCGCCTCAACTACCCCCAAAACACAGCCGATGCCCCATAATAACACCAGGCACCCCGCAACAGGATGCCGGGATCCACAACCCCATGAGGATGCAAGAGGAACAAGACTGTTCAGTCCGGAACTTGATCAACTTCCTGCAACCCTTCAGCCCACCATTCCCAGGATAGGGCTGGACAAAAGGCTCCATCTCTGCGGTTGGATCTCCACCAAATATTCGTGTCTAGTGCCTCTCCACAGATACTCACAGGCCCCGCGCCACCACCTCTGTCCTCGACTTTACTGGTACTTTCCTTTACACTGCCAGTACTACCGCGACTGGGTGCAGCTTGGATGGCCCCTTTCAGTAATGGACGCGATACGACCAAACCACCCAATACCATACAGGAGCGACGATTACTAGAGGCTACCTATGCAGCCATGGCTGCCATTGGATTGTCTGCAGGACCCGGGGACCGTGACCAGTAGAGGCTTTGGAGCGCACCCAACATCTCGAACGAAAGGTGTACTCTATACTCAAGCATGTGTAAGTGGGTGGGAGGGGGATTAAGCGCCAGAAGAAGCCCATTGGCTATGTCGAAGCTGTCATGGAGCTCCTGGGGAAGGTAAGGAGGAGTGCATAATACGAAATATCCGGAAGATATCCGCCAACGTCGCCTATTTCATGATACGCGCCCGGCTTTTGCTAAAGGGTTATGAGTCCTTAACGAGTTTGATATCATAAAGTGTAAGATGCACCGCTTAACTAGTCGTATGTAATTGGCAAGGTCGAGTTCCAGGAAGAGAAGTACAAGTAGTATGCGGAAAAGTTGTATCATTTGCCAGTAATCATCGATGGTTGCTCAACATGGGCGACAGGGGGAAAGCGTTCGAGAATGCCACTCAGCCTGTGCTCGCAGTTAGGTAGTCGAGCTAAGCCAACCAGGGTACTCGCTCTTAGACACTCGGCATAAATGAAACGGAAAAGAGGAGTCTAGTATGTAAGATAGACGCATTTCCCTTTCCACTTGTGAGCATCTCCTTGAACAAGCTCTTCAAACATCCACTTTGCCAAGTCCAGCCGACTAATAGTCCATCCAAACTTAATACCCTGCTCCTCCTCATCTTGGTTCTTGAAGACCTCATCCTCCCAGATCCAACCTACTCGGACAGATTCACGCCCTTTCATTTTGCCATGAGTCAACAGCGGCGCTCGTAGCATAACGTAGCCACCAAGAGGCGAATCAGCTTCCTTGGCTGCTTCACGTACAACCTTCTCCAAAACGGCAGTGTCCTCCTGGGCGATGGGCAGGAGCCACAAGTAAAGTGGAATCAATAGAAGAGGCTGATCTCGCTGGGAGCCATGACCAGTCGACGATATCGGTATGTATAGGGGCGAATTTGAGATGCTGCCTGTGGATCTCAGCTCACAGAGAGCATTAATTACTGCAATAGCAGAGTCTCCCGTGATGGTGGCATCTTGCATGCCAATTGGGCGGAATGGATTAATTGAGAATTTAGGAAGACTTGTAACGCCACTGAAGATGAGTTCAGGATCGCTGCGAAGAAGCCTAACTATTGTCTTCACATCACGGGATGAACCTTCTGTGATGATGAGTTGTGACTCGACAATCTCGTTAGATACGCCGAGATCTGACAAGACCTTTCTGAGTTTGGACCCATCCCGGACGACTACAACGATCTTTGTAAGTCAAAGTAGATAAAAACTGGGCTGAGTGACTTACGGGCAGCGGCGTGATGGCCCGCCAGTAATGTCCATGCTAGCACATGACGCAGTGTAGCTCCGGAAGCCCCAACAAATGCCGCCTTAACGCCCATCAGGATTATTAATTGTATGAGAAGCCAGCTGAGGAATTTGGGGGTTCTCTAACTTTCGGTTACATGTATTTGTATAGCAGACTCGGGGCGAGTTTAGACCGACGGAGAACCTTCAGCGGAGGGAAGTTGATCCGCTGTCGGAGATGGTTGGCGGAATCTGCCAAGTCCCGCTTTCTGATACCGCTCCGTGTGGTCCACTCCCCGTCCGCGGACACCGAAGGACACCTAGAAAGCTACTTTTTTTGGCTGGCAAATGGACCTGAGAAGGCTATGCTCTGTAACATTTAATTGTTTACTTGATGCTTGCAGTGACCATGGCAACTTTTTGAATGCTGAAAAGGCCGTATGCTTATTCGAGATAGTATGGCACTGCCAGACCTCATCCTATCTGCGCTGGCTGGCCGCCAAGCATCACTCCTTTAATGCTTGAGGCACTCTGTGACCACCTAACTGAAATCTTTCATTGGTGATCTATATGGGCGAAAAAGACTTGAAAGGTAACTCTGACTAAAGATCAAACAAGGAAATTAATGTAAACCTGTAAGCCACGTATGCACCTCCGTATTAGATAAACACATCTGTCAACCTGTCAAAAGACACTACACTGGCTCACTCATCGCCGAAGTCTACTATATCGATGCTCAGGCCTTCAGGGATGGACACATTCTTTAAATCCCCAACATCAGTCCCATCAGGGGCAGACACCCTGCTTTCATTAGCATTTAGCTACTATCTTCTGTAGTATACGCACTGCATAAAATGTATAGGTGGATGGGTCGGTGTGCTGTCAAATTCATCTGGAATGGTAAGACCCTTGTTATTATATATATTGCGGACCCTGCATTTAATTATTAGGTATGATAACCCGATGACGGGGTCAGGAAGGTGTACAGTTTAGCTAGCTTTTCCCCATCCCCATAATATCCATGAGCAAGCTCATTGTCGTAGCGGATATCAAACGTCTTGCATTAATTAGTAAATTACAAATCAAACAATAATAGGATATCCCACCAGTTGCTTAGGCATTATTTTCTTCTCGCGTATTTGTCACTTGTGCAGTCAGAAGAATGATTAAGTCTAGAACTTAAGAGAGGAGGGACGCAGTCCGCATCTTAATAGTCTAGTATCATTACAATACGTCACCTATACAGAGCTGTAGGTTAATGTTGAAGCGCCCCTTGATGTAAAGGACTGCCGCATGCGGTCAACTGTACATGTATTCTAGTCAGTGGTGGAAGATATGTTTGGTTGGGTCTCCGACTTTCCTAGTATACGCGTCATTGACTAGCCTGCTTTTTTTACTTCTACTCTTTATACAATACTTGATTAAGGTGATAGTTTGAGGTTGAATGCAGAGCGAAATTATACCTGGATGGTGTAGTATATCTTAAGAATATATGACGGCTGTTGTTCACATGCCTCCTCAGGCTGAGGAATCACAGCGTCGTTGGCTCTTCCAGCCAGTTCACTAGGGAAATATGCCTCAGGCATGCTAATCACGTGTGCCTCTAGCTGGTGACACACTAGAGTCGTCCCACCACCTTGCTGTAGGCCTCTGTTCTATATACCAAGGTTTCCACGTCGCCATCCAGAAAAGAACGGCATTATTCTGTCTTGCCCGGCACTGGAGGCTTTTTTCTGACATATGTCTGTCGCACTGGATCCCCCTCGTTCTCATAGATCACAAATTCGCCGCGCCCAAGTTCGGCAGGGGTTTTTCGAAGATTCTTCCAACCTCTAGCTATGAGTCTGACCGGACGATAATCGGGATTTGCCTCCATCCGACGGAAAGCAGAGGCATGGATCACATCATCAGGCCCCATCTCCCGAAATCTCCCGCGATGCAGCGGCCAGTGGATGGGCTTCCACTTCCCATTGAGCTGTCTCTCGGCCCGGCGGATTGGCAGATACTCCATGATCCGCCACGCCAGCACGGAGGGGACAGACATCCCAGGACCGAACTCAAGACGATCATGCAGCTGGCCTGTCGTGATAGATTCATCAAGGTCCTTATAGAACGCATCGGGCGATTCCGGATCGAGGAAGCACCCCTCCACTCGGAGCTTGTGCGGATCGAACCGAAGTCCGCACCGAGATGCCTCGTGGACCATCCAGACCAGCGGTGCATGGCTGAGCTGGTATTTCTTCTCTGTTGGCTCGCGCTGATATCCCCCGCCGATGTCTGCATGGCCGCCGGGGAACCACACCTCTTGCATATCACAAAGTTCATCCTCATCCTCGTCCTCAGCCGCATCGGTGACAGGAGCTGCAGCAGGATGGTCCAATGAATTTGAGGCCTCTCCCGGAGACTCTTGGGGAGGGGAAGCCTTCGTGTGCGGGTGGTGACGGACCACTCGAGGCTCGCCTGCATTTCTAGGGCGCAACAGAACAGGTTCAAATTTGGATCTGCGTTCGTCGATACTCACCGCATGGCGCGTTTTCACGGCCGAGGAGCTCATATTGTTAAAGACCTCAAAGTCTGCAATGCTGTTGACGGTATCAAACAAGCCCACGAAGCGAGCCCGGACAACCGGGCGGCATAGTGTTTTCCGGCAGTGATTGAGAAACTCAAACGCTTTTTTGTGCTGATCACTTTCCGCATATGCTCTCAGCTTGAATTTCGAAAAGGCTTCCCAGATAAAAGGGATCATTTCTTCGTTGTCCGGACCCAGCAGGCCGGCGTAATCCAGCATGTTGGCCAAGAAAAGAGCTGTATAGGCGCCGCGAGAGAAGCCAAAAATGTAGATCTCGGCCCCGGTTCGGTAGTGACGCATGAGGAACCGGTAGCCGCCGAGGACGTGCTGGTCAAATGACTTTCCCAGCGCCTGGCTCAGTGTTTTGCTCCTCCCCAGGCGGCTGCTCTTCTTCAGCGTCATGGCTGCGAGTGAGCCTGGCGTTATCTCGGTGCCAATGCCCGCTGAGTGTGTTAGTCTGGATTGTTATGGGGGAGGGCGTGGTCGTACGTTGATAGTAGCACACTAATCAGGGTTAGAATTCGAATCTGAAAACGCTAAAAGGGAATACTGACATTGCTCATCTGATTTTTCCAACATTCGACAAATCTTGAGGATATTCGTTTCCGTGCCATCAGCACGGAATGTGTTTCCTGTGCCATCGAAACACAGGACAATCTGGCGTCGTGGTGTATCTACCATAGCTACAGCATACGAGAGGTAAGGATGCAGTAAATGGCATGCCGGGGGATAGCCAGAATCTTTCTTCTCATTTATGTATTGGAGTGTTCCGACATGAGTTGGCTGAGCCAGCCACCGAACATGGTTCGTGCAGATCATGTCGATCCCGTCAGCTTAGGGTTAGATTCTCGGACAAGGAAAGTTCTTAGTGATGTGTCTCAGCCGCCCTCCCCAGACGATCACCGGCTGTGATTCGAGTGATGCTGGCAATCCTGGCCGATCCTCTCCCAACCGGTGGGGTGAACCCTCCATTCGGGGAAGGTCAGACGGCGGTCAGATCTGCACTGCTCATGTCGGGTTTTCGGGGCCTGTGTTAGGGTGAGTCGATGGTAGATGCCTTCGTTCTCTGGTCGCTTCACATAGAAGACCCATTTCCAGATATATATGATTCTGACGGTCGAAGCCATGAATCCTTACTTTGGCGGTGAATAAGGCGTGAAACGTACATCAATGATACTTCATTATATTTCTAGGTCTTATCTCGGATATAATGTGGGTATAAAATATATTTTGTAGAGGAACAAAACTACGCGGGTATTATCAAAAACCACCACAGGACAATGATATCCAGAAGGACCAGAACCCAGGTCCACATCGACTTATCCGATCCTCAAATACTTGCTGAATTTCTTCTTCAAAGCCCCCAGCAGGACCGGCTTCGCCAGGTAATCATTCATCCCCGACGCCAAACAACGCTCCTGATCGCCCTGAATCGCCGACGCTGTAAGCGCGATAATGAGTATCCGCCTGACTGCGTCCATAGGATCCTGACGCAGACGCCGAGTGGCGTCATACCCGTCCATGACGGGCATCTGAACATCCATCAGGATCATGTGGTATGGTTGGTCCCGGAGGGCTTGCTTCTGGATGCCTTCTACGGCTTCGAGGCCGTTGTTATAGGTGTCTATCTGGGTAAAACCTAATTTCTTGAGGAACTGAACGGTGATCTTCTGGTTGATGAGGTTGTCCTCTGCGATGCAGACACGGAGGTCGGCAAGGCGGAGGTTAGATAAATCCAGCAATTCCAAGGGCGGCCCTTGATCGATCACGCCCTGGCTGCCGTCGCTGGACCTTGTCGGTGTAGTGCGTCCCGAATCTTCCGGGACCGCCTTGGGTAATGTGACTGCAAAAGAAACGGTCGTTCCGACGTGCTCGGTGCTTTTGAGGTCGATTGTGCCGCCCATCAATTCCACCAGAAGCTTGCAAATACTGAGTCCTAGTCCAGTACCTCCAAACCGGCGCGCGGTACTGGCATCAGCTTGGGTGAAGGGCCGGAACAGGCGGGGGATGAGTGCAGCGGGGATGCCGATCCCTGTGTCGGCCACCCAGAAGGAAAGACGGACAGAGTCTTGGGTTTCGTTTTCCGCGCGGGCTCCGACAGTGATGGTCCCCCTTTCCGTAAATTTCAGACTATTGCCTAGCAGGTTTCCTAGGATCTGCCGCAGGCGCACCGGATCACCACACACGTGCCGGGTTTCCTGGAGTTGAATGTCGTGCACAATATGGACATTGCTCGACCTAGGCCCGTTAGTGGAGTCGGTCGGGACTGAGCGAACGACTTCCATTACCATTCTCTCAACGTCGAACGGAACAATGTGCAACTGCATCTTGTTCGCCTCGACTTTGGAGAAGTCGAGGATGTCATTAATCACGGCGAGGAGCAGGTTCGCCGACATGCGGATCGACTCGGCCATCTCCAACTGCGCCTCGGGCAGTGGACTGTTGAGTAACAGTTCGGAGTTGCCAATGACTCCATTCAGGGGAGTCCGTAGCTCATGGGAGATGTTGGCGAGGAAGCTGCTCTTGGCCTTAGCTGCCTCTTCGGCCAGTTTGGCGTGATGCAAGGCCTCAGCCTTGGCCACATTTGCCTTCTGCTCAGCCGCCATAGCTTCCGCCAGGGCTTTCTTCTGTGCCTCAACCATGGATTGATTGATCGTGGAGACGCGTTCGACTTCCTGCAGTATCAGCGCATTGGAATAACTGATCCCGAGTTGCACCACGAGCAACTGCAAAACAACCCGAGTACGATATGAGAAGGCGTTCGGTGGGCCCTCCAGGTACAGCACCACATTGGGTCCACTCTCGTCGCCGCCGGGCGAAATGGGCAAGGCCATGACAGATTTGCTGACCGGGTTCTGCGCAACCCAGGCTTCACTAACGTGGCTAAACCGCGGATCCTGGAGGACATCCGGCAAATACGCCGCTTCGCGGAAGCGCACGCAGTAGTTGACGATGCTCTCGGCCACGAGGTTGGATTGGCGGATTGGGGTTGGAGGATTATGTACTTTGATGTGTCCGGCCGCATTCCCACTGGCCGCCACTGCCCACCCGACCTTCTGCTCTTCGTTGGTGACAATGGCTGCTAGGGTAGCAACACCATGACAGCTTTGCATAATGATCCTGCACATGGTACGCAGTAGCTCATCCACCCGCAGGACGCTGGAAATCACCTGTGACGCTTCAAGGATGGAAGTGAGATCCAATATGTGGAGGGCACGGTCCGCCACGGCATCTTCAGTGCTGGAGGTGTCGTCGGTGTTGGCGGTGGTCACTTGTGGTCTAGTCTGTACGGTCATTTCTTCCGCGTCAGTTTGAGTAGCAGCCTCTCGTGCGTCCTTTACCCTTTGTTGCAGATCATGCGTCTGCAGGATATGATCAGCCACTCCGGTGGCGCCCATCCGCCGGTAAATAGTAACTGCCTCGTTGAGGGCGAGGGTGCCTAATCGGGAAGAGCCCTCGCGTATCAGATGGCCAGCCAACAGATGATGGGCCAAAGCTTCTTCGAAAATAAAACCATGGGTGGAAGCATGATCTAAAGCTTCTTGGTAGAGACGTAGAGCCGCGGCTTGGTGACCTTCCATCTCTGCGATCTGGGCGCCGAGTATCTTAGACCACGCCAGATAGTTCACATCTGAAACAGTCTGCCACTGTTCGATCCTTCGCCGAAAATACCTCAGCATCCTTGCCAGGCTGACCATGTCTTCTTTCAGAGAGGGATCGAGAGGCAGCCCGTCTACATCCGAGGCCGGCTGGGGGTTGCCTGCCTGATATGAGCGCTCGAGCTGCTCTTGCTTCCGGACCCATACTAGTCCAGCTAGAGAAAGGGAATGGAAGAACATAAGGAACCTCGTGTCCCGTGCAGACCACACAGCGTTGATCTTTTTGAGGCAGGCATTTCCCAGTGCAACCGCTCGGGCGTAGTGCCCATAAAGAAATAATGGAGCCATTTCCATGCTTTCATAGAGCATAAGGGGGCGGTCGCTGTTCTTGATCGTTTTCACCAGCCAATGCTTGTAGGCGGTCGAGTTGTGCTCCTCGCAGCTCATCACCCCTATAGGGTCGTGCGTGAACGTTTTCCCTTGCAGAGCACGGCAGACCTGACATATCGCCATAAGGATGGTGCCGCCGGGGGTGTCTGACTGCCAATGAGGAATGTCCTCACAACTGGAGACGCAAAAGTTCTCCAACTCCGCTAGGTTTTCAGAGGCAAAGAACTTCGCGGTGGCCAGAAATCCGTAATTAAGGATTGTCGCGATCCGGTCACCGGCGCGGATGGCAAAATCCAAGGCCCCCTCCAATTGCGCGATGGAGGACTGCACGGGATGTTTGATATGACCGACAAAGGTCGAGTACAAGGCGATGCCACGGCCCATGGTATGGGGATCTTTCCATTGCTCAATCAGTGCCAAGGCGAGGTCCCCACAATGGCTGGCGAAGGAAATCGCATTGTCGCGAGAGATGGCAATCACAGCCAGCTGCAAGAGTCCCATGCCGGCCTGAGGAAATGTACCGCGAGTGAGATAGGTATCGACCATGACCAGTGTCATTTGATAGAAGGTCAGCGTATCGGACCAGAAAGCCGCCCGGGTGGCCTCTACGAGAACCACACCGGCAGCAGCCAAGTTGGGATGCTCCACGGGCGTCTTTTCGGCGATGCCCTCGGACTCGATCGCTGTGATGGTGTCACGCAGTCGCCGGAATTGATTGTCGCATTTGGCGAAAGTCGGCTCCTCGTCGATATCAAGACCTAAAGTCACGAGGCACGCTTTCAGCGCCTGGAAAGCATCGGTCGAGTTACCTTGCTGCGCAAGCATGCGGGATTGCAAGATCCACGCTGGAGCCTTGTCCACCGCGTTCCGCGCATGAGAGAGAATCGACTGCAGCAAGCAGTCCGCTTCGGCATGCTGTCCTTGATACAGATAGCACTCTGCAGCGGCAGTAAAAATGTGTAGCGTCTCGTCATAGCTCACATCCACAGCGCTATCATCCCACATGTTATCCTGAAGCAGGACTATGCAACACGCATACGAGTCAACGGCGGTTGATCGGAAGCCAGTCTCGTTGGCAGCTTTCGCATGGTCCACCAGAAACTTGCGGAAGGGCTGTCTTCTGGTCATGGAGCGTTTGATGACCGGAGCGGATTCAATTATGGCGGAGGCCAGCATATTGCGATATTTGTCGTCGTGGGAATAATACTGGAACAGGACTTGTGCTTTAATGAAGTTCACATGGTCCTTGGCTTTTGTGTGGAACGAGGCTGCAATGTGCATGTAACGGTTATACGTGAAAGAGAAGACGTCATGGTGCTTTGTAGGTGCGATCACGTAGGCTTCCATGGCAGGCTGAAGCGCGTGAATCATCTCCACCTCGGGCAGCCCTGCTTCAGAAGTCGTCTTGTCACCACTGAGAAGCCTGCGCACCAGTTGAAATGAGAACGTCATTCCCACGGAGGATGCCCAGGCCAGGATTGACTTGGTGACAGGCGGTAGGCTGTTTAACCGAACGACCAAGAAATCATCGAGGACGGCCTCGTGGTAGTCGTCCGCCTTGAAATGGTCCGAGATGCGGCGAAGATCAAACGACCACGAGCCTTCCTGGTAGTCGTACCAGACGAATTTCTGTCGGTAGCAAACGCTTAACATTTCTCGGATATAGAACGGGTTCCCGCCGGTCCGGGATTGAATGAGCGCCCCCAAGGGCCAAATGAGAGGGACGGATAGATATAAGGTGTTTGCGACATATTCCATCACGCTGTCTTCGTTGAGTGGAGACAGCGTGATAGTGGTAACTCCTACATCTCTTGCCTTTCGGAACCCTGCTAGTTTAATGAGTATAGACCTCTTTGGAATGAAACATGAAGAAAGGAAAAGGAACGGAAAGCTACCTTCATTGGTGCAAAGATCTAAGATATGGTTGGTCATTTCTGAGGTGGCACTTTCTGGCCGGTAGGCCAGAATAACCACCATTCGGATCCTAGCAGAGATGATCTGAGCAACAAGCTCCAATGACTCCTCGTCCGCAAAATGGACGTCATCCAGGCAGAGACACAGTGGTTTGTATCGCGAGAAGGCTCGCAGAATATCCAGCAAGGTCCGGACGAGCGGCAAGGACTTGGTGGACGATCCGGTCCGAAGAAATTCTTGAGAACTCGGGTCCCGGTGTGCCGGGAGGAGGTTGGACTTGTGGCAGTAGCACGCTTTGACGCCTGGTCTGGCAAGTCGGGACCGGATTCAAGGAGAAATTTCGGAAGACCCAGAACCTTGTGTAGAGTGTTCCACGCAGACCCTATATGATTTCTCAGCATGGGCAGGAAGCTCGGCTCGATCGTATTCTCCGAGAACGCCTGCTCGAACAGGCTGGAAAAGAGTTGCAACACCGGACGCAACCGCTCTTTGGCGGCAGGATCAAACCGCGAACTGGCAAAGAAGCCTCGCTGTCTGGCTTCAATCTGCACCGACGTGATCAGCCGGGTCTTGCCCAAGCCAGCGCCTCCCTCGATGGTGATCAGCTCGCATCGTCCTTTCGGCACCATCATGCGATGCGCGGCTGTCCTCCCAGCACTGTCGCTGGATCGCGAGCTTCCCTCCACACTGGCGCTGTCAATCGATGGCGTCGACAGTCGCTTATCTGCCGTCCTTGTGTCTGACGACCCTGCTACGGATTCGATGCTCTCGAACGAACCATACCGGGAGTCGGCAGGGGACCGCATACGAGCCGTATTGGCTGGATATGACCGGCGCACGCCATTTGTGGAGGTCAGCAAGCTCGAGAACCCCTCCATTGCGTTGTGTCCATCCTCTTCGCCCGGGGTGTCGCCTGGGAAGGCCAAAGCATCGAACGTGGCGAACTGACCCTCTGGCAGCGCCGACAGCTGTAGCCCTTTTCCCGCCTGGTACAGCTGATATGTACGGTCCAGAATCTCCACGATGGTATTTCGCTCATGTGTCCGACCCACCATGATGCGCGGCAGCGTGAAGAACGGAGAGACATCCTTGCTGCCAATTTTCCAGTTCTCGAGTTCTGCGGCAGTAGCTGCTGCCCCTTCATCGTCGTCCTCGTCATCAGGCTCTTTGGCAGCCAGAAGCCTCCGCAACTCCACGAGGTCATGCCGTAGACCACTGACGGAATGATATCGCTCCGAGACATTCTTGGCGGTTGCTTTGGCGATCACTCGCGCGATGAGGTCCGGAACATCCGGTCGCAAGCTCGATACGAGAGGAAGTTCCTCTCCCAGCACCGCTCTGATGATTTCCATGGGGGTCCTCCCGCAAAACGGGGCCTCCTGGACCAGAGTGCTCCACAAGAGGATACCCAGGGAATAGATATCCGCTCGACTGTCGGGTTGAATGGGCGTTCGGCCCGTCTGCTCCGGGCTCATGTATGATATCCTGGCCGTAGCGCCGTCCTGGTTGGCCAGAGCGGACCAGGTTGCATTTCTGAGGTCGGAGTGGTACCGCCGCCGACCGGCTCCCAGGTGAATCAGCTTCACCTTCCCGGTCTCCTCACTGAAATGGAAAGCATCCGCCCTGATCTCCCCATGAACAATCTGCTGGCTATGGAGAATTTTGATGCATTCCGCGGCGCCGATGGCGAAATCGAGAAAAGTGGAAAGCGGCATTGGCTCGTCCCGACTGCGTCGCAGTGAAGTCGCATCATTGCCGTCCTCATCCGGGTTGTTATCATGATCTTCGTCACTACCATCCACTTTGGGAGCCTTGCGATACCAGGTCAGGCCGCAGTCGACGTATTTCAACAAGTCATTCGGACCGGGGCTCTCGTAGATGCAGACCACCAGCGGTGGCTCGCGCTCTTGATCGCCACTGGGTAATCGCTTCACCTCCAGGGGCCTCAGGAGACAGGTGTATTGGGAATCAGCTACGGCCCCCAGGCTCCGGTACTCCTCCTGAACCTTTTCCTCCTGACCCGGGCTCTCGGAAATACGCGCCACCACTTCTATCCCACTCTCCCAGCCTTTGTCCGCCGCAATACCACCGTCATCGCGCGCGTCGCGCGGCGGCGCGACGGCGTTTGCCTCATCGTTGCGTTGTTCGAGAGACGACGCGCTGCGAGGACGGACGGGTAGGACTTGACGCGACCTATTGGTATCGACGAGGTGTTTTGTGCCGAAGGTATGCCTACGAAGCATTAGCGCGTGATCTTTTTCGCTTACAACAATCTAGGTGCTAACGCACCATACGCCATAGCTGGAGCGAAACTGCGTCGACTCGTCCCAGGTATAGCCTGCTAGCCGTCGTAGCCTGTCCAGCAGACCGGTAGGAGGCTGTTGAGCCTCTCGGTGCATCTCTGCGATGGCGGGGGGAGCGGGTGACTTGGGGGTTGACGGAGGATTAAAGGGACAAGGATTATTAAGTGGGTGGATCAATCGCCGATCTTATCATCATTTGCATTGCTGGTCACGTTGACTGGTTGATCAGAAGTATATCCTCCAATGCAAACACGGATAATTAAAGTAACGGAGGAATGAAAGTTGATGAGATGAGCAGTGCAACGAACTGCAATAATGGTCAAGTATATTGATTGCGCGATGTAGGAAACAAATAAAAAAATAAAAATAAAAATGAGGCGGCAGCCAAAACATGGAAGATGGCAGCAGCAGTTAGTCAGTCAGTGACTGTGGACTGTGGCAGATGCAGATACAGAGAGCAGATAACTAGCAGATGGCCCGATAGTCTGGACAATGGAAAAGGACGCTAAGCCTAGTGGAGGTTGTCGAGCTCGGGACGTTAAGCAATCTCGCAAAAACCGGTTTTGGCTGCTCCCTTCCATGTATCGACCGTCAAAAGTTATGCAGTCCTTGCTCTTGCTTTATGGGTTTTCCTTTTCCGTACCTAGCATTATTGTCTTCCTATATTGAGTGAATCTGATATCTGAAGAAAAATAATAGATATTAATGACTATCTAAAGCTATATCTGATTTGTCACCTGTTGAATGACCCCGCAAAGTAAATCTGACAGATCGATCTATGACGTCACCCTTAAACTTTTCTGGCGCTAACCCGTTCCTGGGACAAGCATGGAGACGGGGATTTTCCAGGCCGTCTATTGGCTGCAATGTATTCCACAACAACATCACAGGAACAAACATTTTGATCAAATCATCAAATGCAATCTGGCAAGGTCCAGACCCTTCTCCCCTCCCTCACCTCTCCCTCTATCTTTCTCCCTCCTCGGTCTGACTAAATGCTGAACTTGTTATGTCATGTCTCTAAACTTGGTCTTTTCAAATGTCAACTTAGCCTGGTTCCTAGCTAATATTGAATAACCAGTCATTGATCTTGGGTCCCTTTTATACTTTTCTAATCGCAGTGAATCTCCGCGGGCTTTGAAGAGAATCAATTCCCGCTCACAATGCCTGAGGAAGTGGCATACAAGCCGTATGTTACCCACCCTTCCATGTTTTTGTCTGATGATCCGTGCTTGTTTCTGTGACATTATATGTTTTCATGTCTCCCTTTCCTCTCCTAGTTTTTTTCCTTCTTTTTCCTTGTGTGCCCTACTTGGTAATGTTTGGTCATCATGCGTCTTTGACAAGATGACGATCCGCAATGATTAGTCGATGTGCTGCCAAGTCCCTTGGACAATTCTACCTGACTATGCCTCGATCTACAGACTCCGCCTGGGATCCAAAGCCCCCAACTTCCAAGCCGACACCACCATCGGTCGTATCGACTTCTATGAGTGGATCGGCAACGACTGGGTCATCCTCTTCTCCCACCCCGAAGACTACACCCCCGTCTGCACCACCGAACTGGCAGACCTGGCCAAGCACCAGTCCGAGTTCGCAAAGCGCGGCGTCAAGCTGATCGGCCTGTCCGCCAACTCGATCGAGTCACACGATGGTTGGATCAACGACATCGCCGAGATCGCCGGCTGTTCCTTGACGTTTCCGGTCATTGGGGACGAGGATCGCAAGATCGCCCACACTTATGATATGTAAGTGGTCTCTTCACTCGCCTGCCACCACTGTTGGGCCCGACCACTAACAAAGATCTGATCTGGAACAGGCTCGATCACCAAGATGTCACCAACGTCGACGCCCGCGGCATCGCCTACACGATCCGCTCCGTCTTCATCATCGATCCCAACAAGGTCATCCGCCTCATCCAGGCCTATCCGGCCTCCACCGGTCGGAGCACGACTGAGCTGCTCCGTGTCGTGGATTCCCTACTCGCTACCGACAAGTACTCCGTCAACACCCCGCCAACTGGGAGCCAGGTGATGATGTAGTCGTCCCCGCGAGTGTCGCCGACGAGGAGGCACAGGCCAAGTTTCCAAATATGCAAACCGTGAAGCCGTATTTGCGCTTCACCCCATTGGCTAAGGAGCATATTGTTCCTCAGCATATTTTTCAGCATTAGGTGTTATTCTTCCACCGTAGATGTTATGTCTGATTTCTCTTTTCCCGATGACTTGGACCGATAAGAAGTGAATCTGCTACGTGGGATAGATGCAGGAGGCTTCAACTATGACAAATGTCTTTCAGAAGGCGTAACAGTATGACCCCATTTGGGTCTATGCTACAAACCTATAACTAGCAGCATAAGGGAACTTTCCTCTGCGTCAGCACTCACTCATTCTACCTAAATGGAGCTCATTCCATACCTCCTTAGGCTACTATGCTAACTAGATAGATTATTTAGAATAAGGTCTGAGAGAACTCAGAGAAACAATATTCCCGTGATTTTGTATGTTTCATTCAATGATGATAATTGGTTATCTCAGTATTATATATTACGTATTAAATAAGCTTAATCATCCTAGTGTGGACTGCTAAAGTTGAGATGAAAAATGCTGTGGATTTGTATATAAATAGCTGTCACTATTCTGCAGACCAGCATTAGAAATACAACACAACATCAATTTTTCATAATAGCCTAAGGCTTAGTAATGAGTAAAATTTTTCCTTAGAGGTGTGCACGTTATTGTGTTCCTCTATATGCCATTCAGTGAACCAGCAGTTGAGCAAAGGTGCAGGACTCGTTTTAAACGCCTGTTTTGTTACCCCTGGCTCGAGATTGGGTACCGGTAGAGCCGGACGTTTCAGTTATCAATTCACTTCGCAACGTCTGATCCTGAATGCCAAAGCTCATGAGCAGTCCAGTAGCTGCAAAGCAAGCATACAATATCCACATGCGACTTAGACTCTGCGAATACGCCTCCCCGACTATCTGCGCCTCTCCAGGGTTTAGAGACCGGACGAGAGCCACGTTTGCTGTAGCATTCTGGCCCAAGAAACTGTTGGCGACATCCCCAGGAAGAAGCTTTTGAAGCATGCCTTGACGTGACTGCATCTCGTTTTTTAACATGACCCCGCCGATCACGATTGACACAGAGGTAGAAAAACTCCGGATAAATCCAAAAAAGGCCGTAGCTGTGGCAACATCGTCGTGGTGCACGAAAGACTGGAGCGCGATGAGGGGAGGCTGGAATACGAGCCCCACGCCGAGCCCTCCAAGTAGCTCTAGGCCTATAATAGCGGATATTGTCGACTTGTCGGACAAAAGGGTGAATAGCAAGAAGGCTAATGTGGTAAGAGTCATACCGGAGATAGATCAACGGGAGATACCGACCGGTGCGGCGGATGATAAAGCCAGCAATGAATCCCGTCACGGCCTGGATGACGGTCATTGGCATGAGGAGAAGGCCGGATTGAAGAGGTGACAGGGAGCGACTGGATTGAAAGTATAGTGGAAGAAAGTACCAGGACGAAACATTGACCTAGATCCATCGAGATCGGTAAGTGTCAGTGAGTCTCTATGACTGAAGGGTGTTCCTAGCCTGTCCTTGCAGATCCATGCATGAAGCAGACAAACAAGGACGCATTGTTGGAAAGCCGTCGTAGAATGCGCATTGGGATCAAAGCTTTCTCCTCGGATATGATCTTCGCTTCGTAGACCACGAAAGCCGCCATTGTGAAGCCTCCAAACACGAGAAGACAGATCAAGAGAAGACAGATCACCTTGGCGGATTTCCATGAGCTATAGACACCCCAAAGTTTAGACCCAGAAGAGACATGGTAGTTAAACCAGTGATGGCCAGAGTCCCAAGCCAGTCGACTTGTCGCAAGCCGCTGCTGATTCCCGCTTGTCTCTCACGGACGCGGTCGAGACAGAAGAACAGAACAACAAACGAGACTCCGCAACAGGGAAGGTTGATCCACCAGTTCCAGCGCCAGGAAACGTACTCGGAAAAAGCACCTCCAGCCAGAGGGCCAATGCCGCTGGCAAGTCCCCATACGACGCCAGTCAGCCCAAGGTAAAATCCTCGTTCTCTACCATTTAATTGCCATAATCAGCACTGGATAATCCAGTCTCATGAATCTTGTGGTAGGCAAAACAAACCTTTCAGTAAACAAGTCACTAATGCAGATATTCACCAAAATCACTATTCCGCCAGCTGCAGCACCTTGAACCGATCGGCCTGTTAGCATCATCCCCATCATGGTGGCAGCCGCACAGATAATCGATCCAATTGCAAAGATGGAAATGGCGAGCAGTAGGATGGCTTTACGTCACCAGATATCTGACAGTTTGCCCCAGATGGGCGTCGACGCAGCACTGGCCAACTGGTACGCGGAGCCGATCCACACATAGCTCTGTCCAGAGTGGAAGGAAGACACAATGGTTGGGATTGCAGTGGTAGCAATAGTAAAGTCGAGTGCCGCTAGGAAGAGGCAAAGCTGAATATCAGATCTCAGTATAGGAATCGATCTTTTTTTGCCATGCATGACGAACCAGGGATGAGAATAAGGCAACACTCAGCCGGATTTTATTTCGAGAACTGCTACAAGATGGGTTGGCCATAGCTCCACTAATAGATGTAGGATCCTGTGGCTGCTGCTCTGCTGTAGATGTGTTTTGACAATGAAGGACAGAGTGGTGGATGTCTGTATTTGTTAATGGTGTGTGGCACGAAGGTGAGGGTAGTTGGTCTCTTGCAGCCCCTGGGATGTTGGAAGTGGCTGCCTTGGATGATGACATTTGGAAATCCAGTTCCTGCAGGGACGCGGAAGTTTATAGCATGATAAACCTTGATGTTGATTCATATCTTGGAAAGCAGAGACAAAGTAAGGTGGGACTATTTATTTGGCTGTGCTGCCGAAAAACTGGCGGTGTGCTTGATAGACGTCTCTGCAGGAAACACACATCATCTGCTAAAGAACCACCTTGAATCAGTTAGAGACAAAACAAAAATACACCTGTAGGTATTCGGTATGTTAGTAATTCATGGGTTTCTGCTGGCAGTAAGCACCTAACTATTTTTAGGTTTCAATTTCTCTTCCCTTAGGCGTATTGAATGATTTGAATCATCATATAGTAGAGAGTTGTCATATAGATGGGATATGCGGCTGCGAGATCGCGGTGAAGCCGAACCGATCAGAAGGCTGGTGAGCGTCCGGGTCCCCGTTCTTGTACCGTAAGACCCCTAAAGCTGCAATCATCTGCGAGTAGCCACCGTCAGGCATGCGGATGGAGTAGTCCATTTGTTTGTTGTCGAGCCGGACCAGAGCCAAGTATCGCTCCCCCGCCCAGATCAGGAACGTTTCTGCGCGGCGTGGTTCGATGTAATGCCCATCAACCTCGTAGATCCACATCTCGTGCTCGTCGATCGTGGGCTGCATCGAGCCTGCAATGCAGTTGATACTGACCCATAGATCGCTGGCATCAACCTCGATAACCTCCGTGGGACCGGTGGAGGGTCTGCAGCCCCCTTGTAACCCCGGAGGGATGGCGGAGACGTTGCCATCCTTAAGCCACGGGCCTTCAGCATAAGCAGCGAATGGAAAGCAACTGTGAGTGTCAATATTGCGTGTCTCAATCTTGAAGAGAAGAACAAGGTCATACCCCTTGTCGGGGATGTTATCATTTGGCCAGCTTTTGTGCATGAAGGGAATTTGCTTGTCAATGAGCCACTAATGACCAGGGCAACACACGCTCCCTTTTCCGTTGATCAAAATATTATCGACGCAGCTGAGACGGTCAGCGTGTGGAACGAGGCAGAAGAGTCATCATTCTCGTACAATATCTGGAGATGGCTATTTGCGTCGGCCTCTTTGTACTGGGATGAGTTGTAATAACCCCAGTCTGAGAGCGCGATAATCTGAGGATCATTGGCAGCGCGTTCCATGACTTGGATCTCCACTGGACCTTGGCTGATCGTCGCCCATGGTCCTGGAGTTCCTGGCTTCTGTCATGAGTGTGTTAGCATTTGATCGTCGCAGAGGAATAAGCACATGCAGACTACCGAATAAAGAGCACCCCATACAGACCATCCAACAGGTTGGCTCGTAAATACGAATGGTACCTGACTCGATCAATCTCCGGCTTGCTCTTGGGAAGCACCTAGTACATACCAGTATTGACCGGGAGGACTTGCAGTGCAGCGATAGACATAGCGCTCGCCGGGCTCAAGAGGCGTTTGACTCAGACCAGGAACGCCATCTGACCACGGGGTATTTTGCATCCTGTCGAGTCGTCATCGGATCTCATGATGCATTGTAGAATATGCGAGGATAAGGCCTACAGAATTCCATGCCAATGGATGGTGGTATTCTGGTGCATATGGTTGTTGATGACGATCTGAAGGACTATAAGCCTTAATATTCCCAACGCATGTTAAAATGATAAAGAGCGTACTTCCACATCATCTCCCTCGTCCAAAATCAAAGTAGGCGAGCGAAACTGGCCGTTTTTGTCCTGATCATATGGCGACTTTGACCATTGTGAGCACCTTCTTCCCAGGTCAGAGTCAGTTCGCGTTTGACATGCGCAGCAGATGCTGTGAGCACACGGCTCAGTAATAGGAACAGTATTGTAAGGCGACTCTCTATGCCGAAGAGTAGAAAAATGAAGAAGGAAAGAGAGAGTTGAAGACCAAGGCCGGATGTGGTCAGCACCACGAGAAGGACAATTGGAGAGACAGTCATAAACTGGTCTGGGTTTCGTCTGCAGGAGATAAGCCAGGAGAATTCACTGGTCGATATATGTTGAACTTGTTTAATTGCAAGATTACTCGTAAGGAATATAAGTGGATATCGATATAGCAGTGAATACAGCCATTGCCATTAAGAACTTCCCAAGCATAGCGCTGCCTCATGACTGCTTCCCTTCGTGTGTTTATTTACTTATTGGCAGTTCTGAGGCTCGCCTTCCAGGGTATCCCAAAGACTTACACCCTGAGGGGGGTTCTGGGTGTACGCATTTCCTCCTTAGTTTTCCTTGCTTTTTTCGTCTGGATCACTAACATATCGGCCATTGTAGCCGGTTATGGCCCCAGGTCTTTCGCTGGCCAATGCAGAGTATTTCCTTTTACGTCTGTCGAGATATTCTGCGGTTGCCCCGTCATTCACTAGTCGAACGGTATGTGAATATCACATGCGTTTTCGCCATCTCTGTTTTTCTGCACCTCGCGATCGACGGACGAGCAGGCATCTGGCTCCCTTATAGCGGTGCTTTGCGCTGCTTCCTGGTCCAACCGCTTGGTATCATGATCGAAGACGCTGTGCAGGAGGCATTCCGGCGTTTCAGGGGCAGCACCAAGCAGCACAGTACCCTCTGGACAAGGCTGATCGGGCATCTCTGGGTTTGGGGACTCCTCACGCTGGTGGCGCCGCTCTACAATTTCCCTCTCTTTCGGTATCAGGATCCGACGAAGAATGGGGTTTCGTTTTCAGTCATTAGGTTCGTTCACGGCCTCTCTGAAAGGTAATCCGTCATATTACCGGGGCAATGGCTCTGGGAGATATGTCTCGACTTCGACATTAGACTTAAGACAGTCCGTGCTCCACTGGGCCAGACAGGCTCCAGAATGCAGTGACTATGGATCCACAATTCTAGTGTCGGCCCATAGCAAGATCTGTCAAAAATCTAATAGTCGACAAGTCCTGTCAAAATAGCAGTGATCTGTGTTCAAATTCGTGCTGGTGCAAAAACTTGCATTTGATGAGCAGTGGCGTGTATCTAGCCTTGTTGATAGTATGCCCTTTTAGTCAACGCATTGCACATATACCCTTATGATAAGTCTCCACAGAATACTGTACAAGTTGTGCTATCTCTGGAAAGGCGGATTCCCCATTGTAAGCATCAGATATCCCCATAGCTGGTGTTCACCGGGCCGGCACCGGGAAGAAGAACAACCCCGCGTTTCCGGTGGGGCTAGACCCCTCCGCCGACATCGGGCCGTCCTTGATCCGACGCGTCTGCAAAGTTGCATCATTTATCTGGTGTACAAAACTACAGACTACAGAGCATTCAGTCTGTTACATCGACATCAAACTGCATATTTCAAAATGCCTTCCTTACAGCAGAGCAAGCTCGCCTTCATCGGCGGCGGCAACATGGCCTCGGCCATCATCGGAGGTCTCGTGAGCCAGGACATGAACCCCGCCAACATCACCGTCTCCGAGCCATGGGATGTCAACCGCGAAAAGATCGGGAAGTTGGGCGTACAGACGACGACCTCCAATGGTGAAGCTGCGGGCAACGCAGATATTGTGGTCATTGCCGTCAAGCCTCAAACCACCAAGAATGTCTGTCAGGAGCTTGCCACCGCCTGGTCCCAGCGCACATCGCTCCCTGTGGTCGTCAGCATTGCGGCGGGTATTACGCTCAATAGCTTGAAAGAGTGGCTCAAGACGAGTGATGGCCGGACCGCGCATATCGTCCGCGTCATGCCCAACACTCCCGCCCTGGTCAAGGAAGGCGCATCGGGTCTTCTGGCTAGCGACGATGTGACGGCAGAGGAGAAGGAGCTCATCGGAGCTCTACTCCAGACCGTAAGCAAGGCCACCGAGTGGGTGGATAAGGAGGAACTGCTAGATGTGGTGACCGGTCTGTCCGGTGAGTATCTTGGGCGCCTCCATGCAGATGACACGTGAATCTAACATTGACTAGGATCTGGACCTGCGTATTTCTTCGCTATGGTGGAACACTTGGTTGCCAGTGCCACTGCTCTGGGTCTCTCCAAGGAGCAGGCCACGCGGTTGGCGGCTCAGACCTGCCTGGGTGCAGGCAAGATGCTGGTCGAGTCGTCGGAGGAACCGGCCCAGCTGCGCAAGAACGTGACGAGTCCAAACGGTACAACGCACGCCGCGCTGCAGACTTTTGAGTCGCTGAATTTCAAGGATATCGTGGACAAGGCAGTAAAGGCCGCCACATCTCGTGCGGCGGAACTCGGAGAGACACTCGGAAAGCTCTAGACAGGTTGGCAAGGAAATTCAATCGCATCACTAGGAGTAGATCTAAAACATGGAATTTTAAAATGAACCCTAACCCTTTTATGCGCTATGCCGATTCAAGAGCGAGCCCTCAACGCAGACGGCCCATCATTTTAGCACTTAACTTTGTATAAACCAGCTCTTTGTCTCAAGAACAGTTGGTTCAAGAAAAATCACGTGTATCTTCTTTTATGTTTCAATCAAATGATTCAAATGATATAGACCACCTATAGACCATGAATGCCGTATATTCTATTACAGATCTAGGGTGGGGTGTTTGTCGGCCAACGATATATAGTTATATCGGAGTGTAGCCAATGTTATCTCCGTGTATACGGCCGTTTCCGACGCCAACGACCTCCATGCTCTTTAAACTGACTCCAAAGCACCTTCTCTCCTTCAACGGACAAATGCATTATTTGAATAGGACATAATGGCAGCAAATCTAGCTGTCGCTTGCAGACAGCGCCCTTTCAGCCGGTGCGCCCGCGCTATAAGCAGCTCCGCTTGTTCCCCAACTGTCGCTGTATTGTTCCAGGCCATCGATCCGCCTGTCATTAATGGCGTGCGCAAACCTCGCAAGCCTGGAGGTAAGTGACTCTCTGCATTTGAATATGAACGGCACTCAGTATAATCATAGGATACCAGGACTCTGGAGCGGATATTGCCTATGCCCTGCGACAAAAGGGCTTATGGGTCCTCACTCCCAATCCATCGCCATCGGATTCCTCTCACGAAGGCTGGTCCTTCCCCGATACAGAAGAGGGAATCTACTCCGCCGTTCAGCAAGGCGCTACTCATCTCTGGGCAAATACTATCCTGTTTGCTTCACACCCTCTGCAGACGTTCAGCCGATTGACTCCTCTGGCGTCCGATCTCTACGTCGTTGGGCAACCGCCCGGCTTGGTCGAGAACTTCGATGACAAGGCTTTCTTGAACAACAAACTGCGCGAACTTTGTGGACTCACCTTGCCTCGTGCGTGGATGGTTGACCCTGATAATGTCCGCCAGATCGTCAATCAGATCGATCGTTATCCGATCGTGGGGAAAGCGGTGCGGGGCCGAGGAGCCATGGCGTCCGAGTATGCCATAACACCGCTCAGTTACTACAACATGCCGAAGCCTTACTCGCAGAATCTCCGCTGATCATGCTCGAGGAGTTTCTTACGGGGGAGGAGGCGACTATCACCCTCATGCCGCCGACGCCTTCTCACCGGGACTACTGGAGTATGGTGCCAGTGATGCGCTTCAATCATGCGGACGGTATTGCTCCATATAATGGGGTGATGGCGGTCACTGCCAATTCTCGCGTGGTGTCGGAGGACGAAATGAAAGATCCTGCGTACAATAAGGTCATGCGACAGTGCGAAGGGGTCTCCAGACTGATTGGTGCCACTGCGCCGATTCGGGTAGATGTGCGACGGTCCCGAGAGGGTTCGGAATTCGCTCTGTTCGATATCAATATGAAGCCAGTAAGCACTTGCTTTCACCTTCCTGTCTGTAATTATACTGAACGGTTTTAGAATATGACCGGTCGAGGGCGGCCAGGACGGGAGGATCAGGCTAGCTTGACTGCCAGGCAGCATCAGCTATGGGCTGGGACTATGGCACGCTGTTGCAGCATATTCTGGAAGGCGCCCAACCCCTGGGGCAATTCCGCAACTACCGCAGTCCATTTTAGCATCTTACTTTTGGCTATACAGTAACAAACATTATCACTTGTAGCCAAACCTTCCTCTCTGTCAGTTGTCCTAGAGACCCCGACACCACTACATAATCAGACAAGACGCTACGTTTCGAGTCTTTGTAATAAAGCTAACCGCGACTTCAAAAGTAGATAAGCTTTATTCCTTTGCTAGCCCTTGTGTAAGGCCATCAATTGGCAAGAAATTCCACATGTACTCGTCCTCCGGCGCCACTTCAAAGTCAAACCGGATGAGGTCCTCCTTGTAGGGGAACATATATGTGCTGGTAACCCTATCTCTTTGTCAGCGTCACCTAATCGCTAACTATTAACTGCCTTGCTCGAGTTGCACATACCAATGATGCTCCTTGCTGGCCTGATATGCTTCCAAAGCTTCCCGGTTCTCATGGAAGCTCAACAGCGCGATCTCAAACCCTTTGCTTCTCTCGATCGGATCAGTAATTGATGGCCCGCCAACCACCAGCCGGTGGCCCTTGACACAGTCGAGGTCCTTGAGTTTCTTGAGTTCGCGGACAAAGGTATCTTTATGCTCCTGCGTCACCTCTGGACGGAACTTGAACAGGACTGGATTATATTAGTACGACGTGTTGAGTTGATTTACTCGAAAACAGACTTACCCATATGTACGATCGTCATTGTAGCGAGTAAATCGTATGAGCCTCGGTTGGGTCAATTCGGAGGAAATTGTTGGTTGCGGAAGAGATGAAAGAGTAAGGGTGACTCACTAAAATCAGTGGTTGATTCTCAACTCGGCCACTTTCCGCATTATCCTCGGTCCCAAATCCCAATGTCCGCCCTCGCAGATATGAATTTGGGACTCATAACCCCGAACTTTATTATCCAGCTATACTTCCTGTCTTCTGATCCATGCTTGCAGTTCTGATGCTCTCTCCTAACATCTATTCAGGATGGCTTCATTATCGGTCTTGGAATTGAGACGTCAGAACAGGGACCGCTAAGTTACCACTACAACAAATCGACAACTACTGTAGGTAAATACCAGAGTATGATACTCCATACTGGTGCCTGTTACCTACTGCATGTCGCCGAAGGGTTCTGATCCTCTCTTGAATCCAGGAGTCTTCTCTAACCATCTAACTGACCCCCTTAATAATAATTACGCTTTGCGGCTTAGCCTGGATTACGAAGGTGATAACCGATACTTAAAAGGAGTATAACCATGTCTCAAAAGTCACTTAGTCTAAGCTTTTCTTGTCTTCTAGCCTATTTGATTTGGCAAATAGCTTTAACTATTGCGGTGCCTTCCGCCATGGTTACAAATATCTAATTCTCCTTCATACTTTCCACGCAGCATTCCGTCAACAGCCCTCAACATTCCAATATATCACAACATAAATTTAGGTGTCAAAGCAATAGAATGACACCAACACTCGTCAGCCTCCCAAGCAAGCTCCTCCAGGCCATCGCGGACCACATCCCCTCAGAGCCTGAAGTCCGCTGTCTCGCTCAAAGCCACCCTCAACTTGACAGCATTCTAACACCCTACATCAGGGCCCGCAAGGACCGCAAGGAGCGCAGTAACCTCCTCATCTCCGCCATACAAAATTCCAAACCGCCCCAACTCTGTCAGCTTCTGCTTCGTGATGGCGCTGACCCCGAAATGAGAGTGCGGACTGAACAGGGCAAGACGGCCCTCCACTTTGCTGCTGAGACAGGTCAGACAGTGGTTGCGCGCCTGTTACTGTTGCATAAACGTAGCCTCTTAAACATCCGCGACGGGATCGGGCGGACGCCTCTCATGTCCGCTGCGGAGGGCGGGCATGGAGCCGTGGTGCGGACGCTGCTTTCTGCACAGTATGGGCCTGCAGATGTGACTCTGCGCAGCTGCAGGAATCGAAGTGTCCTCTGGTATGCTGCCAACGGGGGCAATGTTAAAATTGTGCAGATGTTGCTGGATACCGGGTACCTTGATCATAATGCTGCGGACAATGACGGGGTGACCCCATTTGCATGTGCTACGAGCGAGGGCCATTGTGAGGTTATGCGGTTCTTGCTGTCCTTGGAAGGGGTCGATCCAGATTGTCGGATGTATCAAGGGAAGGACACCATTATTCCTGGCTGCTGGTAACGGGAAGGAGGAGGCTGTTAGGTACTTACTGACTCTCAGGGTGGATCCAGACGCAAAAACTGGCCATCGGGAAACGCCATTACTGGAGGCAGCCAGGAGGGGACACGCGGGGGTTGTGCAGCAGCTGTTGGCGGTTGAGGGAGTAGATCCAGATGCTGCTGACGGTCACCAGAGAACTCCGCTGATCGCGGCAGCGCTCCGTGGGCATGCGGAGGTCGTTAAGCTATTGCTGGCAACAGGCAGGGTGCAATTTGATGCAAGAGATCACCAAGGGATGACACCATTAATGTGGGCAGCCAAATTTCAACGGACTCCAGTTGTTGAGCTCTTGCTGTCAACCGGCCAGCTGCAGGTTGATTTTGATTTGAGCGAGTTGAGGAAGGGACCAAGGCTATTTGGCCCACCAAAGTTGGATCAGTCTCTCGTCAAGCTTCTCGATGCTTACAAGAAACGCGATGCATAATTGAAACCAGTCTGCCTCTTGAAGGACCGCCTTGACTAGGAATAATGCTACAGATATGATGGACTCCGAGGTAACACTCCCAGATAGCCTCGCGAACGATAATGACTGATATCAAAAGATCACTTTTTCAAATGCTTCACGCAACCCTCGCGCCTGTAGCCACGTCTCTAATGCTTGCATGTCGCCCCGATTGGCTCTGTGGCCACTTCGTTCCCCTAATGAATCCGTGATTTCCTCCATCCCAGAGAACACTCTCTGAACGTCCTTCGTCTCCCGATATCTCTCGCTGACCTTTTTCTGATGGCTGGGGATATCGCCCCAGGAGTGTGTCTTAATGAAGCTCATATAAGCATCGATGTTCGCTGACATACCCTCTAGACACAACACACCAGGTTTTCCGGCCAACACAAAGCCAGTGAGAGAATAATCAGGGGCGTGATTGACCAGATCGTTCCTCTTTTCTCGCGTTGAGAGAGACGGGAAATAGAACCAGACTCGCACGATCGGTCCGGATCTACTCTCGGTACTTTCAGACTTTGATGCCCGCTGAGCCTCTAAGAAGCGGAGCGCTTCATCCTGGACGTATTCAAGGGCCTCAAACAGGTCATCTGAAGGCATTGCAGCGGCCATCCTTGCCAGCTCAGCTCTAGACATCCAGTCTGGTTGCCGTAGTGAGTAAGTTAATGACGGCGGCTGTGCTATATCTGGAGCATCACCTTGGACCGGGATTGATATGTTGACTTGTATTGATTTTTCTCCCCCCGCAATCGGTAAACAGACTGCAAGGTGTAAGGTTGAAGGAATCCCCGAGGGCACCGCAGATGGATTCTCGCACCAGTTGCGGAGTTTCTCAATGCATTGAGTGGTGGCCACAGGTATGTCAATCTCGCCAGGAGATGGGAACATGGCTGTCAGGAGGTCGATTGTGGATAATTGAGACTCCATCACGTCCGGTGGTAGCAGGGATAATTGTTTTTGTGCCATTTTGGGCACGTCAAACCGCGGATTGCCTGCGTAGCTCTTTTGAGGTCGGCTGCAAAAGATCCTGGCTTTAAGTAGCCGTGATTGTTTGGCTAGGTCAATAATGATATTCTAGGATATGCATAGCAGCTAAGGTTGGACCTAAAAAGGAAAGATACTATTACCTACCCCCGGGCCCTGGCGCACTTATTATTGGAAAACACACTAAACTTGAAATAGGCTAGCACGTGACTGTGCAGCTTTGACTGGTCTGGATTGGATAAGCAGAAAAACGCACATCCATGCGACGTGTACTTTTATTTTATATGTATTGATTTCCTACTTCTCATGATATAGGTCTTCTAATCTTATATGTGCCTTCATTTACTCTTAATAGAGATTATAACCAAAAGATGTGATTGCAAGCATCATTCCTAGCTACTGTTCACCTGTAGCACACATGGCAATTCACACAGAATTAAGCAGGAAGGGCATTCTTGCCCAACTGCGACCCGTGCGCTCGGGACCAAACCCACTCGCTCACAGCGCTAACATATGTTCCATTCTGAAAGTATAGGCGGAGATCCGGCCCGTTATTGGCCAAACTGCCCCAGCTGATAATAGCGACCTCCGAGCCCTGGATGACTGGGGTGATGGTTCGCTTGTCGTTATAGCCCTTGCCGTGGTCCCAGCAGACCTGCCAGATAGTGTTGTCCGAGTTGACAAAATAGATACGCATGTAGATGGAACTGTTGCCGGCTCCGTAGCTGGTGGCTGCAATGGCGGTACGTGGAGGTGCCTTGTCAAAGATGGTGTGGAGGTTTGGGTACCAGCTTTTGTGCGGGTCGTAAGCTCTTTGGACGAGTTTGAGGTCGTCAGTTTGGAACCAAATCCTGTGCGTTATCTTTTATTAGTAAGTCTTTCCGTATTCAGGTTTGCATATGGCGGTGCCGTACCGGATGCTTGGGCCATTGTGGTCAGTATAGCGGAAGGAGGTGGCTCCGATGCCAGTGCCGGGGAGCGCAGCTCCCAGGTTGGTGCCCTCCTTCCAGCCGTCGCCTAAGTTGCAGGTTAGTAACAGACATCAAGAGACTTTGTGATTAGACACACCATTCCACATGTACTCCTGGATTGTGTTATCTGACTTCTGGGCATAGATCCGCAACTGCAACGCATCTGTTCCCGCCAGGAACACAGCTGTAATGCGAGAGTAGGGCGCAACTTGGAACTTGGCACCGCCCAGGCCGCCGTTGTACCATCCGCTTCCGGAGTCGTAGGCAAACTCCTGGAGAGTGTTTCCTTCAGTGAGGGTGTAGACACGGATCTCCATATGGTCAGAACGGGAGCAGAGCCAATGGGCAGATAATAACATAACATACGTTGTTCAGCTCTTTGGAAGCCGCGGCCACAGGGCTGCCGAGCTTCGCCTTGCCGATGACATTTTTTTCGGTGCCGTTGGCCCAGCTACCCTCGTAGAGACTCTCGCGAATACTGCCGTGGACATCCTGGAAGTAAACACGGAGACGGTTGGTTGAATTGACCGCGGCAATTCCGGTGCCTATATTTGTCAGGTCGAAACAGGAGGTGAAAGGAGCATTTGATCCAACATACGGAAGAGGACTTGCTGTGCTCCAGTGGTAGACATTGTTCGGGGACTTAGGGTATCTTTTCAGGTCCTATAGCTATTGAGTAGTGCTCGAGGTTATGATTGTAGATTGATGTGCAGACCTGTCACAGCCTTTTATACACAAACAGAGGCAATAATTATTTGCCCATGAAGCAAACCCCTCTTCTCTTTGATTTTGCTTTGCCATAATGTGCAATCAATCCAATTATTGTGCTTCGAGAACAGTGAGCTGTGTTTCTGATGCATTTGTGGCTTAAATAGCGCTTGTAACGCATGTACATTTGTATGCTGAGATACCATTGGGCCAGTTGATCCGACGTCTGGTTTACAATGCAGGGCTGGCTGATATTATGATGCTGGCTGGCTGTAACTAAAGCAGGGTATCATGGTGTGCTCCTTCCAAATGGTCTTCTTCGGACGTCAAATCTCACTGGAACTCAACCGCAGCCTAACGATCTCGGCCATTCCGGTCTTACAATCACGAAATGAGGAATCATCTGCAGCCTTGTCTGGCCGTGATACACAGCTGTCTACGCTGGTGTGGGGAATTTTCTACTTTAGCTTAGGGCTGCGTGCAAGGTTAGTTTGCTGATTGGTTCTTCAGATCAGAATAACTCTCACTTCCCCTCATTTGTATTCTGAGCTAGGACACATCATATGAGGTCTATTGTTTGTGCTCATTGCTTGGCTAGCATAAACGATACACATTTGTGACTGGAGAGCAGTTGAGAAAGCTTGCAGGAGCATGTCTCAGGAGTCACAAGAGGGTGTAGAACCAGAGATAGGAAAGAAGGATTGAAGGAAGAAGGCCAGTGGTGATACTAAGAAGATGGTGTATATCTTTCCAATATTTTCTAAAGTATTCTAAATTCACCAGAATTTGAAGTGCCGTGGATATGATGAACTGCATAGAATAGGATAGAGATACAGATATGTGGATGTGATTTACATGCTTGGTGCTACTATCATTAGAGATCAGAATGGTCACACATGCAGGTGTTTATTTGAATATTAAATTGAATTTGATATCTGATGATGTATCTTGCATCTTGACTAATGCCACGTAGAGGCCATTATGGCCTAGAGCAAGTAGCTAGATGGTTGTTCCAGCTATGTCCACAATAAAATTACTGTGCAACTTTTGCTGCAACGCATTGATATCCTGGTCCTTTCAGCTCAGCGGTTCAGCTTGATGACACTGATGTCTAACCAGATCGAGGGCTTAGTAGCGAGGCACTTAAATGCCAATGTCTTGCTCTCACCTTCCCCTCATCTCCAGCTCGTCTCCCCGTCTGAGCAGATCGTAGGGATGGTTCAGAAGCTGATATCAAGACACGATTGTAATACCCATCCTAGCAGTTGGACTGCAGTCGTTTAACACGCAATCTAATGCACCTGAAGGGTACCGTGTAACTTTTATCTTTGCTTCAGTACCTGGGACTTTTACTAAGTAGCCTTGGGGTGAGAGTGAGACCGTGGGAGCCTACTGTAGCCAATAAGACAATACACTACGACGATCCGAGCCTTTGTGGCTGGCTGATCTCAAAGACCCACTTGACTAGAGAGTTGAAAAATGCAGTATGGAGTTAACCAAACACAGAAACATATGGACTCGTATCTGCTAGATGGTTAGGAAGTCAGCTGGTATATTTTCTATTATTAGCAGGTGCAAGCATCCAGAATGCATCTAAATGCGACAGACTACAGCATTGACTTGTATCTACAATACGATTGACAAGCCTTTCAACGCAATGAATGATTCTCCGGATATTCAACATGGATCGAAAAGTAAGCTCCATCAACTCTCCTCGACAGTATCGCGATAGAGATACTCCGCGAACTGGTCCGGGACCTGGCCACCAACCATTTCATTCTCCTCCGCGAAAGTCCTGATCTCGGCTTCCTCGTTGTCCGTCAGTGAAATCTGCAGAGCACCCCAGTTCTCCTCCAGGTATTTGACCCTTCTCGTCCCTGGAATGGCAAAAATCTCGTTCCCTTGTTTCAACAGCCAGGCCAGTGCCAGCTGCGATACAGTACAACCCTTCTTCTCCGCCAGAGACGCGAACTGACTGGCAACCTTGGCATTATGCTCGCGATTCTCTTCTAAGAACTTGGGTATGACTTTTGGTCGCTTATCTTCACTGTTGCCGACTGGCTCACCCTTGCTGAAAGTGGACGTGATGACCCCGCGTCCAAGGGGACAGGAAGCCACAAGCGCCACCCCCAGTTCTCGACAAGTTGCCAGGAGGTTTGTGCCGGTTGGGCCCTCGACATCGCGTGAGAAGACGCAATACTCGGTTTGGACAGCCACGACGTTGGCGATCTTGCATGCCCGCCGGAGGGTCGCGGAAGACACGGATGACACGCCAATGTGCTTGATCTTGCCTTCTCTGATACTGAATGAGCGCATAGACCTTTAACGTTATTGAATTGTGCCTTACGCCTGAAGCTCTACCATAGCTCTCATGGTCTCCTCGATGGGAGTTTGAGGGTTGGGACTGTGCAGATAGTCTGAGGTAGAAAGCTGGTTAGCTATACTGGCCTTTGTCAGTAGACGGGGTTAAGGGGGCTAACAAAGGTCAATCGAATCGACCCCAATCTTTTGAGGCTCGCATCGCAAGCTTCCTTGCAATATTCGGCAGAGCTGTTGACCTCGTGGGGTTTTCCTCCCTGAACAAAGCCGAACTTGGTCGCCAGAAAGATCTGGTCACGCTTTCCAGTCCGTCGGAACCATTTTCCCAGGAGCTCCTCATTGTCGCCGTAGAGACTATATAGGTAGAGTCAATTAGCGATGAGAATCTACTGATTGGTGCTGCTTGAAGACTTACTCGGATGTATCCCAAAATGTCTCTCCTAGCTCGACAGCACGATCTAGGACCTTGAATCGTTCTTCGTCACTGGGAATGGAGCCATAGACCCAGAAGGACATTCCCATCAGACCGAGCCCCAGGGCCGGAACAGTTGGACCGTTTTTGCCCAGCTGGCGGTTGACAACCATATTGGAATCCATAGCAAGGCGCGATAAGTGATGTTATATATATATTGTTGACGCAATGAAACTGGATCGATCTGTTTCGGGCGTTGGCAAGGTCGACCAACGCGGACTCATACTGGATACTTATACCTATCAACACTACCTGGATCAATGAGAGATATCCAGTTCCTTCCCACAAGGACCGTGCTGCTATCCAAGTGCTGAGCTATGAAGCGCACCCTCGCTAATAGTGGCTTTCAGGATAGGGACGTAGAACAGCCAATCAGAGTGGAGCATTGCCGAGTGAGCCTATTGCCTTGAATGACCAACCAGCTTAAGGGCAGAGCAAAAGATATTTTTGTCTTGATCTTCTGGAGAATGGCCGTTAGTGCTAGTCTGCCATGGTATCCCGGGCACCCTTTGGGGATGGGCCATGAAACCATTATTAAGGATGCCCAATCAAATGTAAGTACAGCCGAGTAAGCCAACCAAAACCGTTAGAAAGCTCCACCCGCGGACCCACCACAAGGCGGCAATTAGCGAGTGGGGCCTTCGGCTACCTAAAGGAGTGCAGGGAGGATCTCGTCTCACATCTGCTTAGGTCTTCCCTTCCCGGTAGACGAGAGCTACACTGTGGTTTGGCAATCAAATGGACAATAGAAGTGATCACTTGACGCATGGGTAAAAGAAGAGTCAGGACCGGCTGCCGGACATGCCGGTAAGTCAATGCCGAAACCATGCCTGCGTGTGGCTGAGGTCTTTCTAGGATTCGCAAGGTCAAATGTGATGAGGCCTATCCGGCGTGCCGTCGGTGTCTTTCCACTGGTCGTGCTTGCGATGGATATGGCATCTGGGGGGGCGGAAGCTCCAGCAGGACTACGAAGCCTTCGGCCGTCACAGTGAGCTCTGCGCTTGTTATCGGAACAATGTCAGATTTCCCACTGGCCGCCAGGATCAACAATGAAGAGGGCCGCTATATTCAGTGGTTCAAAGAACGTACTGGGTCGAAAATGTCAGGCTCATTTTTCTCGGAATTCTGGAGCGGCTTTGTCCTACAGGCCGGTATGAGCGAGCCCGCAGTGCTGCACGCCATCCTTGCTCTGAGTTGTGTCCACCGCCAAGGCATCTTGAGCGATAATGGTCTCAAGACAGAGGACGAGGAAAAGTTGACTCTCACCCGCTATAGTAAGGCGATCAATCACCTACAGCCTCATTTCAAGGCAAAGGACCGGACTGCCTTTCGAATAGCTCTCATTGTCTGCGTTCTGTTCATTGCGCTAGAGCTGCTCAGAGGCCATTTTGCATCGGCGCGAATCCACCTTCAACAAGGCTTAAACCTCCTCCAAGGGTCAGGTCTGGTGAAACAAAAAGGCGACCTTCTTGTAGTGAATAGTCAAGACTATGTTGATGACTGGATTGTGCAAGCATTATCGAGGTTGCACGTTCAACTCGAGCTACTTAAGCAAGTCCACCGTGGTTCTTCCCTACGGCTCCAGGTTCCCATCTTGGACTGCAAATCATCGACGTTCCCCTCCGTGAAAGAGGCGTGGTCTTGGCTTCACCACCTGATGGGAAGAGTTTTCAATTTGAATGGAGAAGTGGTTGAACGATTCTGTACAGAGAACAGTCCCCGAGCAGAGCTGGTCAAGCACCAGCGATCCATCGATGAGAATCTCACCCAGTGGCTGAACACATACAACAACACAATCCAAGGGGGTATGCGGAAAGATCAGGCGCAAGTCTACGGGCTGCTTCGCACATATCACATTATGATAACTATCATGGCAGCGACCTGTCTTTATCCTGGCGATGAGATGGTCTTCGACCTGCATACCGACCACTTTCTGGAAATGATCACCATGCTGGCGCAGCTATGGAAATTTCTCGCGATGTATTCCGACTTTGGCTCTCGACCCGCTCAGTTCTTCATGTCGCGTTCCATTGGAGATCTGGGCTGGATTGCCCCACTATACTATATCGCTATCAAATGTCGCGTGCACCGGATTCGACTCCATGCTATCCGGCTGCTGGAAGGCAGCTTCCACAGGGAAGGCTTCTGGGACTCAGAGATTTTGGCATTCGTGGCGCGAAAAGTCATGGAGATTGAGGAGGGCGACTTTTACCAGCTTCTAGATGCGGTGGATGACTTTGAGCTGCATTGCCCTCCGGGACATGAAGATATGCTGTTTCCGCCCCTACCTGAACACTGCAGACTATCTGATGCCGAAGTGAGTCTGTTGAGCGATCCTGTCAGTACGATTTCAATTCTTTGTAACCCGAGTGGCCACGGAACAGATCGCAAAATCTGTGTTGCAAGTTATGAGGTCGCATTCGACCGATGAAATAGAACTACACGTCATCAAATGGAGCCTTACCAGCGTCATATAAACGCATCGTCCTAAGATCATTGGTGGCTACGATTCAAGAGGCTCCGTTGAGTAGGTACAGGTCAGTCCTGTTTAGGGAGCCCAGACAAACCCGCCTGCCTTAATCCTTACGTGCACAGCGTGGCAAATTAGTATATTCATTGTTGGAATATCTATGTTACATAGGAACTATTACCGACGAAAGGTCCTAATGTGGTGAGATCCTTGCGCTCGAGATTATCATACGTCATCAATCAGTACAGTATCCGGCGACGAGAAGTGCAGGCTACTGACACTCAGTCTGCATCAGACCTTGCCAGACGCACTGCCTCGTCGGCTCCATGACGAGAAACTCATAGAGCGGAACGTTCCTCTCTTCTTCACTGGGATCCCATCCTCCTCCTCCTCCTTAGGCACCGGCGCTGGGCGTACCTTGTCGTTCTGCTTCTTATAGAGCCACCAACTGGACATGACAACCAGTGTGAGAGGCACTGTTATTGCAGCCCAGAGCCACCATACCGCTGTCGATTCAAACCGCATGTTATCACCACCACCGTTGAAGCTCCCAGCGCTTAGGATTGTCTGTGAAACAACTATCAGAATACCATGATCCATTCCATCCAAGAACCCGCCAGAAGTACTCACCGCGATGAATGTCCCAGGTAGAAAGACCATTGTCAACGCAGCAATCGCATTCATACTGGTACTATCTCGTTTCATACTAGCCGCCAATTGTATGTTACTCGCTGCATCCTGCTGCGTCACAAGGTTATACACCAGCGCCATCGTGCTATCCTTGCGGTTCTTGTAGTTGAGAAACCATATCTTCTGCTTCTGCATGGACTCAATGACATATGTGATCGAGTCGGCCGCGCGCTCAAACACCCGCGCCGGGCTACCCATGGCTTCATGCAAGTGAGCATGCGCCGTGCGGATGCCAGTTGCTGTGATGATGGCGACGTCGGCATTGCCCAGATGCGAATCCGCGTTTTGGGAGATGATTTGCAACTCCTCGGTAAGTTCTCCTAGTTTGCGGCGGTCGTTGGTTTCAAGCCCCGCGAGATGGTCGTCGACCTTGTTGATCTGGGTCCACATGTATCGCCGGAATCGCTGGGCGTGATTCTTCGAGGCCTCGAACGACAATGTGGAAAGAATGACGGCGAGGTCGAATGGATCGTCGAGCAGTATACGTGCCCTTTGCTCTGCTGGTGCCGTTTCGATGGTGAGGTTGAAAATGTTTTGCAGGGCTTGGATACTCGAGTCTCCTTCCTTGTGGGATATGATATAGGTTGTGAGATGCGATGCCGCGTCGTAACGCATGTATACTGATAGAGGTGCCCCTTGAAAATGCAAGTTCCATCGGGGTGTTGACAGTAGAAGTCTGTGGATGTCAGCCGATTTCGACTTATCAAACGCAACAGATGTAACGGACCACAAGCCAATATGTTGCTATTGCTATCGGACGTCCACCGTGTTTGCGGCGCCCAGTAGTCTGGTCTCCCAAGCAAGTTCATAATGAATGACGGATCAGCGTTCAGGTACTTGAAAAGGTCCATCGTGTTGTCTTGAGTCATGGATATCCGACTCGCAAACGAAGTATTCTTCTCTGGTATGAGAGGTACGAAGCTATTGACTGTCAGTGGGCGAAAGGAACAAAGAGTCTAGAACGTACAATGCAAGTAGCCTCGAAGGTTTTGAATGTCCAAAGGGTGCATTCGTGTGGGAAGGTTTTGGAATACTCTAACCTGCCCATCAGCTCTGTTGGCATGGTGGAACAAGTGCTCCTACCCGAAGGAGTTGAGTCAATCCTCGAGAGTCGAGCGTATGCCATGCTTTGCAGTATCAGTAATCGATCAATAACTGTACGATTATCGCTCTGACTGACATGAGGTGTTTTCATTCACGTCCAGACACATGATATCGGTCTCGTCAGAAAAGTTCCGGGGATTCTTCAAATGCGTGTCATGCTGCACCGCTGGAAAGACATCCTGGAGAGACTGGAGGTTACCGAGAGGGTAGTTGCTGCGGTCTAAACTGAAGTTGAAATCGAGATCCTTCGCTTCCAGATCGCTTGCTTGGGCATGACGAAAGATATCCTTCATCTCAATCGAATTCCTTCGAGGAAGCACCTTTGTCTGTGAAAATGACGCCTCTAACCGTGAGAAGTTGGCATCTTCACGGTCGGTGCTTATGGGCTGGTTATCGCCCATTGTGCTGGTGGCGCCCTGCAGTTCTGTTTGTCTGAACAAGCTTAAATATTGTCAAGAAAGTGGGGATTTCCTCGTCTAGTGTCCAGACTATATCTGCCGACATTGCGCAGAAACGGCTCCTCTTCTTCCCACAAGGATGAGCCTCATCACTGGGGCCAGTGCGCTTGAGCTCGGCAGAGATTACTCTGTCCGGCCAACCTGACATGCGCGATTCGTCGGAATGATGCTGGAGGATACGCCACCCACTGACAGATCGTCCTCTCTGCCCGGCTGCCTTTCAGCTGGGCATGCCGAGACGGAACTAATGGCGTCCTGTTCTCGGCCTTGCGAGTTAGCCTAAGAGTCATAATCATCTTAGGAAACCATGTCTTCAAAATCCGGAGATATCGGATCGGACAGGTGAAAGGGTGAATATATGGATTGACCCTTCGAAGTGCATGAATGTGACCATGGTTTTGAATCTGTCAGCCGCCAGGAGGCGGAGATATCGAATGGATATGGATATGGACACGTAGTAAGCACTAAGCCTGGTTGGAACATAGCCGGCCTTGGTATCATCATTCTTATTGCCCTGGTTTCTTTTCTTTTTTCGATCTCAGTCAGGCAACTCAATATTCGCATCCTGCTGCCACCAATCCCAGCTCTGCTGCCTTCCACGTGCCATGGCGACTGCGATCGACTATGATGCTCTCCTGGCGAGCTTCGACGACTTGGTTACTCGAGAAATCATATATTATTCCCCGCCAACAACAATACGGCTGCACGATGCGGGCTTTCCTGTGAGAAATCCCGGCATTAGATCGACATTCACTAACAAGATCGATTCCAGTTCGAATTCTATATTAGTCCTTCACTCCGCACAAAACCGGCTTATATTGGGGACAGTTTCCACTCCAACGATAGTGCATCACCTGCAGGCTTTGGACCAGGCAGTGATATTGCCAATGAGGATCCAAACTTGCTGATCGCCACTATTAACCACACTCATCTCCTCGTAATCAACAAGTTCTCTGTTTTCCGGCCACAGTTGCTCTTGTTGACATGCGACTCCTACCGGCGGCAGCATGAACCACTTACCCTGGAAGACTTTGCGGCGACTCACAGCGTCCTCAGCTCGTCAAAAGAACGCCATCTTGTTATCTACAATTGTGGATCAATAGCAGGCGCAAGCAGGAACCATAAACATGTGCAGATTTTGCCGCGCCCTGCCGATCTATTTCCGGACGACCCGAACTTTGACCCTGAGGTGATTCCGTTTCAGTATGGTCTGCGATCTCTTCGCGGTCTGGATTTCGGAAGTCCGGACTGCCCCCTAAAACTCTCGGAAATCTACCAGGAACTATTGGCAGAGGCGAAAGAAAGGCCTGGAGACTCACTCGACGCAAACAATGAAGGGTACTTTCCACATAACGTCGCGTTGGTCCGAGAGTGGATCATTGTCATCCCCCGGCGCAGTAACAACTTTGAGGACATCACTGCCAATGCGGCTGGAATGATGGGCTCTGTCTGTCTAAAGAGCGAAGCCGAGTTGGATCGCTGGAAACAGGTCGGACCGACGAAAGCTCTGGCTGGTTTGGGATTTCCGAGAGAATCTGAGAAGGAGGACTAGCATGCATTATAAACATTGATGGATGCCTTCGAATCGTGATTAGACATCTTTAAGCAATATGGTTAAACAGATATAGAACGCTCGCCCCAACGAGACTAGCAGATCATCACAATATCTTCATGGCGGCCTCCGCCAGATGTACGGCCTCCAGTTCCTGATTCTTGATGACCGAAATCAAAATGTTTGTCCCATGCTCCGACACAGCTCGGACAACCACATTCTCTCCATATCCACAGTCCTTCTCTGTAGGTGCTGCTTCACTGTACTCGGCAAAGCTCTCCTTGGTGACTGCATCTTCCTTCGACAGCAACACCCGGCTAGCCACGTCTCTTGCCTCCTGGTACGTCAGGAAGACTCCCTCGATGTCGATATCGCGCACTCTGCTGCCCTCCTCGGCGCTGTACTCGACATTGGCTTGTACTACGTAGTACAATGGCCTGGTGATATGGCCCTCAATGACCTCGCCGATGAGCTTATCGTCCTTTGGGGTTGTGATGATATGAACCCGAAATTCTGTTCGATCGGGCGCAACAGCAAAGACGGCTAATCCAGATCGCTCGGGAAGATCTCTGTTCTCAAATATCTCCGGCTTGGTCTCGTACGTGGTGAACCACTCCTTTTCGTAGCCCGCGTCAAACAGACAGCGGTATGCGGCGGCTTTGGCTGCCTGGAGATTTGTGTAGGTGGCAGGGATTCGGACCTTTTCGACAACGTTGTTTGGATTTTTTTGAAGGTGACTGGTTGTTAAAATGATGTGGAAAAGTTGTTCAGTACTGTCGTTTGAGCCCATGGTGGCGACAGTGTTAGGGGATATGTCGTGGTGAGATTTAGAAAGTGTACGAAAGAGCGCCTGTGCTGAATTGATGGTGCTTCCTCTCTGGGTTACGATACCGTTGCTTTTATATATTTGCTATACAGGCTGCATTATTCTTGCATTTTGTGGTTTTCATGATGCGGAGTGATGTGGAGTGATGTGGCTTGACGATGGCATGTTATGCGTGGCATGATGCTATTTCAACATAGTCAGGATTCTTAGGATTTTACCAGATCATGACTTGGATGATTCTAAATGTCAATGGATTTTTGAAACACTTTTCCATTTCTCATTAGCAGAGCCGGGCAATTATGGTCATAGTTCAGTTTCCCTATGATCAACCGGACCTGAGTTACCAAAGAAGAAACTCACTTCACTACCTATGCTCCGGATGTCCTTCATCACCAGTTACAACCCAAGTCCGCGTCTCGCGGATGATCCCAGTTTGGCTGGATTGGCTATCCGCATCCCACGCCGGTGACGCTGACACCGTGGTCAGATTCTGCCCTGATGCCACTGGGACCAGTTCATGATGCTCCTCCCGGCTATGGTTCGTCCCAGATCGTCCGTATGATCGTGACGATTGACCCTTCCCAGTCGAATATTGATATTCCACCCCTTGAATACGCAGACCATTTGACTTGAGCTGATTGAGGAAAGGTTTCAACTGGCCCCAGCACGCGGTGACTATACTCGCGCATTGTACAACTTGCGATACAATTGTAGTAGGACAATAGTCGTATGTAGGATCGGTGGAATGTCTGACGTCGCGCGAGAAGACGATTTCGATAATTGTCGCTATGACCACGCTGCATGCAGAGGTCAGTCCTTGTCGTTTCAATCATATGGATCTGAGTAGTACAAACAGGACTCTTGATAGAAATATACTTGCAAACACGGCCTTTTTCTTCCGCGTCGCCTGAATGCCGGCAATCAAGAGCAAAGCCTGTGCGATGATCATACAATCCGTAACAATATTGGACACAGAAAGGAAGTAATTCCAAGCGGCCTAGCATGTGTCAGTACTTATTCCTTGGAACACCGCTATCAAAAAGAAGTGTGGCTACCAGATTGAAGCATTGCCCGTGCCAGTAATCCCATGGACGGGGCATATTGCACTGAAAGGCCGTACCAAACACACCAACCACTCCCAGGACAGCAATAAGTCCCTGCAGGACCGCGGCCTGGAAGTGATCCTTATGCACCGGTGTCAAGCTGCGAATAAATGTCGAGAGCGATAGCTTGGAAAGGCAGAGGCTTGCGATATACAGGATGTAGGCGGCATATTGTGACTGGATAAGGGTTAACCGGACTCAAGGCAGCAGATGCCGTTAGCAACGACGTACTTTCATGACATGGTCAAAATTCTGACTCGAAATTGTCGCGAAATGATAGCCATATCCGTGTGATACCGCTGTCGAGATCGCTGCAGATTGTGCAATGCAGAACGCCTGTGTTGAAACTGAGGTAAGACCAAAACTCTCCTGGGGTTTACGTTTGTAAACATACCAAAGATGCGATTATCAGGTAGTCATCGCTGGTCAATCTATGAAAGATCCAGAACTTCGTCCCCAGTCGAATAAGGACGCTCAAACCCGCAACGACGACCAGAAACCAGTTGGTGACATTGACGGCAGGATCTCGGGTATCGATGTTGGCAAATCGCCCCATGTCTGCCACTCATGCCCTGTAGGCAGTCGATCAAAGCCCGGCTACTCAATAGCGCTTGTCGCGCACAATGGCATTCATGTCAGGAAGAAGGAGAAGCAACCTGGCATGGTTGACATGATAAGAGATGAAAGCAGAAAGTTCCTCGACATTTAACGTCGAAATCAATGCCAATACTCAGTAGACCTCACCAGAGCCCACTCTGAGCTGATGGAAACATCAAAAGTTTGATTATGACCAGGGAGGGACAGGGATCTCATCCTTCCCGTGCCATCCTCGTGTACGGCCTGCATTGGCGACAAATATTACCAGGAATAAATTTCCTCCGTTTCAGATCTCTATCCTTAGGCCTCTTCACTTGATCTCACCCAAAGACCTACAGGAGCATCTACATGAAGATCCCTCGCGTGGCCATATTGCCATATTATCGCGTGTCGTGGGATCTACACGTACAGCCCTTAAGACAAATCTCAGGCACAAGCACAGCATACACACGGAACAACCGCCGACTGTTCTGGTGAAACACGCACGGCACGGATCCTGGCTCGTGCATTAAGAGCATGCGACCATCGGGGACAAAATTTTCACATCCTTGCAGTGATACGGAGCAAGGTTACATTGTCGGCCGAACCCTTGTCGCGCCAAGAGACGTCACGTAATAGGATTGGACTCTAGGTGGTGGATTGACCGTGGTCTAACTGGTTTCAGCACCCAATGCCGATTGATAGAAGGACTAGTTTCAGAGTAAACGGTCTAGCGAAGTCTACCCAGCGATCACGATCAAATGGTGCCTTGGCTCGGGTCGGTGGGCGGGACAAGAATTCGAGACCGAAGAAGCATATCCCAAGCATTGTGATCAATCGAAGAATCGGCAGGCGGACATTCGAGCATCCAATTGTACAAACGGATATAGGTTTATGATACCAAATTGGTGGTGGTATAACACCGCTGAACATCAAGGGCATCAAGTGTGAACTCCTCGATCCTATCCTGGATTGCCACCACTGTGAATGACCCGCAAGACAGGGGGATGACAGGGATCGTAAATTAGAAAGACACCATCGATATCGGCTTCAGTCGGGGTTACTTCCCACCCATAAGAGGGCCTCCCTTTGCGTTCAGGACTAGAACCTGAACGGAAGGTGTTTCGACGGTGGCCAGATTGGTCTGGGCAACTTGTGTTCTGTCCAGCAACCCACTTCTCCTACTCCTAGACCTTAAAAATGAACCATCCCCGACATTCATGGTGACAATTTCCAGCAGCTCTTGGGTTCGATTGCTATTCCCCAGTTTCCTGATATCGCAAACATGGAGTCGCACCAACTCAAGCATCGCGCTGTCTCCGCGAACGAAGAGGTCCGCAGCCATGATCGCGATGTCACCGATCTGGCGCGACTGGGAAAGAAATCAGTTCTGAAGGTAAATAGGCTGCTTCTCTTGAAGCGTTCCTTGATCTGACCTCGTCTTTAGCGAACATTCGGCATCCTATCCACACTCGGGTTCAGCTGCACAATTCTTGCGACGTGGGAGGGATTGTTCAAGTATGAATTCCTAACCCCTCACGGGCTATCATGCAACTAATAAATTCTCCTTTATAGTACTTTGCTCATGCCTCTATCAAAGTTCGTAATGCAAGCTAGATGACACGAGGTCGAAACTAACAGCGTATAGTGGCGGTCCAGGAGGCGCAATCTACGCCTTTATTTTCGCCTGGACAGGAACCGCATGCTGCTTTGTGGTAATATCTGAATTGGCCTCAATGTACGTGAAAGACATCTTGCAAATCCAAGTATTGACATCAAAAACTAACAATCGGAAGGGCACCAACTTCTGGAGGCCAATACCATTGGTGCGCCATGCTTGCTCCGCCGCGTCACATGAAGTTCCTCAGTTACATGACTGGTAGGTAACTCATCGGATCACCATTGTCACTACTGACCTCGTCATTACAGGGTGGGTTACCGTCATTGGATGGCAGGCTGCATTCGCCTCGTCCTCGTTTCTTGCAGGGACTCAGATCCAAGGCGCGGTCCGCCTCGGGCACGAACTTTACCAGGCGAAGCCCTGGCAAGGAACCCTTCTCATGTGGGCGGCCGTCCTGCTGGCGTTTGGAATCAACGTGGTCGGAGGCAAGTTGCTCCCCCGGCTTGAGACGGTCATTCTGGTGGTTCATTTGCTGGGCTTCTTTGCCATTCTCATCCCGATGACCTACATGGCCGACCATAAGTCCTCGCACGACGTATTTCTCGAGTTTGTCAACAGTGGTGGATTTCCCAGTCAGGGGTTGTCGTGGTTTGTTGGAATGACGGGTTGCGTTTTCGCCTTCGCTGGGGGCGATGCTGCTGTGCACGTATGAACTCTTCGTACCCTCTTAGGAAGATTGGATCATTGACCAGAAACAGATGGCCGAGGAGGTGCGCAACGCATCTGTGGCAATTCCGAGAGCAATTCTCCTGTCCGTCCTCATCAATGGAACGCTCGGATTCAGCATGTTGATTGCTGTACTGTTCTGCCTGGGGGATCTCGACGCTGCCCTGGCAACTCCCACTGGATATCCGTACATGGAGATATTCCGCCAAGCTACCAATTCACTCCCGGGGGCCCTCGGAATGACCTCAATCTTGCTGATTATTGGCGTCTGCTCGGTGATTGGAATGCTGGCCGCAACGTCTCGTCAGTTCTGGTCTTTTGCGCGTGATCGAGCTGTCCCTGGATGGCGCATCTGGAGCAAGGTATACTCCCCGTGTGGTTTCGACTTAGCATCACTGACATGCTGCCTCTTCAGGTCTCCCCTATTAACTGCCTCCCCACGTACTCGATCCTGCTCACAATGACCGTATGCTGTCTCCTGGGCCTCATCAATATCGGCTCCAGCGTCGCCCTCAACGCTGTCGTCTCCATGGCGGTCTCTGGTCTCTATCTCTCCTACCTCATGGTCGGAAGTCTTCTTCTCTACCGACGATGCACGGGCGCCATCTCGCAACACGACCATGGAGAAGACGGGGTCATCAATGTTCCCGGTGCCAAGTTGGCCTGGGGCCCATTCCATGTGCCGGGGATTTGGGGCACGGCGGTCAACACCTACGCGGTGATTTATATGGTGATCGTCGTGTTCTTCAGTTTCTGGCCTTCTCAGATGTCAGTCAACAAAACGACAATGAACTTCAGTGTGGTGGGTACTGTGGGCACTATTCTGCTGGCACTTTTGTACTATGTGCTGCGGGCGAGGAAGGTGTACACGGGACCTGTCATGGAGGTTTCGATCTGATGGGGATAATTTGAGCGTCACTTTGAGTATGAGCATATTGCATAATATATACAAAATCTGTGACTAGACGTTATTTGGCCCTGGCTCATTCTGTTCGAAGAAGGCTCGATTACACAGAGGACATAAAAAGTGGCGCCCAAGAAACCACTGCTCCAGACAGTGTGCATGATATACGTGGCGACAGGACAACACGTGCATTAGATCTGTTCCGTTTACGTCTTCCAGACACATGGAACTAATGTAGTTGTTAGTCTGATTGGTTGAAAAAGACCAGAAGCAATAATCGACCTACCATGTGAAATTCGTCGAAGCGCGATCAGACAAGTCTTGTTCGATCTGAGTGTTTTCTACCCATTCCTCATACGGTTTGGTGGGACAGAGAGTCTCGAGCTTCTGCAGCATTTCTGTGTCTGACTGATGCTTGGTTTCTTTTATGAGGGTTCTTGAGGCCGAAGCGCGAGCTGCCTCTCGGCGCACTTGTATGAAAATCCCTCTGATAAGTCATTAGCTGATGTCTTTCACTCTCCAACTCGGTATTGTTGGCTCCTCAAACGAGCGGAGAGGACCGGGTCTCATACAGCATTGCAACAACGACAATAACAAATGATCCGACACAGACCCCTATCACCGCTATTGGAGAATTTGATTGATGGTCCATCTTAATGGCGGAAGATTTCTATCTGCATGTGGGGAGGCAGAACCACAGGCACGGCAAACGCGATAATAAATGACGGCAGACGCCTGTCCGGCCGAAATAAACAGAGTCCATGTGCTCGACAGTCTGACCATCAGCCACCCATGGTTCGGTTTCATGAGCATCGGGTGAGCTCTGGCATCTCATGTTCTCCTGTGGCAGTGTCACTCATGTGCTGCCATTTAAAGTGCGGTGGCTCAGTCTATCCTCGGGTAGCCCGTCCGTGGAACGCCATCTCATTGCTTCGGCCGCGTCAACGATGTAATCGATTGACATTTCAGACTGTCTAGATTGTCATCGATCGACACAAGCTGGTGATCGGGAATATCCGAACCATGAGAGATTTGCCCCACAACATCCCCATTCCCCAGAGCCCGAGCGCACGTGTGTCATTCTGTTTCCGACTCGATGAAAGTATTTGCCTCCCGGCCGGCATTCCTCGGGCCACGTTTGTCGTCAGCTTCATAGCCACTCTCCAAGGGTTGACTGTTGAGCGCAGTTATGTTGATTTCGTAGGCGAGCATTCCTGAAAAGATTCTGAAAAAGCATCTGACACAATATTCTTCGTCCTCCATGCAGTCGAGACATACTTTCTTGCTACGTATAATCCCGCTGGGATGATTACGACTACGTTATTTTGCGTACAAGAGATGATCTGTTCTTGGATAGTGGATAGGACTCTGAGGCTGTAGGTCTCTTACACTGAGGTTTGTGTCGAAATATTGGATATCAGAAGTAAAATAATGTTAGTGCTTTGTAAACACACGAAGCTCATTATTCTTGACAGCTCTGAAGGTTCTATATTAGTAATCTTTCTTCCAATCGCACTATGCATCGCCACAAGCATTCTTCCAAGCGAGGCTGGTATGCTAGAGCTCCTTGGGAATGTGAGGTCGGGTCTTCGTCTGGGGAACAACCAAGCACATCTGGATCCTGTCGTCAGACAAGTGAACCGCCACCAATCCAGTTCGTCGGGCTGAACCTGTCGGCTGGGACGCTTACCCGTCCAGAGATCTAGTGGCTGATGTTGACGGGTTCTGTATTCCGCTGTGTTAAGCGATCAATACCCGAAAATCGTGCAAAGAATGCTCGCCTCGTGGCCAAAGGGGCATTGGAATTCATTTAAATGGCGAATTCATGGTCCGTACATTCTTAATGTTTCCATTTCTCGTCTCGAATGGACTTTATCGATCCCATTCTGGCCTAGACTATCCCTTGCCTGAAAATTGAGTCTACACCCATCCACCATGTGGTTTGCATACCAGGGCCAGCAACCGGCGATCAACATGAAACTTCCAGAAATTGATCTTGAGTATCAATAATTCTCTGCCTCTGGTTCGTGCTCACTGTTGATACGGCAGAAGATACGAGGGGCTTTCCGGTATGGGGCCGGTATGGGCGTATTACTGCTACATGCCGGGTCTGTCGTAGCCGTGTTGTCTAGCTTGGCTAATGATAGCGTGACCGAATTGTTGATGAACCCATAACGGATATACAGGCACTCCAAGCCAGCGACCGTGGTAATCAACTCCAGTACCATTTCTCATATCAGCCTCATCACCGAATGACAGTGAGAATGTCATTCAAATCATGAACCACAGCAGTTGGCTGTAGATCAGGTACAGCAGCATCCATCCATCCCCGACGACCTCGATCCACCCAGATGGCTTGCATACCACAACTCCTAGCGCCGAGCACGTCAAATGGGTTTCCACTGACTAGCCATAGGTCCGCCATTTGTGACGAGGGCGATTTTGCCAACTTCTCGGCAAGATGGGCATACACTGCTGAAGCAGGCTTGAACTGCCTCACCTCATCAACCGTGATGATCTCCCCAAACACGGCACTGTGAGGCGGTAGGTCCGGAGAGTGGCGTACAGAGTTGGTGACCATGTCCTGTGTCCCATTCGAAAAGACCACCGCAGTGATATCGGGACGATCGGCCAGTTGGCGCAAAGTAGACAGAACGTCTGGGAAAGTTGAGAGGCTGTCGTAAGCTCTTAGAAGCTCGTCAATCGCGTCTTCATCGAGCTTTTCACCATGCTCTGCTACGGCATGACGCAGGGAATTTCGAGTGATGTTGGAGAATGAGTCGTATCGTCCTATTTTCAAATCAGTCTAGAGATTCAGCGGCACCTACTTGTCAAAATGTACCCATGCTGTTGAGTCTCCTGGTATATTCCAACTGATATCGTCTCCATGACGTGGATATGGATTGTGCTTTGGTACTAGAGAAGTGCTGCCCAAGCTACTCCACGATTGAATCTGTTGATAAGAGTGTTCCGTACAGGTCGAAGGCGACAACGATCTTATTTTCTGCCATTATTCTCGTTTAGACAGAGACTCATTCTCTTGGGTGAGAACGTATGAGAAAGTTATTAGCAGTAGCATTAGTTAACTGTGGCTGGGAGGTGATGTCACCCCTGACCGTAAGGTACTGGCCGAGATTGTCCAATCACTGTTATTCAGTAACAACAAGAATGTATCTATTAAAGGTGAGCATTGCCTTTGTATACCAAGTATATAATTCAGCCATGCCAGATAGCATCCTGCCCTTTGTTAATGTAAACCTTTGTTGAAATATTCTTTGACTTTACCTAATAGATATCTAGCTGTAGATCTTAACTGCTAAGCACTCCACCATTGTTTGCTTTGCTGAAGCAGGAAAAGGAAAGTCTCAGTATGTCCTGTTCGTAGAACAGGCATAGTACTACATTGACCATCTCTAAGTAAGTGTCAGGAGCAAGTCAAGTTACAGCAGAGTGCTATTTGTATGTCCATAGTCCACAAGTGATAAGATACGTCTACTGCGCAACATAACTTAGCAAGAAACCGCAGTCAAATATCCCAATCAAGTCTTAACCCTCAGCGCGACTCCAGCCTTCATGATTCGAACACCAACAAGGATGATGCCAGCAATGCAACCGGCAACACCTCCATAAACCCACAGGCCTGTCCAATCCAGAGGTTCACTTTTCCCGAGTATGGCACCACCACTTGGCCCACCAATCAACAGACCCAGTCCGCCAATCGCAAAGCCCTGTCCGATGCGTGTGCCAATCATAGACTTGTCCGCGGTGAGGACACGGAAGCACACAGGAGGCAGGGCGACGACAACGCCGCTAAAGAAGCCGGTGACGATTGCCTCAACGATCATTCCGGCTGCATTGTGCACGCCGAGCATACATAGGACGGTGATCCCCAGGAACAGCGTGGTGGGCGCCATGGTGTTGAAGACGCCGATGCGGTCCGACAGCGCGTTGGGTGCGATACGCCCCAGGACGGACCCGGCATTGAAAACGGCGGCCATGTAGAATGCCAGTGAGGTATCGGTGAAGCCACGGTCCTCCGGGTAGAAGGAGATGTAGAAGATGAGGACTGCGTTGCCGATGAAGAGGATGACCATGCTCAGCGTGAAGACCATGAAGGGGATGTCGGTGAAGGCAGACCAGTCAACGACGGCCCGCGGCTTGGGTACACGTATACGGATGCGCATGATGGCCAGCGGGAGGATGAAGGTGCCGAGGGCAATGAAGCCGAGCGTGCGGACAGCCCAGGGGAAGCCGATCGGACCAAGGAGCCGGTAGAGCACGATCGGGTAGATGATGCCGCCGAGGGAGGAGCCGGATGAGGCGATGCCGACCGCGAGGCCCATGTGTGTGCTGAACCATGTTGGAAGTAGCGATACAGTGGGTGTGAAGAGCAGGCCGCCGCCGATGCCGATGCAGATGGCCTGCGCCAGCAGGGCCTGCCAGTATTCGGTGCATAAGGACAGCATCATGAGACCGAAGACCACCAGGAAGCTGCCGGTGATGAGGAGCAGGCGGAGGTTGCCCCGATCGTAGATGGGGCCGGCAACAAGCCCGGTGAGCTGAAGGAGGAAGCATTGGATGGACCCTATCCAGGAGATCTCGGAAGAAGAGGCTTTGAAGAGCTCGCCGCTCTCGTAGTAGGTTTGGAAGACGGCAAACGTGTTGATCATGCCCCATGTGTTGAAGAAAAGAACGAAGCCGGCGGCAACCTGCAGCCATGCCATGAGTCCGCCGTTAGGAGGCGGAGGAGGTCCGCTGGGAGCAGCTGGAGCCGTTGCCAATTCCTCGTCGACCTCTTTGGGGGTATCATTGTTGTCGGGATTCATTGGCGGCCTCTCATCACCGGGCACATCTTGCCTGGGCACGTCTTGGACGGTCCTTTGAGAAGCCATTTTTGATACTGCAGTGAGCAGACATAAAAAGTGACATATCTGGCACTATTCTCGGAGGAAGCAGACACTTAAGTAGGGGGTTATAGGTCGATTGTGTTTTCCGCCGTGACGGACGAATGGCCGCATATTGTCCGTATAGTTCACTGCAGCTGACAAATACTTTCGCCCGTCACGGCGGAACTAAGAATTGGACAACATCCAGCATTCTATCCTTGAAACCATCTGTACAAAAAAAGAAGAGTACTCTAGTCGGACAGCAGCCATGGAAGAGTCAGTTACTGCAGACCTACACCACCAAGAACCATCGGCCAAGCGCAGGAGGGTGCGCAAAGGGACTCGGTCATGCTGGGAATGCAAGCGGCGGAAGATCCGGTGCATATTCTTATCCCCAGACGATGTGACTTGCATCGGCTGCCAGAATCGGCGTGCTCCTTGCGTCGGCCAGGACCTGCCTGAGGATTTGTCTCCGTCAAGAAAAGGCAACCAGCATCTCAGCGAACGCATCGCAAGAGTCGAAGACTTCATCAAGGACTTTGTTGCTAGCAAACATGCCGGAGGAGAGCCACTGCAAGATAGGCATTTGGATCAACCAAACACCGGATCAGATGATTCCGAGCCCGCATCAACTCGAGCTACACAGACAGTGGACTCGCAGGGTGTATCAGCTCGAACCAAAACCGAGACAACAGCGCTTCATCACCTATGGGCAGCCTTTCCAGCGGAAGATGATGCCAAAATCCTGCTCCGAGAGAGCTCGAGACCGTCGCTTTATACCGATCTCGTTAACACCCAGCCCCATAGCAAGCTGACGCTCGATTCGCTTGCCGCGCCGCACCCGATGCCTCAACTTCCTGGTCCCAACACCCATCCGGTCATTCTGGCCAAACGGATGCTCATGTTCGCAATAACGCTACAAAGTCCGTGTGGGGAGAAGGTTCGTGGTCTTTCTGAGCCACAAGGCGTACTCATGAGCCGCTTGAAGACGGCTGCAGCGACATGGATAACAACCAAGGAGGAGATGCACGGCACGGTCGAGAGCCTGATTTGCATCATCCTAGAGGGTGTTTTTGAGGTGAACTGTGGGAATCTTCGACGGGCTTGGGTTGTTTATCGCAGGGCAATGGCCGTAGCCCAGCTGATGGGCCTGCATCGTTCCCCAATGCCTCTCCTGAAACGTATCGACCCAGAGCTGCACGCAGAACCCGAGTTCATGTGGTTCCGCATCGTCTATATGGACCGTTATCTCAGCCTGCTACTTGGTCTCCCTCAAGGCACAACAGACAAGAGTGTGGGAGCAAAAATATCGTCTCTGCAGCATGAACCCCCCGTCGGCAAATTTGAGCGACAGCTCACCGTGATTGCATCCTGCATCTTGGAACGCAGTGAAAGTGCATTCACCACAAGCGCAGTCATTACAACCAAATCCATAGATTCAGAGCTATTGAGACTGGCCCAGAGCATGCCCACAAACTTTTGGCGGCCAGCGAATTTTCATAACCTTACCCCAGGATCTCCGGAGAGCCTGCTGGAGACTGTACGCTTGTCAGCCCAGGTCTACTACTATGGCTTGTTGATTCATCTCCACCTACCGTATATGATGATGCATGGAATGGCCGGCAATGCCGAGCACGAGTACTCCAGGATTACCTGCGTCAATGCCAGCCGGGAGATAATGACGCGCTTCATTGCTCACCGGACCTTCAACCCCATGTCGTCCTGCTCGCGGCCCGTAGACTTTTTTGCACTCCTGGCGGGAATGACACTCCTGCTTGCTCATCTCGACGCTCATCATCATCGAGAAGCGACTAACATCCTGGCTCACCAACGCTTGAGTGACCGCGCCATACTAGAGCAAGCCCTGGAACGAATGGATGTCATCAGTAACGCGAACAAGGACGTAATCACCGGGAAGAGTGCCAAACTGATCCGACGCCTACTCGACATCGAGGCGGACGCTGCCGACGGACGCAGCTACACCACCAGAAGCGTAATAGGAGATCGCGACGATGGACAGGAGGGCATTGACAAAAAGGGTGACGAGCTTCGTTTACATATTCCGTACCTCGGCATCATCAAGATTGCCCTCCAGGATCCTATTTCTTGCGAGCTGTTTGGGCCGCACCAGATGGCCCCGCTCGAGTTCCCACAGAGAGAGTCAACACTCGCCGTATCCAACGATGCGTCCACGTCTCTCCCTCATGCGTCATTGACGGAGGAACAACAGCCGCTTAGCCACCTGCATGGCACTACCCAAAGCCCCCTTCAGGGAATCGTGCCGGCATCGGAACGGTTGAATGCGCAGTTACATGACCAGTCCATTCTGCAAGACACCAGCCCAAGCCAAGACGACATCACTCTGCAACCGCATGTGGGGCTTCCTGTCATTACGGCTGATGTCAATGACTGGGCGTTCCAGGGGGTAGACATGGCGTTTTTCGATGGTTTGATGAGAGGAATGCCCGGCGTGGATGCGGCCGAGTTAGAGCAGTACCGAGCGGGTCAATGACTTGATCCCTAACTTTGATATGCTATCATGCCTCTTCATGCTTGGTGTTCATAGTTTTACAGCCTCTCAACGATTTTAAGTTAATAAAGCAAACATGCTCACACCTCCAGTATCAGGTTACTTGGATATTAACATCCTTCAAATTGCGTCCAATTGAACATTTACCTTGTTTCATCACGGCATGGTCAGACTCGTCAAGCAGTTGTCCATCCATATGATAGAGGCTGTATAAATAGAGATTTGAACTGGCCCACAGAAACCGCCATGCGCTAGGGAGAATGCTCTGGGCCCTACAGCTAATCTCTTGTTCTTGAGCTAGTTCCCAGACAGTAATAATTATGTGCTGCTACTATGACCTAGAAATGAAATAGGAAGATATAGCTCCGCGATGGAATTAGACGCGATAACTGAAGTTCTATTCTTGAGGCGATATCCGGCGTTGGCTTCCTAGTTAAAAGCAATCTGTGTACCAGATTCCCTATTAAGCTTGTTCTGCGTAAGCATGCCCACATTGGGGTTTATATGTATATTTTGCCTCACCACACATGCAGTGATGTTGCGCAACGCTCACTCAGTGATTTTTGCAAACAGCTAGATAGCTTTAAAAGTCTACCCATCCTGATTAAGAAAGCCAAAGGTGCCATGGGAATAATGACCCATGGTAAGGCCTTTTTAAATGACCTCCTTCAAGCTAAGGTGTCTGGTCCCGATCATGCTTATTTGACTATTATTGACCTGCCTGGACTTATCCATTCTAAAACCAAGCAACAGTCCGCGATGGATGTCCAGCTTGTCCAGGATGTGGTTCAGCCCTGAATAAAAGAGTCGTGCAGTATCATCCTGGCTGTTGTGTCTGCCAAGAATGATTTTGCCAACCAGATTGTTCTCAAGCTGGCGATGTAGCATTACTACTTGTATCCAAGTATGAGTTAAACCCTATGACAGGAACCAGTAATGCAGTCCACGTTTACTATGCTTAATTTTGTAAGCAAATACTGGACCTACAAGGGTCGGCTGTATAATTTCATACACGTATTCGTGCAGAGGCGAAATTTTAGACAAGCTCATGATGCTACATGATGCAAGGAAAGACATTGGATTCCCTACAGCGTTGTCCGACTATCTCTGGGCGTTTGCAGCTGGCCACGTAGTGTTCCTAAGCTTACGGAACCTCCACCAGCCCTGACTGTCATCACGACCTCATCTCCGTCCTCCAGGAAAGTTAGCATCTCCCCCTCATGTTGACCAGCGGGAACTTGGCCGGCTTCTGTCAGCTCGAAGAGGCAACCGAGAGTACGGAGCATAGGAGAGTCATCCTAACTGCGTGGTAAGTTTCTTGGTCACATCAAGCAGGCACCAAGGCCTTGGCAAATGAAGGGCTGCTCGGTGTACGGGGCACTAACAGGAGATGAAATGGTACCGGTACCAATGAGGTCACCCGTGTTCAAGCCGCAGCCTGACGAAGCGAGGTGCGCCACCATCTGGCCGGGAGACCAACGAAGATCACGGAGATTTGAGCGAGTCGTCAGCATGGGAACTCTATCTACAGACTTCCTCCCTATAAGCACGGTTAACAAATAAAGTGTCTAAAACATTGAGCACACTCTGGCCTTACGGATGACGGAAACCTCATATTCAATATCCCAAGTGGATTCAGCCTTAGCATGACTCAAATGCCATGCACCGGCAGACCCACCCTCACGTAAATCCACTGAAGACGAAGAGCATCGTGCCCTCTCGAAAGCTTCGATCGGGATGACCCAGGGTGAGATGCTAGTTGCGAAAGCCTTGCCGTTGAAAGGCCCAAGCGGGGTCATCTCGGAGAACTGAATATCTCTCGCGGACCAGTCATTCAAGACGACAAAGCCAAATATATGGTCCTCAGCCTCATCAGCAGTGATGATTTTTCCAGCTGGCACTGGCTGGGAGATGAATATTCCCAGTTCGGCCTCATAGTCCATCATCTCGCTGGGCTTGAATGCGAAAGTATTCGTTTCCTTGTCTTTGATGATGCCATATGGTCGATGGACCGGCGCTGAGTCGATGACGACTGACGATGCGCGGCCATTGTAGCCGATGGGCATAGCGTAATGGTTTGTCGGAGTGGGTGCACCAGCCAATCTGGTACACTTTTTTCCATGGTTAGGCGTCTATACGGAAGGAAACATCTTTAAAGGCCACTGGGTGACCACGTACGTTGGAAACATGGACATCCGAGCACGAAAAATCAGAAAATTCTCCAATATTAAACGGTAAATGCATCGTCGCATCCTTCATGGGCACAAAGGCGGCCGTGTTCAAGCTGGCATCCTGGAAGAGGGGCGAATTGCGGTCATTGAGCCAGTCAATGAGCTGCTGACGGAAACGCTTTCTCGTAGGCGCAGGAAGCGCCGCAAAATTGCCCAGGTCCCCATGACTGAAGGTGGAGCTGCCGTTATGTCCGTTCTCAAGGCGTTGTAGGATGACCTTAAAGCCAGGCGAGCGTTCAATGACGGGAAGGTCGACGATGAAGTCGCCAATGGCTACTCCCACTCGCTTTTCTTCCTATAAAATGTCAACTCTTGCATGTGCTCCTGTGTAGAGCCAGCTGGAGGTTCTCCATTCCTTGATGGCGACGCCGTCAGATAGACGACAGGGGCTTTCTCTCACACAATGCAAAGTACTGAAGATTCCATACGGCAAACTAGCCAAAGTGAATGAGCTGTCCGGCTGGATCGGAACTGGCCAAGCCACCATCTTGACCAGTTGTTCTGTTTTTGGTTGCAACGCGTGGCACTCTGAACACTCTCTCAGTGGATCTACTGTGCATGCGGCATATATTGCCTTGTCGGAGCACTTGATATATTTGCGGATTCCGCCATACTAATAAAGTTGGGCTAATCGAATCATGCGGAGAGCCATGCGTTGGACCTGAATGCCGCTTAATCCTCGACAAGTGCTGAGCCTGTGAACGTGGAGCCGATGTGGAGCCGATTGTGGTCAGCCAAATGCACGCCCATCCGCTATGGCAATTGGAGAGCAACAGATATAGAATACCAGGCTTTTAGTCAATTCACGACGTTTAGACTTGACCTCACCCCACTTAATCCTGAGACGCGCATGGCATAGCATAACATGTCTACAAAGGATGCAGATGTGGTCAAAACAATTCGCCCTCCATCCTGCTTTAGCACCGTCCACGTGAGTTCAATGGACATGTTGTTCAACAACTGATCAGCCTTCTGTATTCTTTCCTTTCGGTGGAATGCCTCGGCCGGGAATATCTCGAGGAATTTCTTTCTCCGGTATCAGATGGATTTCATTTATAATGAATAGCATAAAATTGCCGTGACTGGGTAAAACTTTATGCCAACTTGACTTATATTTTGTATTTCTATTCTTCAAGAATGGTCTAAACTACAACATAAAACCTCCGAACTTCGAGACCGGCGGCGGCGGCGACAATAAGTTTTGGTTTCAATTAAGAATCTTGGTAATTGCTGCGGTCATTATTCAGGAACTGGAAAGGTAGATAGACCGAAGAGTAAGGGTCCGCACCGCGAATCCCTATCTCTTCGGGTGGCTCAGCGTGTAAAGTTTTCGCGCTTCAAAAACCCGGCGGGGACACTATAACCCCAAAGAAGTGGCGTACGGTAGCTTCCTATGGCCTCGTCGATGATATATATTCTCATAGAATAGCAGGTCGAAGAAGGGGGAATACCTTCTACTTCGTGGAGCGGAAATGTGGACCTCTTTCTTTGATATCCGATTACTCCGCACGCAGCCCCAGTTACTCTTCACAGGCTCACAGCGCTGCGGGGACAAAATATCTAGTTAAAGTACCGGTAACTGTAATATATAAGTAGACCTAAAGATTCGGGGTACTGCAGGAGAATGAAGACGTCAACTGCTCTATCAGTCACTTCATGTCGCATACCACCATGGAACAAATCTGGATCTACACAGTTATAGTCCTTGCACTCTGGATTGCCCAGGTACCACCACCCTAACCAATAAGCCAAGCCGGAAACCATACACATGTACTAACATCAAGACCTCTACTGGAGAAAACATACAACAACCTCCACTCACCACTCGGCCTTATTCCAGGCCCCTTCTTCACAAAGTTCACCCGCCTTCCACTCAAATTATCAATCCTCAAGGGCCGTCGCATCTATTTCATACACCACCTGCACGAAAAATACGGACCGATAGTGCGCATCAGCCCCAATGAGGTCTCGATCTCTTCAATCGCGGATTTTAAAGAGATCCACAGTATCGGTGCCGGATTCCTCAAGTCTGAATGGTACGGCAAGTTCGTCATGTCCCAACAACCCGGAGTATTTGATATGCGTGATCCTGCAGCGCATGCGGCGCGTCGAAAGTTGTTTGCGAGGGCGTTCTCCAAGAGTGGGTTAAGAAATACCTGGGAGAAAGTTGTAAGGGAGAAAGTGAGGGTTGCAGTTGGTAAGATCCAGGAGGAGATGAAGAATGGAGGGAGGTCTGATGTGTTCAAGTGGTGGACATTTTTGGCCACAGATGTGAGTGGGCGGCTGATGTTTGGGGAGGATTTTGGGATGCTAAGTTATGGAAAGGTAGGTCTCTACATCGATAAGACTTGAGTTTGAGCCAGCAATGAATGCTCTGGATTTAGGAAGATGAACTGGACCGTGGCTAATTGAAGTAGAAGAACGAATACATCCATGTCCTCGAATCAACTATGAAAGGCTCCGGCATCAACGCCGAGCTGCCCTTCATTGGCTTTGTCGCACGATATCTCCCGATTGCCAGCCTCAAGTCCATGTTCCGCGCCAGCGACTACCTAGCCACCTACGGCCGGCGTGCAATCGCCAATGCACGAGGCACCAGCACCTCTAGTCGCAACATCTTTGCTGGAATAATTGCCGAGTCCGAAAAAGGAGCTAGCTCACTTACAGAGGAAGACGTCGTTACCGAAGCAGGGAACCTGATCGTCGCTGGGTCCGATACAACAGCTGTCACACTCACCTACCTCGTCTGGGCGATTCTCTCACAGCCGGAACTACAACAGGAACTGGAAGAAGAGGTTGCCGGATTAGACGAAGAATACGAAGATGCAGACTTGGAGAGACTCCCACTGCTCAACGCAACCATCAAGGAGTCGCTACGTCTTTACGGAGCAGCTCCAGGTTCATTGCCGCGCTCTGTCCCTGCAGGTGGCGCGACATTGTCAAATTATTTCATACCGGAGGGCACGACGGTTAGCACGCAGAGCTATACAATTCACCGTGATAAGGATGTCTTCCCGGACCCTGAGGTATTTAAAGTGCAGCGATGGCTGGGTGATAATGACACTAAGCTCATGGAAACGGCTTTTTCGCCGTTTGGGGCTGGTGCAAGGACGTGTTTGGGGATTCACCTCGCGTATATGGAGCTGCGACTTGCGGTGGCGGAATTTTTTAGGAATTGTCGCGGGGCTAAACTGGCCGGGGATATTACATGGGAGACTATGAAACCTGAGAATTACTTTCTGATTGCGCCGGTCGGGCACCGGTGTGAGGTTGTGAGTAAATGATCAGCTATAGGCATTAACTGATCCAGTGAGGTGAGGTCCCTGTTCATCAGACCTTAATCTTGATGCCTGAATTAAGTCGTCAAAACTAGACCCTCATCATTTAACAATATTCAAAGCTTCTGGAAGACGCGCCTCTCGCACGCTGCGGTCTCCGAACGAACCAGAAGAGAAAAAAGGGCGATATATGGCGTCATGTAGCTTCCTTATGCGAGGCTCTAATGCTTACTTGGTCAATGCAAATTCACTCACTGTAAATTCCTCTTCTCCTCGTTCAACCATCCGCAAGGTACGAGCAGGATTCCCAGACATAAAATCTGCAATGCACACGTCTTTGTACAAGGCCATATTTTCCGAAAACCTGGACCCTACGTAGGAAGGTCCTTGGCCAACTAGTAGACGGGTGAGCCAACAGGAAGTCTTTCCGCTCAAGAGACGTGCCTTACCTCGATATCTGCCTGCTTTGAACCTTGTTTCTCTTTTCTCGTACTTTATAGATACTTGTTTTGGGCCAAAGACCTGACGCATGAACGTTTAGCGCTTGTTGATATGTGTTGAATGAATTTCACCCTACCGGTAGATACATATCGACGCTGCCTTCCACGTCGGATAACCTGAGGAGAAAGTGAGCTGTCCTCAGCTATCTGTCAGGCCGTGTTAGCGAAGTCTCAATCTTTCTGTCCGTTCATGACATGTTCGGGTAGGGCGTTATAATATGCTATTCGCGCCTGGGGCACACTTAACATCTCGTCGAGGTGGGTCTGCCGCCACCAAACCGGGACCGCAAGAAGGATGCGAAATGCCGGTACATGCATTATTCTCGCCGCAAAGGGTATCTTATTCCCACGTCGTGGTGAAGCTAACTGCGAAACTATTTTGGGACCCACTCGCTTATTGTGAGGATCGAGAGCCCCGAATCGGCCTGCCCAGGGATCTGCTGATGGAAAGCTGTTTGAAGGAAAATGTGCAGAGACCACAAAGTCATTAGGCTAAAGGCACATAATATCCAAACAGCTTACATTGAGCATAGAGAAATGGACCCTGGTGATATCAAAGTCTAACAGGTTATGTAGACCTTCTAGGTTTCCTTGCTGGGTCCTTCTCAGAATAGGTAAGGTTACTTGTGTGGACAGTATGTTATCTAAGAGCTGTGATTTCCTGGTTATTCTGAGTTTGTGTAGGTTTTGCTTGATCAGGATCGGGTCTCAGCTCACCATTGAGGGGTGTAACTAGGTTTCTTAACAGGTGCAGGTCAATGATCGTTTTGCCTTGTAAACCAAGTCAAGATGTCTAATTATAGGATTGGTGATCCGCGAGGTTGGCTTATGAATTAGTATGAAGGAGATAATGGTTTGCAAAAATGCTGAGCATGTGCCACTTAACAATGTAGATTATTACTGATCTATTAAAGTCAGCTCTGTGAAGAGCAAATATATGCTATGGGTCACATGCCCTATCCATGGAGGGAGTCCTCCGGACTCACCTTTGCAGAATCTATATATAAAGGATAAAGAATGTTTTCGAACCCTTATAACTAGCCTCCTTTCTATAAGGCCTTGGTCCCTAAGGAGGCTAAGGCCTGTTGTTATAATGGCAAGTACTAGTAAAAACTACAAACAGAAGATTTCTTTTTGGGGAATGACCGAATCGCTGCTCACGCTGAGATGCGCCAAGTACATAGTCCCCGCCAAGGGCATCTATCCCATCAGAACCAATTCAGGTTCAATGCCCATCCGGGCGGGATGCTGGAAGGAAGGAAGAAATATATATATATATATATATATAGGTATAAAGCGGTACCAATATCATGTAGAGGCATAGGCTGCGTTGCCCAAATCGCACATCAACTGACAAAGACCTTGGACGAATGGAGATAAATTATCATGGTGGGCATCGCCTCGCAGAAGTGTTTGAACTGTATCCATGATCCGGCTGGGATCGGCGATGACAGCGGCACCACTTGGAGCATGCAAAGCTGGACAGCCGCAACCTAATGAGATGAACCGTTGCACGTCGGTCGTTTCCTCACCATCCAGATAGACTGTGGGCCAGGGACCGCGGAATTGCGGGTCCGATGGCGGACTGCCGACGACCGCTTGGGAATCTTTGGCTTTCGATACAACGCTGTAGGACCAAAACGCGAGACTAGCGTAGTAGACTCCCAAAGCAAAGAACCGAGTTAAAGACCCCGGAGGCATGACTTTTGCCGCCCGTATCACTTGGCCGGCGTGCCAAATCGCTCGTCGCGAGTCAATACTGCTGATCCACTCGATCGCGCTGTGGTAGACCCGACGGGCTTCGTTCTTGTCCTCCTTGCCTGCGAACAGCTGCAGTTCCTCCAGCGACATGTGGAGGAACATGGAAATGAGTTCAAATACCAAAACAATCCCGGGCGCGAGAGCGCTAGACATCTCGAAACAAAGCATGCGTAGATGTTGTAGTGCTTGCGTCAACTCTTGATGTCGTGAACTGATCACCAAAGCACTCCAGTGTTTGGAATGGTCTTTCGTTATAAATTTTTGGCGATGGTATTCGCTGACTAGCGTAGAGAGACCGTGAATGAGGGCCAAGGTGGACAGTTGAAGATCAATTCGGGATTGATATGCCGATAACTGGGACATGTCTTGTAGAGTGTCAACCAACGAGGGTGTTCGGCCACGACTAGAAAGGCCACTCGCCAAGTACGCTTCCTTCCAGTCTTTGGCAGATTCGGCCTCCCACAACGAGCGAGGAGCAGGCAGAGGAAGTTCCAGCTCGGAATACGAGATTATTGGGTTCACGTTCAACATCATCGCTGATTGGGCATCATGCAGAAACATGTGATGTATGAGTCTGTCTGGAATTAGTAAACCAGTTGGCCCCGCTGCAAGCGACTAATTACCTGTTGAATGATTCGGATTGAACCCATTCCCGCCATTTTTTCTCCAGAACATTTCCATCGTCGTCGGTACTCGGTGCGATGTTGGAATAGACTGAGCGTCGAAAACGTAAGGCACGTCGCAACATCTATGATTGGAATCGTCAGTGAACTTGTATCCACAGGTTCTTTAGATTGACAAACCGTGACCAAAGGCTGCTGGAAGCTTTCCGCAATCTCTGTCCTCCGTGCGTTGCCACTCCATATTCCAACATCGATGGTCAGAGCAAACGTCTGCGAGGCGCGCAGATCGCGTGTGGTGCTATTGTCGCTCTCGTACTACATGCGAGCATTCTTTAGCTGATTTCTTCGCGTCAGGAGCTACAGACGCCAACGAACCTTTACCGACATCTGGAGGCGTACTATTTCCATCAAGGCATAACCTAACCTGCGGATGGTCGGAATGGTTGATCGAGCGGCTCCAGCAGCGGCAAGAGCGGCAAGGATATCGGGGGGCTCGTCTTTCATCCGAAAGGTCGGTCCATGGATCCAGGAGTCTATGTGGTACCTTTGGGACTCGAAATAGTACTGGATCAAACTGTCCAGCAGTTGGGTACTCGGAAAGGATTTCATGATGCGAGTTAGGTTGGCTCGCTGGCTGGTCTGCAGCACCATGCCAAAAATGAGATCACGACCACTTGGGGACAACCGCTCCGAGAGGATCCGACGATCCAGTCTGGAATTGGCCACGGGCTGTCGATAGCCTCTGGAACCGACAGATTTTCCTGGTCGGCAAACGCATGATCTTCGTGGGCCGGTTTCCACGCAGACAAAGATGACCGATGATACGCCTCGGCACCGATGGCGATGCCACTGTCAGCATCACCACAATCGTTGGCTCCGTCGCCATTGTGGGCATTATGATGGACAGCTCCCCGAGAGTTGAAGATGTCAATGAGTCCATAATCCACGTCGGTCAAATCGAAGTCGAAGTCAACATTGTGATTGAATACGCTGTGGATGTAGTCCTGTGGAAGGACAGGTAGCGGGTCCAGATCGCCTGTTCGGGACAATGAAGGTATCAGTGAGTCCGGGATAAAGTCGGGAAAGAAGGTACCGTCGACACTGAACACGCCACTTTCGCGATCTACAGTAGACGACCCGGATTGAAGCCCCGCGGGTACGTAATTGTTCATCTGCTCATTTGGACTGACCATATGGTTCGGATACTGGTCTATTTGCCCGTCGATCGGGGCGGGAACGTGGTGTGGACCTGTGATACATCGACAGGGAGATGGGGCGTCTGATCGCTCTGAGATGCTATATTGCAAACGCCCATTAGCTTGTGAATCCTGTCAACTGAATACTCCCGCACACACCTTGTCGTTGTGGTTGAGGAGGGGATGTGTCGATGGGAGTGCCATTCTGCGCCCAATCGCAGACCAAATTCTTCTCCCGACATCGGCGACAAGGCTTCTCCTCGTCGCACTTGAGTTTCGATGCAGCGCAGGTCTTACAGGCCTGCGACACACGACCATTCTTGGGATAGGAGGGGAGACGCCTTCGTTTGCTGTCGCGTGGATGAATATGACTGGCCGCGTGTCGCTTCATCAGGTCCCTGCAACAGATTCAGACTCGAAAACACAAATGTGCTGTGTCTTCTTCGTTGGGGTATAATTCCACAAAGAGACAACTCACGGTCTGGCGAAGCCTTTATTGCAAATGTCACATACGTATGGCTTCTCGCGAGTATCTACATGAAGTTAGCCAGCTGCATTGACAGCACCGTCTACATGAAAAGAACTGACGTGATCGAACATGGCGAATCAGGTGGTCGGCTCGGTTGTATCTTTTTTCGCAGGAACCGCACTGGAAATAGCCGTCCCGCTGCCTGGCGAGGGAGCCGTAGGGAGAGTTGTCGAGGCTGGGGAGCGGGGAGTCAGTTGTCATGGCGAAGATACACGAATCTTTTGACAAAACTTGACTAAGGGATTGATTCGAGACATGAATACCGTCAGACAGAAGGAGCAATCCGGATGTGCAGCTGTGAGTAGCGGATGATGAACAGGGAGAATGACGGAAATCGGGGTGCATGACGCTAAAATGCTGAATATGCGGGGAAATCAGGATTGCTACCCATGGTTACTGCCTGAGGCCACTTCTCCCCTGTGGTCCCCATTAACATTGCTGACTTTGGTTTTGGAATGACTACAGGTTCATAACTAATGATACTCTAATAGGAGCTGACCTCCTCTGATCCAAAGAGAGGATGCCAATCTTGGTTCTGAAGATCCCATGGCACAGACAGTTCAACACTAATATTCAACCCTCACAGGACTTCACTCTTCATACGCCATCCGGCCTCCAGCAGGCAATTGATAGGATTATATTCAGTGCAGTTATGCATCACGCGGTCATTTCCGATGTCCTCCCCATTTTTGCCCGCCCAAATCAGAATGTGAAGGTGCGTCGGGACGTGGGGCGCATACCCGAACATCACTTCCAACCCGGCCCCAGCCAAGATGTTCCGAAACTGGGTGGCAGATCTGGACATGGGTCGGTGCTGGATAATAATGCGGCTAGAAAGCGTTTCCAACACGATGTCTTTATTTGTTGAATTCGATAAATGCCTGACGGAAATCTCGATCGCTGCCTAGCACACAACCAACTCAAAGCAAACATGGGTATGGCATGCTCTCTGTACGGCATTCGCAGAATAATAGCTGACAAGATAGGCCTCACACCGGTTCATTTCTTTTCTCATGGCTCGACCATGATGCTGGGAGAGAAATCCGAGTCGGCAGACTACTGGAGGAGGACTGGTGAGGAAGCACTGGCTCACAACATCAAAGGCGTAATCATTATGGTCACACTCACCTTCTGGCTTCAATATTGGCGATAAACTGACCGGTTAGGGCGCACACTGGGACTGTCTCGGCGACAAGATCGAGATCGCGACGAACCCCAAGCCGGACAAGTCACCCGTCGCCTACGTCCACCCGGACAAATACATCAACTACAAGTTGAACCCAGACCTCAAGACTGCCCAACGATGCATCGACATGCTCACCAAGGAAGGCTTCAACGCCAGCGGCAACCCATCCTTCGACTGGATCCACGACGTCTACCTGATCCTCATCCGCATGTTCCCCAACGGTTGTCCCCCGACAACCATCATCTCGATGAACGCCCGCTACGATCCACACTACCATATGAAGGTCGGCGCGACGCTGCGGCCCCTCCGCTACGAGAACTACCTCCTCATCGGGACCGGAGGCGCAGTCCACAACCTCTACCGCAACCTCTGGGCACCCATGCTGCGCTTCCGGGATAATTTCGCCATGGAGACGCCGCCTGAGGAATGGGCGCTCGAGTTCCGCCAGGCGGTCGAGGACGTGATCACGAAGACCTCTGGGCCGGCGCTGCGGCGCGCGATGACCCGGTTGATGAAGCATCCCCAGTACCGTGATGCGCATGCCACGGATGATCATTTCATGGCCGCAATGTTTGTGGCCGGAGCGATGGGGGATTTCGAAGATACGGGGTCGCCGGCTGTGATGGGCGCGGAGAGCTGGGAATTGACAAACATGTGTAATTCGCAGTATACTCTTGGATCGTGGTCCAGGGATATTTCTGCTTAGCGGATATCTAGCCTTTTGTCGAGGATATAATCCACCAGCCCGGTGTATTACAACTATTGTATCACAACTATATTCCGAGTTTGCATTATATTCGTAAGTCTTGACAGCCAAAGGTACTTGACGGTCGAAGCTCTGATAGAGCCATCATCCGGTTCAATTTCTAGCCTACCCTTTCCTACCATGATAGATCAGATTAAGTTATGGTTATTTCAGGACAAGATGATTTTGCTCACTGTCATGTGGGAGTTAATCTCCTTTGCAATGTCGTTGCCTGCTTTAAATGCTTGTGCGAACATATATGTTGTCGAAAGGTAGTCCCAGTCACATTATAAGGGCCTGACATCCTCCAACAACTGAAAACTTGAAGGTAGAATTAAAAGCTCGCTTCCGAAGATAAAATGCATTATAACCGAGGACAACCGAGGACCAATAGATTCACCAAAGTATACTACACAGTACCAAACTAATCTAAGCACGCAACCTCCTCATATACGTAAAGGTGTACCACCCCACAGTCGACACCGTCGCTACCAACGTCGCAAGCGTAATCACCGCGCCAGTAATTAGCCCTTGCTCGAAGAACCCAATTTTCCAGCCGTGGCGCTGGCCTGTAGACGGCAAGGAGGCAAGGGCCTCGCGCCAGGCGTTTGCCGATCTCGTGGCGTCTGAGGGGGCGAGAATACTTTTCACCAAGGCGGAGTTGTTGGTATCGGAGACGAATTGAGGACGGGGGACCTGGAGGAGAGCGGGTGTGTAGCGGGTTTCGGTGCTGGGGGGCGCCGTGTTGATGGGGTATGCAGGGCCAACTGAGCCTGTTAGCTGGATTGAAGGGAACGGAGAGGAGGACGCACTGAGCATGTCGAAGGGACGTGGTTAATCCACGAGACGGAGGCGTCGATGAACTGAGTGATATATTTGGCTGCGGAGGGGCTGCCGAAGGCATATGTCGCTGCCAGTGTGCCACTCCTGAAGAACCGTCAGCGATGATATAGATCAGGAAAAGAAGAGCGACCTACGAGTTGCTAAGGTCAATAGCGTCATCTAGACTTGTTACAGGATGAAGGATGAGGACTTTCTCCTTTACTTTTTTTGTCAGGAGAGGCGAGTTTCTGCGGTAGTCAATGTTAGCCGCAGCCACTGTCAACGGGATGAAGCATACCGATCGTGGACCTCTACCACCCCCCATCCGGACCCAGAGACAAGCACGCGAGTACCCGTATCCTTATGCGCAGCATCCAGAAGCGAGGCGCTTGGACCAAACCGACGGGGATCCGACGCTCCCTGGCGTGCCTCTCCATTGGGGCCAGCCAGATATCTGGATGCCTGCTGGATAACCGCCTCGACAAACCGCTTCATCGCAAACTCATTAACCAGAACGATATCAGGGGAATACGTCGACCGGCCGCCAAAGGCGAAGCGGGCGGCGACCAACGCTTCAGCTGCGGGTGGAACATCTGCCGTTCTGTCGACGACAGCCACAGTTCGCGCGTTCGCAGGCGAGAGCAGATTGCGGTCGGCGAGCGGCGCAGAACCGGTCTGGCAGACCATGAGCACCCTGCTGAGGAAAGTAGCATCGGGTCTCTCTTCGCTGATGGCGAAGGTATCCGCGTCTAGGGCCTGGGAGAAAATTCTGCGCAGCACGGCTGGCAGCACCATGGTATTCTTCGTCAACTGCTTCCGTCAGTCTATCTCATTTGATCTCTTTGAGAGAGTCAAACCCCACCTCGAGGATAATACAATTCCCAGCCGCCAATGCCGCGCTGAGCGCTGAGACAATGGAGTAAAACATGGTATGTGTGCTGGGGACAATGTAGACAATGCCTGCGCCGCGCCGCGCGTCCGCGTTGTCCTTGCCAGCTACAACGCGATACTCCTTTTCAAGGTCCTTGTCCAGACTCAGTGTCAGGTAGTGTGTGCGGATCTCCTTGAGCGCGAGACACAGCTCCGCGCGGACTTCTTCAGGTCCATTCCCGGTATCTTTTTGGATGGCGTCTTGGATCTCGTCGATGTGCTGGCTGACGGCCGACTGGAGGCGATGGAATTCATTCTGGCGATATCTGGTGTTCTGGGAACGGCCGTCGATCTCTGCTGCAAGCAGCCGGGAGAACTGTGAGGAGACCATCGTTGCTTCGGTGGCTGACCGTCCAGTCGCTACAAAGAAGATACAATGTCAGGCACCCGCAGTCTGATTTAGACGGTCCAAAGTGCCTTTCTCAGAGGAAATCTTCGCCTATGTTCATATCCTAATCAAACTATGCCGCAGGGTGCAGTCGGCCACTCCGCTTCGGGAGGTGGGGGAGCTGCAAATGGGGGCAACCCGATGGGCCAAAATGGTCAGTTGATCACTTTGGTTTTGGGGTCTTGATCGTTCCATTTTGTATCTCCGAACGATAATAAAAATGTGGGGGAGCCATCTTAGCCTCTCTTCATTTCCCGGCCATATTTCCGAACAGCCCGAGTGTATGTTGTATCCGGAGCAAGACTACAGGTAATCCTGTCGAGCTCCAACCACGTTCTACATACATCCGTCTCGACCATTATCAAGAATCCGACGATTTACAAACTCGAATGGACATGGCGACAACAGCTACAACCACCCAGACAGGCACCAACTCGCTCTCCATCCTCGCCGACTATGAACTCCACCACAGCGGCAGCGAAGAACCCCAGCTGTATGAACGAGGCCCCATCTCGCAAGCAGTCCAACCCGCCAACTGGCCGTCGAATTACCGTCGCGTGCCAGCATACCGTCCTGCGAACCATGAACTAGACCAGCGCGAGAGACCAGCGGGGAGCAACCCCATAGAATTTGTGTTTATCCAGGCAATGCTGCACGGGGTGTGGTTGAACGCGGTCGGTTCCGCCTCAGTTTCATGAACATCACCAAAGGGGTCTACTAACTTATCCCTAGTCTGTTGCTCGCCTGTGGAGGCTCACAGGGGGAAGAGTCAACGACCATATCTTCCGGTATGATATCGGGGGGAGTTTTAATCATATCAGTATCTGTCCCTGATCCGTCCAGTACGCGTTTGGCAAAACCAATACCAGTCTACAAGTGCTTCATTTCCTTTAACAGCTCAAAATATTATCAAAAAAAAAAAAATCATCCATTCAATTCACAAGGCAGAACCAGAACCAAAATTAAGCACTAGGCCGAACCCCCATGTGTCCCAACTCCTCCCCCAGCTTCTTCCCCCCAATCTCGATCTCCTCAGCCGGAATAAGCACATACAGCATCCGCGCCCACTCCGTCTGACTCGTATTCCTCCACGCATGGTTCGTCCCCGCTGCACACTCACATCCCCCCTCTTCAGCAGCCTCGTCTCCCCGGAGTCCAGGACAAGCTCGACCTCCCCCTCCAGCACAACCCCATAGTCCAGGCTCACAGTGCGGTGCATCGGGCTCGTCGCCCCAGGGTGCATATCCACGATCCGGCACACGGAGCCTGTCCTGATAACGAGGCCAGGCGGCTTCGAAAGATATTTCGCGTACTCGTGAATGTCGGCCTCGTCGTTGAGCTTGGCGGGGAAGTGCGAGGAGGTGTACGCGAGGCTGAAGTCGGCACCATCCGGGATGGTGGTTACGGGCATTTCCTCGGACAGGGCGCTGGAGAAGATTGCCTTGCCGGAGACATCGTGAGTGGTTATATAGCGTTTGAGGGGGCGAATGTTCTTTGGTCGGGAAGACATTTTGGATAGTATAGTTTGGTATGCGGGCGAAATTAGAGGACGTTGTGTTTCTGTCTTGTGCATTTCGTGTAAGGTATAGAGGGGACTGAAGTAAGTTATACCCCTCGTACTGTAGTTTCATGTTGTGTACCACTCCAATTGGCATACTATTGTTGTCTCGGGACCACATCGGGAGCGGAGATTCTGTTACTGCTAGGGTTCTCTCTCGCCCTTACGCTTCCGCCGCGAGTCCACACTCCACATTCCTGCAAGATTATCAATGCGGGAACGACAGCCGGACTCTCCCAACTCATGTGATAATAGAGTATATTCATACGAATGCAACTATCCTATCTCAGTCATATCTGTCTATGTCTTCGGGGAACGATGGGCAGGACCACATAGTTATCGCCATGTCCAAAGTTGATATGGTTCTGACCCTGGAATTTCTCCGGTGCTCTGCCCAAGTTAGTATAAATAAAGACCTGCGAGAAAGGTGGCCTACCGGTCAGTCGGGGAGTTATGCTGGAAAATACCGCAGCCCTGGGTGTCCCCGGAAGAAACCTCAAAAACGATCTTGCCTCCTTTCTCCACGACCACATTCGTGGGCCACACTTCCACATCGACCCCGTACACCTCACCCGGAATCACCGGCAGCACATCGGTGGAGTAGTAATCGCGGTGGGGCAGATAGGTTCGATGACGGCGATGCTCCTTGTTCACCTTTCGCATGCTGACACGCAGCCACCCCTTGCAGAGAGGTACCGGGTCGCCTGCCGTGCCGGTATAGAAGACCTCCTCGCCCTCGGGGGAGATGTACCGCAGCGTGACGAACAGATCAATGTCTCGCGGTGTCGGTGCGCCCGGGTCAGGGCTCATGGACACATTCAAATGCGCGACAATATGTCCGGTGATCTCGGTCTCCTGCTCAAATGGCGCAGTTGTGAACTGCACAAGCTGGGGGTTGTCCAATGTTCCTAAAGCGCGGTAGGTGATCTTCACCGGTTGTTCCTCTCTGGCTGCAGTGACCAGTTCGCGGTCGGGCGTCAGATAGTACTTGGTGTACTGCGTCCGAGCAATGGGCCATTCATTCTCAGCACGACGACGAAACTGTTTCTCGGCTTCCGCATTGTCGAATCCGACGTTGCCCTTGCGCAGAACAATGTCTACCTTTGGCGCCGTTCCGTTGCTCCAGCCGACACGATCCTCACCCTTGAGGAACGCATCGAGGAAGCTACGCTGAATGTCAACTTCTTCCGGGTAGTAAAATGGGAGGTCGTGTCGACCGGTGATAAATCGCAAGTACTTGAGCTCGCTGCCTGCCTGCGTATAGCCTTCCACATTTCCCCGCAGGTGCAGAAGAATGCCACCCCAGTTTGCGACGGAGAGCAATGGCACCTGGATGTCAGACTGTGTGTATTCCTTGGACGCGTAGTAGATATCATCGCGGAAGTAATTCTGGGCGTTGTCGATGGTCTGATCTTCTCGGTTGGCGACCAGTTCCTCCTCCGCCAGGTCGCCTTCAATGGTATCAGGGCCCCAGTTACGCGCTGCGCGACCGGGCCGACCGTACTGGTTGCTGACAACCTGCCTGTCCCACCAGAATTTGATGAAGGAGTTACTCAGAATGCCTCCATGACGGCAACGGTCCCGATAGTAGTCTGACATGCCCTCCCAGGGGATAATGCAGGTGAGGCCCTTGGGCTGGCGCGCGGCTACTCTCCACTGGCTGCCCGCGTAGTAGCTGATACCCAGCAGACCAACTTTGCCGGTCGACCATGGCTGTTCCGCCGCCCACTCGATGGTGTCGAAAAAGGCCTCGCTGGTTTCGCGGGACATGGTGTCCAGCTTGCCCCGTGATTGACCTGTTCCTCTCTCGTCCGCCCGAACAATCGCATAGCCGTGTTTCGTCCAGAAACCGGGGTCGGGCGTCTCCCACGCGGAATGCTCCGAGTGGTGCTCGGGGTTGACTTCGCTGAATGACTTGGGGTGGAAACTAGCCGGGTCAGCAATCTGGGGACATGAACAGCGGCACAATAAAACTATGCTTACTCGCGGTAATGAATGTCCTTGCCGTACGGCCCATAAGTGACCAAAACGGGAGCCCTCTCAAGGTCTTTAGGACGATAGAGGTTGCAGCGCACCAGACCGGAGCCATCCTTCAGCCGGATGGTGACATTCTGTTCAAAGATGTAGGGGAACGAAGTATTATCCCTCGTGGTGATGTCTTCACGAATTGGATTCGGCATGACGTCGCTTAGCCTTCGAGAATCTGAGATGCAAGGGCAGGAAGTGTTGCTCCCGAGAGCAGCATGTGTGACAACTAAATTATAAGCACAATTAAATCCCGCTATCCGATCCGTCGAAGGCCTTACGTCCGCATCAGCGGGCGACTGCTCTCTGTCCTTCTCCGCATGTGGAGCCGATATGGGGAGCCGATGGCCGGCCACGATATTTCCTCGATTTCTCCTCGATGACGCGGGGGCAATGGCAGGAGGATATCCAAAGGGCTGGCATGTTACTGCTCTACGTTCAGCTTTTCTCAAATAAAGCGGAGCAAGGCTATGTTGGGGAGAGGTCCTGTTTCGAAGAAAGTTACATCTAACACCTTCCGTGTTCTAAGTTCCCACCAGGAGATTCAAGCGCCATGAGGAGCAACAACCTGAACGGGACCAAGCAGGATAGCCTCCAAATTCTGATAGTGGGAGCTGGCATTGGCGGCTTAACTGCAGCTATTGCTCTCAGACGACAAGGCCACCGCGTCACCGTGAGTGACTCGGCGTGCTCCTCTAAATCGGGAGTGAACTCTACGTCTGACACATTCATAGTTGTTCGAGCGAAGCCGCTTTGCAAATGAAATCGGAGCAGCCATTCACATCTCTCCAAATGCCAACAGCGTCCTTTTACGGCTCGGGGTGGATGCGACCAAGTTCGGAGCGGTCGAAGCAGAAATGGTTCGTGCTCAACGTCAGCCAGATCAAGCAATGGCCAAACGCTAAGACTTGACAGGTTCGCGAGCGCTCAACTGACGGCAAAGTCCTTCGAATCCTTCCAGTGAAGGAGCTCGAGAGCATGTGGCGAACAGTGAGCCGCTTTCATTGTCCTTCATGATGCCCAGCGATGCTGACAACCAACACGCAGAAATGGCTTCTGGTACACCGCGCACATCTCCATGAAGGTCTCAAGGCTGCTGCTCTGGCACCAGGCTCCGGCATTCCCGCTGAGCTGCACACCTCTAGCAGAGTGGTTGACATTGATCCGCACCGTGCCACCGTCACACTCGGGGACGGACAGGTGGTTCAGGGTGACGTCGTCATCGCCGCTGACGGCGTGCATTCCGTTGCGCGATCCAAATTGCCCGGCGCCAGCAATATTGCACCCTATGACACGGGCAGGAATGCATTCCGGTTCCTGATGTTGCGCCAGGCGGCACTGGACGACCCCGAAACTCGAGAACTTGCACAGGATCGCGGTGTGATCGATATGTGGGACTCACCTGATCGGAGAGTGGTCATCTATCCGTGCCAGAACAACGAGATACTGAACTTTGTTTGCCTGCACCCCAGTACAATGACTGCCATTGAGACAGGCACGAATTGGAATCAGTTGGCCGGCAAGGATGCTTTGATTGAGGTGTACAAAGACTTTGACCCGCTGTTGGTCAAGTTGCTGGGCAAGGCGGAGGCCGAAACGCTGAGAATCTGGCCGTTGTTGGATATGGACACGCTTCCCGCCTGGTTCGAAGGTTCGATGGCTATCATTGGCGATGCGGCCCATCCTTTCTTGCCCTATCGTGGCTCTGGAGGGGCCATGGCCATTGAGGATGGCGTGTCACTTGGTGTTATGCTATCGAATGGTGTTCAGAGGCACGAGATTCCAGAGCGTCTGAAGCTCTATAACCAAGCCCGCCATGAGCGAGCAACCACCGTCCAGAACATGACACGGGATTCCGCGCATGGTCCGCTGCCACCACCTGAATGTAAGCCCCCTGCCCGATTTTTGGACCTTCAAGAAAAGCTATGGCTGACTCACCTCAGCCCAAGCGATAGTGAATTACATCTACGGCCATGACGAGTTCGATCATTCTACACAGATTCTGCGCAAGTATCTTTGGGCCAAGAACCCACGGATGTACTGGCGCCAGCCCATCGTCTTCGGGCCAATGCCGGGCCCGAGGCAGAACTTTTATGGCCAAGATCGTGCGATGAACTCGTTGAGATCAACCTTCAAAACGGCATCAATCCGCTTCAGGACCAGCCGCACATTGCTCCAAAGCCTGCTACCAAACGAGTCATATAGCTTCAGTAGTCCTGGGAGTATAGCCTTCGCAAGTTTCTCACATACGACGCTGAACGGAATGGACTGGCTGGGTGGTGGCGGATACAGCCATCTGGGTCTTTATATTGAAGGCGTGCAGTACAAGAAAGCCAATGGCGAGGTCGTCAAGGGCACATACATGCCTATCCTGTTTGAGAACCTTGCCGATCCTATCATCAGTGGCAGAGAGGAACTCGGCATGCCCAAGCTCTACACAGCCATCGATGCACACGAGCGGCGCGATTCCTATCACGTTCGGACCAGTTGGCAAGGTGCCGTCTGGGGACATTTCCACCTGGAAAGCCTCAAGGACGTGGACCCAGAAAATGACCCCGGTGTTATCGGTGGGGAACCCAGCGATGGTATCCTCGTGCACCGTTATATTCCCAAGGTCGGTCGCGATCGCAAAGGACAGGCGGAGGCTGAGTATCCAGTCTTCGTACCGCATGCAGCAGAATCCAAGGTGGTACCGTCCAAGGTAATACGAGTACGCAAAACAACCGAAGCTTCCTTCGCGATTGATGCGCTGGGCTGGGAATCGCTGCCAACCCTGCAGCATATCATTTCACGACTGGCAGAGATTCCGGTCGATCAAATTGTCGGTGCGAAACTGGTAGAAGGTGAAGGAGTGCCTGATGTATCATCAGCCATGCGTCTGGAGTAGCACTTGGTGAAGTAGAAGTTTGGCAGGGCTGTTTCGCATGGATCTGAGCGCAAATTTGTCATGGGAATGCGATGTACGTAATGTTTCGACCTTCCACTGTGTAGCCATAGTATGTAGCACCCTGAGACGATTGTATTCATTGATCGTATTCTGCCTGGCACCATCATTCCTATGGGGAGACATGCTCGAAGAAGCCGCTGGTACATCTGCTTAGCAAATGAATATTCAAAAAGCTCCAGTCTATTCCTTTACAGAATGAGCGTGCACATTATCGCCCTGACTCCTATTCAGAGCAATAACGGTTGTGATTTCAGAACACAGCAATCTTCTCGGCGCCGCAGCGGAACTGAAAGAATCGTCTCAGCCTCAAACATGCCCAAAAATTTAGCTGCAGCGACGTGCCCTCATAGCTTCCTAGCCTGCTAGCCTCCTAAGGTACATAACATTGTCTCCAAAAGTACTATCTTGGAAACTGCGCTCTCGCATGTGTGTACACACTCTCAATAAATCACACAGTGTCCTAGAACGGCTAAAGTGCTGCAGTCTGCTTTCCCACTACAATGAAAGATCAAGCATGGCATCACTCAACACTGTGAGTTACAGTATCTATCCATGTGAGAGTGAGATATTCTTCGCTCCATCCTCTCTCCTCTCCATCTTCTCCACGCTCAGATCGGATTGTCTGACCATGTCATCTCTATTTGCCGCTCTGGAAAAGTGGCAGCATCGCGGCTCTGGGCGTTACTCATATATGAAGAATATTATGGTGTTGTCACCATTATTATGGATGCTTTATTGGCATTAAATTTTGCGGCGTTGCACGCAGCCTTCGAAATCAAACTGTTGAATCTAGTCTATGAAATATATCTGCGTGCTTTGAGAGATATGTTAACCTGATAATGAGATTATTTCAGCCGTGGCAGTGTCATAAGTATCAAGCTTTTATGATTGGCCCCGACGCCTCACTATTAAGGGAACGGATTTGGAATCTGGAAGCCTACTATAAATGTTATTAAGGTCAGGAACTTCCTTAACTAGAGGCCATGGTTGTGGGATTATCACTGATGTCTGACAGCTGACAGCGCGCTGAATGGTTAGCTAAGTAGAAAAGAAAAATCTACCAAAACTGTTGGAATAACATGAATATTAGAGTGAGAGCTTTAGTGAGGTTCACTGATATCCTTGATAAAGATACTCTGAGGTAATGCCCCTATGCTACTAAAGAGCCTGACCCAAGGTCCAAACTTGACAGCCCGAAGTCCGAACTCCGACCTGTGATATTCCGGTCTATTAAGCCAATCCGGTGTATTTATATGAGCAGGGTGTCTGTTACCCATTTTCAATGGTACCTAGTTAATTTAAGAACAGCATGAATCATTTCCCACCCTCCTTCTCCTGCTTCTCTATCCTACTGACTTCAACTTTTGTCATGATCGTTTCTTGCCTCCTCCAATTCGCTCTTTACAGCGTGGCATATGCCGCCCAGGAGGTGTTGCGGCCTATATCGGACCAAAATAGTGCATTTCGCATTGTTCAGAGCCACCATTCCCCAGATCACTCAATTCGAATCAAGCAGCAAAACGAGTCCATATGCGCAGCTGGCTCAGCCCAATACACTGGCTGGCTGGATGTCGGCCACAAGCATCTTTTCTTCTGGTACTTTGAGAGCAAGAATGATCCCACCAACGACCCCCTGACCCTGTGGATGAACGGAGGCCCCGGCGCCTCCAGTATGATCGGTCTGTTCCAGGAGGTTGGCCCCTGTCTGGTTAATGAACACGGCAATGGGACACACCATAACCCCTGGGGCTGGTCGCGCAACTCATCGCTGCTTTTTGTCGACCAGCCCGTCGATGTCGGCTTCTCATACATTGATGAAGGACATGAGCTGCCGTGGGACTCAAAGGAGGCTGCAGTTGATATGCATCGCTTTCTACAGCTGTTTGTCTCTGAAGTGTTTCCTCACCTGCAGGATCTTCCTGTCCATCTTTCTGGGGAGTCATATGCGGTACGAAAGATTCCTCCATCTCATAGACCGTACTGACTTTCCAGGGTCACTATATCCCGTATCTTGGCGCTCAAATCATACAGCAGAATGGTCTCTATCCCAACGAGCCACAGGTTCGGCTGAAGTCGTGTCTGGTGGGTAATGGCTACATGTCCCCGCGAGATACAGTCTTTGGGTATTGGGAAACGCTCTGCACCACGAATCCAGGCGTGGAGGAGCCCGTATTCAACCAGACTCGCTGTGATATCATCGCCTCAAACATACCGCGGTGCATGGACGTCACTGCAGTGTGTGTCCAGAATCCAGATCCAGCTTTGTGCAGCGCTGCCCTCTCTGTCTGCTACGAGGGTGTAATCGGTCTCTATGAAGACGAGTCCGGTAAAGGGGGGCGAAACAGGTTTGACAGTAAGTCAAGATGGTAGAGGAATTCGTTGTCGTCTGCTAAGCAGTTCGCAATATAGTCACGGCGCCCTGTGAAATCGACGACATGTGCTACATCCAAGCTGCGCATGTTGAACAATATCTAAATACACCAGCTGTCTGGAAAGCGCTGTCACCCCCTAGAGAAATTACCGAATACAAAATGGTCTCGGAAGCGGTCATCCAAGCGTTCGCAGAGACCTCGGACGGTATGACGTCTACTTCCGATCTGGTCGCATTTCTTCTGGCAAACCAGGTCCATTTTCTGGCTTATCAGGGGAACCTGGATCTCGCCTGCAATACAGCTGGGAACCTCCGCTGGGCGCATTCCCTGCCCTGGAAGGGTCAGGCTGAGTTCACGTCCAAGCTACTGCGCCCCTGGCGGTCGCTTGTTGCAGCCACGGGCCAGATTGAGACTGTTGGCACCATGAAGGAAGTTCGTGTGCTTGTGGGCAATGCGGTGACCGTGTCCCGGTTTGCTCTTGTCACTGTGGATGGTGCTGGTCATATGGTGAGCATACGGTTGAAAAAACAATGAACTGTAGTTGCTGCTGACTGTTGGCAATAGCTCCCTCAAGATCGGCCAGATGTTGCTCTGGATATGATGGTTCGGTGGATCACTGGCGCGCCCTTTGCCTGAGCGGTTGATTTGCATGCATTGACGGACCGATCTTTTTTAACGCCAATTTGCTGCTACGGAGTACACAAGGCCGTATGTAGGTGGTATTAATAATGAACCGGAGGGGAAGCCGGAAAAACGGCTCAGAAATGATCACTGGTGGCTAGCCAGGGGGTAGTTGTAAATGTAGAATACAATATATACATGTATCTATCAATCTGAGAACGATAGATTCAGATACGGCCAGCAATGACCACCACAATATGAAGCGTATACAACATTGTGGTCCTTCTTACCTGATAGGCGACTTCAGAACACAACTATCGCTGCTTGGCTCGAGATGACATCCGTTCGACCCTCCGGAAATACCACAAACACACCCCATACGTTATATCCAAGCAATAGAAAGCTCCCACAAGCCAGTACATGAGAACATTGTCGACCCAGTCCCATTTTGCAGGCCAGTAAGCGGCTCTGACGAACAGCCCTGGTACCGTGACTCCGGAGGCAATAAACCGGGTGAGCCTAATGAGATGACTGTTAATTTTGAGAATTCTAATATGGTGATCACTGCGAGAGACTCGAGCCTACCACATCTTATATGACATGCCTCGCGTATGGCCACGCTGAAGAAGGAGGCCCAATGCACTTGCGCTGAGCGTCACTTGACAAAGCATCCCGCCCCAGAAGAGAGCTGCCAATGGACCGACATGGGACGAGAAGGCGAGATGTCCGGACAACATGCCTAGAATGCTAATGAGGACAATAAAGGGTAGGTGTCTCCGCATGAATGGCGAATGGGAACCAGACTCCCTCTCGAACTTGACGGTGGCATATAGAACGAAAGCATTGATAAACAACCACAGAGGATAGTTGACCCTCGCGAAAGGATTAGGTGGTGGATTGATCAGAGCGAAAGCAATCTCCCAAGCCAGGTTGTTGGATAAAGCTATCAGCGAGACACCAGACATGCGGTCCTGGTATGCTTTGCGGATAGTGAAGAAGTAGTTCAGTGTCCATCCAACCCCGGCAAAGATGAGTGGCTTCTCCACTATCCACCGCACCTTCTGGAATTCAGCCGGGGCAGTGTCGAAATCGAGTCCATCCATGTTGATGGTCTAGGTCCGTTTGGGCAAGACTTGGCCGTATGGTCAAGGCCGATGCGGTCAACAGCGCATGTCACCATGGGCTGATTGCTTGATCATATATTTATGCCGAACGGAAGGTAATCTGACAAAATCTCAACGCAAGGGATGGCTGTCACCGCGATAGCAACCGAAGCAGCGCAGAATATATCAGGTGGATAGATAGTACGAATTTGACCAACCCTATAAATTATCTCACATGTAATGGCCAGCTGAGCTGCAGTCCGATTGGAAAACGGGCAGACCGGTTGCCGTATCACATCACGTCTTCACATAATAATCCGCATCTAGGCTAAGAACCGCTTCTTTGGGAATGTGCTGCCTGACTTGACAAGTTGCACTCTGCTTATAGGGTTGCAACAAGCGGAACATCTAGAAGATGGACTACTCAAAAATGGAATGCTTGTTTTAGTTTGAATGACAGCCATTCCGGCGGAAAACACCCCATAAATAATAGGGCTTCTGCTCCCGAGGAAGTCCAAACCCTCGGTAGATATTTCTCTTGCTCTATGCCTTCGGATCATCCGGTCAATCAAGTCCGCAGACGATGCTTATCTCTGGACAGAATAGAAATTATCGGATGGAATAAGAGACAAAGCCCGGACTCTAAGCCCGCCAATGATGGACAGAATTCAATTAAGAAGAACTGCTCAAGTGAGGAAGACCTTTGGAAACGGCGTCATACCAGTCATCGTAATTCTCTCCATTCCAGAGCCCCCTGGAAGTGCTGTGGTCAATATACTCTCACGTATGCATTATTGCCATGATGTCTGATCCCCGAAGCTGTAGGTTACAGTAATGGGGCGAATTTCCTGTTTCCTGTATCACTGATTTAGTGCAACGTAGTGCACTTGATCTAATGTGGTGTGTGGGCCGCTGGTATGGTTCATGCTTCATTGTTCCTCGGCATCCTCAGCTGACAAGGGTATATATAGCGCAGCCCCAAGGTCACTGCCGCTTAGCCTCGCTGTTTCCTGCGGTACAGCGTCCTAATCTGTTAGAATGTAACAGTGATGTTAGTCATTGAGTTAAAGCCATCTGCCTAGCCCCAGATTCATGTTGCTTTACTTAAGGAACTCACCATACAAGATGTACAGTAGTAGTAGATATGTCATTAACCTTGATGAGAGTATATTCCATGTTCTGTAACGTTGCATCGGTTAAAATCATTAAAATCCGCGCACTATCTTTTCTGCATGGCCGCAGAATTGACACCTCAAACCATAGGCGACGACTCTGGCAACCGAATATATAAGCGAGCGCAGTTCTAGGACGCCAGTCATAGAATCCTAGTCTGTGCTCCTGGCGCAGCGATTCTGCTCTCTAGAATGTTGGTAAAGCGATATGAAGTCTCATACTCCTCATTGGGTCCTCAAAGCCGACGAATGAGGGGCAGGTATGGAAAAGTTGAGGCAGGCTTGCAAAAGCAAAGAACGAATCACCTTGATCCATTATGCGCTGCGAAGTTGAAGTAGTGCTTCGCGATTAGTAGCACACCCCTGGCGCTTATCTTGGTATTGCTTCCACACTGGGCGCTAACCGGGGATATGAAGACTCCCAGAGACCGCTCAGTTCAGCCTCGCCGACGCTGTTAATCTTCTTAAATGGCCTTGTAATGTGCTTTCTCCTTTTGTTTGACCGATTCTACTGTGATTATACGATTGTTGAAAGAAGCGCCACATCCATCTAATCTAGCAGTCTCGGTAAATGGTCAACATGCTCAAGCGCGAGAACCACGAGGCTGATAGAGAAGGAAAAAGAAAAAAAGATGGTAGTCCACCCCAGAATGGTGCTGAGTCGCAGAAGAAAAAATTCACCCATGAGGATTACACAGTTGGATGGGTTTGCCCTCTGGCGGTCGAGCTCACTGCTGCGCTGCAAATGCTGGATGAGGAACACGAGCCGCTACCACAACCTCCCACTGACCACAATATCTACCATCTTGGTAGCATCGCCAGCTACAAAGTCGTCATTGCTGGATTGTGGCAAGCCGGGAACAGCCCGGCCACAGCAGTGGTGACCCAGATGCGAATCCGATTCCCCAACCTTCGCTTTGCTCTGTTGGTCGGTATAGGGGGCGGTGTGCCAACGATAACGGAACATGGCATGCTGCGCCTTGGACATGTGGTAGTGAGCCAGCCTGTCGGAACATTTTCAGGAGCGATTCAATATCACGAAGGGAAGGCGAGAGATGGTGTATTTGAGCGGACTGGGGCATTAGCTCCACCTCCTACAGTTCTTCTCCTTGCTGCGCGATCACTTGCCGCTCAGCGTGCTCGATCAGATAAAGACCATATTATGGAGAATGTTCAACGCATAGACACAAGTAAGCCCCAGCTGCGACGGTTCGAGTTCCCTGGTATTGAAAATGACAAGCTATTTCCGGCTGATTACAAGCATCCCTGCCCTGGACTGTCCTGCGAAGAGAGTGGATGTGACACAGCACACAGTATAAAACGCGAGATAGGTGAATTTGATGATCTCATTGTGGTACACCGAGGTACCGTGGCGTCTGGAGGGCTTGTGCTAAAGGACAGTGCACTGAGGGACAAGCTCGCCAAGGAATACGGGGCCCTGTGTTTCGAAAGGGAGGCTGCCGGAGCGATGGCCGACTTCCATTGCCTTGTCATTCGAGGTATTTCACACTACTGCGATTCGCACGATAACGACAAGTGGGATGGATTTGCAGCGGCGGCAGCTGCAGCATATGCTAGGCAGCTGTTCTTCCACATGCCGATTGATGAAGTGAAACAGTCAGTTTAGGGCCCTAGTCCGAATGCTTCAAATGCTAAACGAGATCTCATCCAGGCAAACCATCGTTCCAAGTACTGACCCTGGGTTCCAGATGTTGGTTCAACGCAGTCATGATCAAGAACGGCAACATATTGCTATCTGGCTTTGCTCAACTGATTATGCATCACAGCAAAGTGCAAATTTACGTGAGCGACACGACGGAACTGGGCAGTGGATATTTGAAACGGGTGAGTTCCGTCAATGGGAGAGGGAGAAAGGCGTCCTTTTCTGCCCTGGCATCCCTGGCGCCGGAAAGACGATTGTGACATCCATTGTGGTTGAGTACCTTCGAAAAAAGCATGGAGCAAACGACGATGTTGGTCTTGCTTACATCTTCTGCAATTTCCAGCAGCCTGAAAACCAGAAGTTAGGCATCATACTGGCAAATATCCTGGGGCAGCTCGTACGAGGTCTATACCACATTCCGGAGGAAATCCGAACGTTTTACGAGACATATCAGCGGAATGGAATGCAACCACAGCTTGGTGATATTCTCGAGATGCTGAATGTAGCTTCAGGGCTATATTCCCATATTTATATGATCATTGACGCGTTGGACGAATGCTCGGATTCTGACGGGACGCGGACCCATCTGGTTTCCCATGTCCTCGACCTTCAACAACATTTCAATATTAGCTTCATGGCAACTGCCAGGTATATTCCGGGAATTATCTCGAAGTTCGAAAACTTTCCTTCGGTGGAGATCCGAGCTAGTGACGCAGACGTGAAACGATATGTTGAGAGCAGCTTACCGTCCTTCGTGAGAAGAAAGCCAGATATCCAAAATCTTGCCATTTCGGAAATTATGAACAAAGCCGGTGGAATGTGCGTTCCCTTTTGAGGACACTTTCAGAAGGAAAATGACTGATCAACCTAGGTTTTCGCTCGCCAGAGTGTATCTGGATTCCCTAAAGGGAAAATGTAGTATCACAGCTATAAAAGAGGCCCTCAACAAATGCAAGACTGGATGGGAGGCGTACGAACATGCGTATGAGAAGACAATGAAGCAAATCCAGCAACAAATAGGAGACCGAGCTGAACTCGCAAAACGAGCATTGGCTTGGGTTACCTTTGCGCAGCGCGGTCTTACACTAACAGAACTCCAGCATGCTCTTGCTGTTGTGGTTGGAGAACGTTCATTTGATGAAGAAAATCTGCCAGATGTGGATATCATGATCTCATCATGTGCAGGACTGATCACATATAATGAGGAGAACCATATAATCAGCTTGGTTCACTGCACAACGCAAGAATATCTGGAGAAGACATGGACGTCTTGGTTCCCAAACGCCCATTGCGCTATCGGTGAGGTATGCGTCACCTACCTTTGTTATGATGATTTCGAAGCTGGGAAATGTGAGTGTGAGTATAAATATGAAGAAAGGTGTCGGAATTACCCTTTGTATGCATATGCAGCGGAAAGCTGGCTGTATCATGCCAGGAAGCAACCTCTCGATCGCTCCCTCGTCGGGAAACTCTTAATGAGTGACGAGAAATTCGACGCTTGGGTCCAGGGTCTAAAAGAGGAAACGACACCTCTTCACCTGGCGGTTGAGTTAGGCCTTGAGGACGAAGCAGAGGCGCTGCTCAAGATCGGCCATCAGGTGAATGCGAGAGACCGGCGTTTGTCCACTCCCTTTCAAATCGCCGTCGAGAAGGGTCATGAAAGGCTGGAAATGCTTCTACATCGGTATGGGGCGAGGCCTGTGGCGGACATCTTTACGGCGGCTAGAATTGGGGATGAAGCCAAGGTCAAGTACTTCCTTGAACGGGGGGTAGATGTGAATCGCCAAGACAATATTGTCTACACCTCGCTGGCCGACGCTGGAGCGGGTATAGATTCCAAGAATATAGGCACCACCACCTACGGCCTTACCCCATTGTGCTTAGCAGCGAAGAATGGTCATCAGGCGGTGGTTCGACTTTTGCTCAATGAGGGCGCAAACCCAAATCTTCCAGACGAAAACGGCACTTCTCCACTAATGCACGCCTCAGCAGCAGGACATAGCGAAGTGGTATGCCTCCTTCTCGACGCAGGCGCGAAAAGGGATTCGAATTCGAAAGGTACCACCGTTGCACGTGTAGGAAGAGACGTCGGGGAGGGCACTCTGTTAGAAGTCGCTGCTGAGAACAACAAGAAGGCTGTGTTTCGAAACCGCTTGGCGCACGGCGCCAATTCCAATCTCCACGTCAGAGAGTTCCCTCCACCATGGGCTACCAATAACAGAGACAGAGAGGTTGTCTAACCCTTACTTAAACACGGAGGTAAGGGCTGTCTGGATGAAGAGGACACCATATCAATTGCAGACAACAAGGCACTCTTGGAGTTTCTGCTAAAAAGGTTACTCTGCCTGACGGTGTTTCGCATGACACTTTAGTTTTCAGGGCGTTGAGGCATGGCTATTTTGGATGGTCAAATTTCTGAACAGATATCAGCTTGCAAGACAGTCAAAGCGGCGACACGCCAATACTATGAGCAGTGGCCCATGATTACAGGCAAGATAAGACATATTTTCATTAGGGACCAACACAGACAAGGGATCAAGAAGATGAATGAGAGAAGCATCCTTTGCAATCAATTTCTCTTATCGGCTGTGCCAGTGGCGACGTTCTATTGGAATGAGATGGTGAATATATATCTATCGGAATAAACTGATATCTCTTAGCATAGGTCTATAAGAGGAATGTTAATAGAAAGAATAGGGAGTTTGATCTCGACAATCCTCAGGAACCAGACTATCCGACGTCTTCCAACTTCAGCATTTTTGATGAGCCTTATATGACTGCTTCTTTCACTGCATGGACCATGGTTCTATGATCTATCAGGGACCACTTGTGGTTCTTGCTGCTAGTGCATACAATGAAGTCTTGCTTAATAGCCAGCCTAGACTTAATATAGGAAGAAACCCCTGTTTAGATTTAACATTAACTTATGCTAGACATAGGAGAAGCGCCATGCAGCTAATAGGAGGGAGAATGATAGTCATTAATAGCTCGACTAGTATTACCTAATCTATATAGTGGATAATAGTAGTCTAGTAGATACTTCTTCTGTTCAGCAGGAAAGTTTAAATAATAGGTTTCCTATTATTAGCCTTATTAATACTCTTATAACTGTAGGGTAGTTTTAATGTTTAACTACTTAATATATATTTCAGCTTGACTGGATTGAAACGGCGAACGAAATGCGCAAACGTCAAGCGCTGCTCAATAAGTGATAGACTGGTGCTTAGATTGCCCACCGGCGTTCGATACATTGAAAAGAAATTTGCTCACTTCTGCCCAATACACTGCCGCGTGCCCCTTGAAAATGGATGTAAATAAGCATCCATTTCGGAAGTGTCGCTGACCAGCCAACTTCAGGTCTGTACTTCTCTGGGCTGGGAAACGCCTTCTCATTATAGACTTATAAAAAGGCGAACCGCCAACGACAGACTAGTAGGTTTCATCCACAAAGAGATTAGTGGAGAAAACAGATGGAGATTAGGATGCATGGCTTACCCCAGGTTATAGGTACATATCTCCCACTTTCTGGCCCTCTGCAGGGATAACTCGTGGTAGTCTGCCACCTACTACACATGCCAACAGAGGTTCTCCTTTATGCATGCTGTCAGGATTGGGAGTTACATTTCAGCTTCCTTGGATTTGCTTTCCATTCTTCTGAGGCAGTGGACATGCAGTCTGGCTATTTCTGTTTATCTCAGGCAGAGGGTAATGTAGCTGCCCCGTGAGGATGTATTCAGCGTACACACTTCATTTCAAGTTTTCAACTTACCTATTAGGCTTGAATAGTGTAATTGGCTTCATAACAATCAGTCTCAGAGGACTCTAATACGCTCCTGCACAAGCAATATACACCTTCTTTACTTCCCTGGGAGGGGAGTTACTGAAGGGGATCTAAATACGAGGAGTGAATATGAGGACTGTTGCCTTGCCAAGTAAAGAACTGATCTACTTCATGATTCAAACCTCCTCAGGAATTTAAGACAAAATCTGTACTCTTGATGATATGTTCTAATGCTTAGCAAGTAAGCGACCAGGTAATCCAATTCACTCAGTACAGGACATCATCATCAGGTTCAATAACTGCTCAATCCATGTAAACACTTATCACGGCCAACAGCACGCCGTCCAACAGTAAACAGACCATCTCGGGGGATCAAGAATGCCAGTAAGCGGGTGATTGGACGGGATTTGTCCCATAGACTCGCCTTGGCATTCAGGAAGCCTTCAGTGAGCTAAGTCAATCTGCTCGCCTGATTGCATCAAAAAGTATTATTCTGAGGGAGGAACCTACGAGTATGTCCTGCAAAGGAAAGACTTTCCGCCGTTGGACCAGGGGACGAGGTTAATCTGCACGACTCTGAGACTGGTTAGCGAGGGCCCGGGATATATTAGGTTTCATAAGCAAGAGACATACCCCACGTCGAATGTCTTGCACACTCCGTCTTCGACGGGAATTAGAATCCAGTCACCGCCGGCTTCTTCTCGGACTTCCTGTGGCTATTGTTTAAGCAGAGGGGGTATACAGCAGGTGGGTTTTCAAACCATCTCGATGGCAGCGGCCCCAGAGAGCAGAAGCCCGAGCGTCGTTAGAAGGGCAGAGAGCTTCATGATGGTAAGATGCAAAAGTTGTACCTTCTAGGAGTTTGGAAATAGATGGGCGGCAGATCCAGCCCAGGAGGCAGCAGCCTTATTTGACACACTCAGTTCACTCCGGATTTGCTTTTTTCAGGTTGCGGCTGTGCTCAGCACTTAGGATTTGTTTCATTTCATTCGTCATGAACATGGCAGAACGCGCGGGGTAAGGTGACTCATTTAAATCATAAGACTTGCGTCTTCGTTTCTCTTCCGTTCCTGATGGGACAGCGACATTCAGTCTTCAAGCTAAATACAAGCACGAGGAATCAAGTCCCCGAACTTGAGCAAGCGCCTCCTCTCATCCTTTGTAGAAAGAACCCCGCTTGATTTATCAATCCGTGAGATTCTGATAAGCAGTCAAGTCCGCCTCCATGTTCCCGAAGAGCAATACGGCCGTGGTCGCCCTCCCTCCCTTGAACGTCCCCGAGTTGCGGAAGGCAACGACGACAATCCATCCAAGCCCTCCGAATTCCCCGTCTCCAGCAACATCTTTTGAGAATTACAAGGCGAAGAATGAGCTCAAGGATGGCGCCGCATCTAGAACTGAGCCCTCTATACTTCTCACTCCGCCCACAAGTCCTCCCCGAAGTATTTCAGAGTTGACGAACGATGGCCAGCCAGCAGGGAACGCAGCCAAACTTGATCCTGCTGCGTTAAAGTCTCTGCTTAGTCTCGATACTGGACGATGTGGATGTCCTACAAAACAGAAGCAGCCTTGTAAGGTGAGAATTGCGGAGGAGAAGAAGGCAAAGATCGACAAGATGATCAAATCAATGCTCGGTTTCATTCCCTCATCTCCAGAGCTCGAGGGGGAGCTAGAAAATCTGGCTGAGCTCGTGCACTGTTGGCACCATGATCACGGACAGTTCATAAAATCTCGTGCCGAGGAATGGATAGCCACCATTCCTATCGGAGATCCCGGCATCAAGCCTTTTCTGTCTCTAGACCGGCAAATTAGAAAAGCTCTAGACGGATTGTCTACCCAGTGCATATGGAAAACACAGGCGCAGGACAATTGTTCCCGTGAAATCGGAGGACAGAAGGCGCAGAACTGTACTAGCACCATTAACGAGATAGTCCATTTGGCGACTTATCTAGGTGACGACGATGATATTGAGCACCTTCTCAAAGTTCTTGAACATAATAGGCTTTGCGATCGCCATGATAGACAACCCCTCAAACATGTGGAATTGTGGAAATCGAGGATCATGGAGATTCACAGCATATGCCCTGAAGACACTCCACCGTCAGCTCCTCAAAACCGCGTGGTCCTGACGGCGAGGACCTCACGTTTTTCGACTCTAAGGCTGAATATAAACCCGGTTGAATATTGGCCCGCGGCATATGATGTGAGTCCTTTCAGCATTATAGAGAGGAGCGATAAACTCAACGACTACGAATTGTCATATAACAGAATTGCAGAGCAAGCTAGGAGTCCCTTGAATGCGAAGTTGGGTGACTTGAAGCATGGATATGTATACATGTATGAGGTCGAAGGAAACGATGGATTCGTCAAAATCGGATATACCAGTCGTACCACGGATGAGCGTCATGAGGAGTGGGCGTTTGCATGCAATCGAGCTCCTAAATTGCTCTATCCGGACTCATCAAACCCGCAAAAAGTTCCAAATGCCCGCCGCGTCGAGGCTTTGTGTCACGCGGAGCTACATCATCGACGGCTCAGAATCTATTGCACTGGTTGTTTGAAGCAGCACATTGAATGGTTTGAAATTGCCCCTGTTGACGCCATCGCAGTTATCTCGAAATGGTCAAACTGGATGGTATCCAATCCATATCAAAAGAAAAGCCTGAGAGCCGGGTCAAGATGGGTCCTGAAAACTGAGGAGGGGAAAAGATTTGATGATATCAAAACATTTCTGAAAGATATATCGCATCTGGTCCCGATACATTGAGAACTGGGTTTGGAGGCAAAGAAAGTGTTCTACTTGCCCCAGTACGCTTCAGGAGCGAAATCGAAGGAGGAATGCTGAATTAAAGAGCATTGAAAATTATCTTGCACTCTATTCATCGCAAGTGCAAACATATTTGGTTGTTCTAACCCAAAGTATGAATCAACCCAAGCTCAGTCAGGACAGGATGGCAGGGAACAGCTCTGAATTTTAGCTCACACCATTCACAAGCCCCAATAAAGTCTCTGGTGCTTTTCAATCGTAGATGACTGCCTCTCTTCACTGCGTACAATCAAGAGTTTTGCTTGATAGCTAGTCTAGACTGAATATGGCAAGGAACCCATGGATTAGGTTTCAGCATCGATTTTTGCCAGAAATAGGAGAAGCCCGGTGCAGCCAATGGAGGGAGGAGGATGATCATCGACGGCTGGATCAATGTTGCCTAACCCATGTGGTGGATGTTGATGGACGCTTCTGTCCGGCAGGAAAGTTCAAATAATGGGTCCCCCACTGTTGATCTTCATTAATGTTCTGGTAACTGTAGGGTGTTTTCAAAGATTGGCTGCTTGACAGTTGACACTCGTAACTCGTTCATCATAATGATACGATTTCTACGGAGCGAACTCGTACTGCCCGGTATGTATTCACTGCCCCAAGATCCTGAGCTTGTCCAGGCTTGGCTATTCCGGCCATTGATCACTGATTCTTAGATCCTAAGTCTGTCTTTTCCGGCTCTTTACTGTTTCCCTAGCGGAAGAAGCAAGTGCTGCTGTGAGCACATTTACTCTTCCCCTGGGAAGCAATTCAGAAAATTAAACCCTCGCCCTCAATATCCCGGACAATTCCAGCGATGTCTACTTCCACCTGTCTGGGCCAACCTCGTACTCGTGGGTGGCCGTCGGGACCGGCCAGGAGATGAAGAACTCTTGATGATCCTGTTGTATTCCGACGCCAGTGGAAAGAGCAAGCCTTTGAAATCGTTCCGAACGACAATCCAGCAAGGTTGAGCTAACAGAGACTGATTCCAGATGTCACTGTCAGTCCGACTCAGTACTGGTGAAACAGAACCGGTGTAGGGAGTATGCATCCTCCATCGCCGTCCAGCTCCTCCCCGGAACAGGAATGCGAATGGCTTCATGTCCGTCAATGGACACTGCTTAAATTGCACGAAATGGGATACTGGCTCCTTGGATTTGCAATCTACATCGCAGCCTTGGATCTTCGCCTTGCGCCCTCACTCTGGCGCCAACGCCGTCCTTCGCAGTGACTCCAAGACTGCACAGCATCGAGCGACACTCGAAATACGGTATGTACTGATCTGTCGGCCTTTAGCGGTATAGGAGCTCATTCCCACTCTCCTCGGACGGTTCTCAATGGATAAGACCCGAGCGACCGGCGGATCGGGTGGCTTGCCTGACTCGTACACCAGCTCGATGGGAGCCAGCTTCACGGTCTGGCCCTCTGTGGTGCTTTTATCTTATTAATGCCCACAGGTGTCGTCCTACTGCGCGTGGCTCCAGGGAGTGTCCGCTGCAATTGGGTCAACCAGACCATCGCCAGTGTCATCGCCATCATCGGTGTCCTGATTGGCCTCTGGCTGAGCACCATGTACACGAAATCGCAGTCATTCAACTCATCGCACCAGATAATCGGGATTCTAATTGCTATTGCCATGGTCGCCCAGTGGGGGTGGGATTCTCGCACCGCCGGCCGTACAAGCTGCGACGAGCCCCGACCAACTACGGTGTACTCCACCGGTATTTCGGGCACATCGTGATGTTCTTTACCATTGTCAATGGGGGTATTGGGCTTAAGTGGTCCTCTGCATCCACCGTTGCGATTATTGGATACGCCATCGCTGTGGCTATTATTTCCATCCCGGTCATGTCTGCGGTCGCCTAGCAGAAATGAGCTGCTTATCGCGGTGGCCGAGGCTATGTTCACCGGCCGATGCGTATTGATGAGGCACAGGAGGGATTGGAATCAAATATATGTCTCAATCAGTATCCTGATGGCCAATATCCCCCCAAGGCATTTATCTCGGCGCCGGGATGGTTCTTGAGTATATTTTAGCAACGCATTGAGATTAATGTACAGGATGACTATAACAACGATTTTGATAGAATATAAGTCGAAATAGACAATACCAGCATATATCCGTCCATATTGCTAAAGTCAATGCCATAAACAATCATGTAGCTAGTCCCGGCGGCTGGTCGTCCAAAGGAAATGTCTGAATAGCTCCATATAGCCTAGTTTGTTTAGTCTTGGCTATGATAAAGTCCCTGATAAACCCAGAGCTCAATAAAGCGACAAAGTAATGACGATCGAAACGAACATGGCATGTGTGACATTGACCATGGTAAGTAGGAGATCATTGCAACTCAGCCAATGAAGTGGATCCTATTTCCCAGCGTCAAGTACTCAGAATAAACAAGCCAAGAACGCATAACGATTATCTAATACCGATTACGGTTTGCTCGCTGTTGAACGAAGCTGATATTCGACTTTCATGGATCGGATCCTTCAAAGCCTTCGGTTGAGGCATTCAGGTACCGTTGGATCCTTCCGGCTGGGCTGATGATACAAATCATGCAAGTGGATTGTATTTCATGTTCATTTACAACATATGCGTCACCTCGTGAAGTAATGAACAGATCAACAGAAAGGACCATGCAAATTCTAGAGACAATGAACTTCAAGGCGTTGCGTCCACACGGCAACACCACTGGTCTTTTCTCAACTGCAAGCTCCTATCCCTTGAGTGACGACTGGACCATTACTTTCAGTCCCTGCTCAATCGCATCTCGTGACCTCCAGCCAGACCAGGTATGATCAAGCATGCCTGCATATATTAGCATTTTAACGCAGCAACACATTTGTAATGATTCTTACCCCATGTCTCGTCAAGGTCCTGGGTCCCTTGCCGAATGTAGTAGCTCCCTGCAATAACCCAAGTGGTCCAACCGGCCTGCTGCTCTGGGATCCACGTCCTCAGACAGCTAGCATACACATTCTTCCACGTGGTGCTGTCCTGCAGGAACCCAAACTCGGTTAGGACCACCGGCATGGAATTCACAATCGACGGGTCGGACGAGTTCTGGGCCTTGAATCCGGCATTCCAGAGCGCACCGGACAGCGCGCTGCAGCTGGTTGCGCTGGTATCGTAGTTGTGGAGCTCCAGAACAATCTTATTCGCAAAGCTGAAGTCGGAGAGGCGGAACCTGACGCCGTTGCCGAGATCTGATGCAGTCGGGATGGGCGCAAGCGTGGTATCGTAGTTCAAACCGGACAGGAAGATTAGCGCGTTTGGATTGGCAGCGTTGACCCTCTTCGCTGCTGTCGTCATCTGTGTGTACCATGTCCCCCAGTCGTACGGGTACTGCGTGTTGCTCGTGGAGGGCTCGCGAAGCTCATTCCGCAGTCCGATGCTGACGAAGTTAGGCCATTTTTTGGCCTGGCGGGTCAGTATCTTCTGAGTCTGGTTGTCATAGAAGAGGTACCTACATGAGAAACCATATACTCCAGTCCTCTCATCCACTTGGCAACGTCGAAGTAGGTATCTCCAAACCAGGCGTTACCATCTGTGTGCGAACAGCACCACATCGCCTTGGAGATGTGATTATCCAAATGAATATAGAGTCCTTGCTTGTTGCACTCCGCGGCTACCATATCAAATACTTGTAGACGAGTGGTCGTGGATTTGATCTGAGGGTTCACCTTGCGGATCTGATTGAACACCTTTGTCCCATTCGTTGATCCCAGCGCATTGATCAGCGATTTCTGGACAGTGACATCTCCGCCGTTGTCCAAAATATCATCGACCAGCTCAATGGGAAAAGTCAAACGAATGACATTCATTCCCAGGCCCTTGAGCTTGGAGACTGTCGACGCGATGGAAGCGTACTGCATCCCCTCAGGGATCATGACCTCGCCCGCACCGGGCCAATTGGCCCCCGCGTAGGTGAAGACTTCACCCTTAGAGTCGTGAATCCATCGGCCTGAGGCGGTGAACGGGGCGTTCAACGCCGAGCAGGCGAGGGATTGTAGCAGGACAAGAGAAGAGACGATGTTCAACTTCATGGTGAGATGCTGTTGCTCTCCCAAGAAACCGTCAATGCCTGGAGACAAGTGCCTCCCTCCATCTGCCCTTTTATACTCGCATGAATTAGGTACTTGAGTATACCCTGCCATTTCCCCGGCACTCGGGATATTGCATGACGAAGGGGGTCCACTTTCTGCAAGACTCTGGGGAAGCGGGGAAACTGGCCTGCGTTCAAACTATGAGCATGATGATCTTCATCCTTCCGGCTCCCCCGAGGACCGCACGGTACAATATGCTATGCGTGTGACGTTCTTCAGACTTTGTGGCTCCCCTTCCGGCAGAATTGCCTTTTGGGGCCATCGATCAGCTGCTCACTCTTTTGCCAACAGATCTACACCACTTGTACCTTTTTCGTGAAAATCTACGGCTGTTGACCCAAAGTGCGGCACGAACCGAAGCAAGGCTTTCTTCCTGCAAGGGGAAGCAGTGGTCGATAGGTCGTTGGATTTTTATCCGACAGCAACATGCGACAGATCTGGCTGTCAAGGTCTACCTTAAGACAATGGACCATTGGTCACATACTTCAACATTCTCTAATGATTGTAAGAAGGCTGGAGCAGCGAATACACTTCCAAGCCAAGAATCTATCCTTAGTACTAAAAAGAACCCAAGCAATCTAACACATCTCGGCAAAAACAGGCTGCAGAGTAAAACCAAACTTTCTTTCCTCACATTTAACCCGATACTTGTCCAAAGTACGCGGACCACAAGCTCCCGTCCCAACACCGCAGCTCTCCACATCCAACCTCAACCTGACCCGTTTCTCAGGAACAAGTTCAGGCGCATGCTTGGCCGCCTCGATAGCTTCGGGGCTGTACCGCGTAGCAAGCCACTGGAACAGTTCAGTCGGCTGCTTGTCGCTCTCCTCCTTGACGCGGGTCACTCGGAGACCCCATCCCCTGCTATCGTGCACACGTAACCACCGGGTTTCCATCCGGTTGCCGCCTTCCTGGGGTACCTCGTAGGGGGTGTGCAGTTCAGCCGTGGTAGCGTTGTAAATGCCCACTTTTTGCGCCCGATTCTTGTCTGCGTATGCTTCGCCGGGTCCCAGGCCGAACCAGGATGTATTGTCTAGCTCGTCCGCGAGAAGTACGTCCAGGCCGATCCGGGGTAAGTCCGCTGGGATGGGACCGTGGGGCTTCAGGTGCACGTTGACGGTTAGGGCGCCATTGCTAGCGATGGTGTAACTGGTCGAGGTGAAGAATCCCCAGCCAAGAATTGGCGCGGATATGTATGTCTCCGTCGTGGCTTCTATGCTTGTGGGAGTATGTTGGACGACGTGCATCTTGCGCAGCTGAGAGGTGAGAGTGTCGAGTCCAAACCGTCGCCATTCAATGAGGTCATGGGACATGTCGTTGTCGGTCGGTGGACGCCAGAATCCGGGTGAGATGGCACCGGTTGTTGAGGACTGGTCAAGCAGGGAGAGGCCGTCGGATGTCCAGGCGTAGAGACTGCCTGTTTCTCTTGAGAATTCCAGGCTGAATGTGGCGCCGGTGATCTTGTGTGTCGTCTTCGTGGATGAGAGCGTCAAAGGCTGAGCTGGTACAGGCAATGAGGGACGTGGAGATGATGACTTGAGGCACTGCTGGTACCAAGCGACTTCATAGTTGCTTGCGGCCCATGCTGTCTCTGCTTTTTCATGGAAGCTGATGGTGAGCCAGACCTCCCCGGGAGTTGTTGTAACAGGCGCAGCTGGCAGCTTGATAGTCCCTCTCTGGCCAGCAGGAATAGACGGAAGTTCTATATTGCCTGTGGAAATAATGCGCCCGCTACAATGTGTCAGTACAAGGTTGTTTAATGGATAGAGAGACATACCTATCTCCCAAGACCTCAATCTTGTAAGATGCCTGGAGACCTTCCAGCCCAACGAAATTGTAGTCGTTCGCCAGAACCAGAGTCCCGTCCTCACCAGGCCACACGCGAACCGGCGCATAGGCCTTCTTCATTTCAGTGATACCAGGCGTTGGAGTGTGGTCGCTGAAAAGCAACCCGTCCAGCACAAAGTTGCCATCGTGAGGCGTATCCCCAAAGTCACCACCATAGCCATACCATCCCTTCTCCTCATCCCAGAGTCCGTGGTTTGCCCATTCCCAGATCCATCCCCCTTGCAGGCGCCGGTGGGTCCGGAAGGCTTCCATATACTCTTCCAAGCCACCAGGCGCGTTACCCATCGCGTGAGCATACTCACAAAGCACAATTGGCTTTTTAAATTCATCTCCTTCTGCAGTCGCAAAACCGACAAGCCGATCGACTGATGGATACATGTATGAGTACATATCAACCGTCTTGGCCTCCGTGTCTCCCTCATAGTGCACCGGACGACTGGGGTCAACCTGCTTGACATAGTCATACATGGCTTGATGGTTTGAGCCGTAGAACGCCTCATTGCCGAGCGACCAGATGATAATACAGGAGTGGTTCTTATCACGCTGCACCAGTTGCACCATTCGGTCCACATATGCGTCTCTCCACTCGGGATTGTTGGTGGTGAACTGCGCCGCCTGGTCAAAGGTGAGCTTCTTGCGCTCCTCGTAGTCCATGGACTCGGGGATATCTAGGGGGCGAGCGATGGCATCGTAGAAACCATGACATTCGAGATCGGCTTCGTCCATCACCCATAGGCCGAGCTCGTCGCAGAGTTCGTGCAGACGGGGATGGGATGGGTAGTGCGAGCAGCGGAGAGCGTTGACGTTATGCCGCTTCATGATCAAGAGGTCCTCGCGCAGGAACGATAGAGGAACTGCTCGGCCGAAGCGTGGATGGTGGTCGTGGCGGTT